TATCAATTAAATGTCAAATTTTTCCTTCACTCTATCAGAAAAAGTTAATGATTGGTTTAAATAAAAAACGGATTGTCGAAATTGATGTGGCAGTTTAGAAAAGCTAAAAGAGAGGTTCAAAAGGCACTGAAAGCCTGGTATAGAATTGATGTGAACAACATAAATCATATATCAACTAAACCAGTTAAAAGCCTAAAGGTTGCATGGATCTCTCATCGTCTCGTCAGTTTAATTGATTAGAGAATTCGTTGTTTTTAATAGACAGGATTGGAAAATACGAAAAAAACCTTTCTTTGTTTTTTTTGCACATTTTTCCTGTGTCCATGTATTATATACTTCTTTTTCCTAGTTTCTCTGAAGGCCCTTTTTTCTTTAACCCCCATCCCCCAGGAAAAATCCCCCCATCATATCTCCTTCCATTCTTGTCAACATTATGCTGTTCGATACAAAATCAACATCAATCTGTTGGTTGTTTTTCAGTTCGAATTTGTTGCGTATATGATTGCAGATGATGATTATTGATGATACTGGTTAACATTGACCCCTAGGTTCACATATATAACACTGTGTAAATCATATATAAAGACAGGGCACGCATATAATACATCATATCCGACCTATGTCAGAGATTCGACATTGTAGTTTATTTTTACTTTAATATTGTACGCATAGCATTGATCTACATTCTACAATATTTAATTCACGACTTCATATTACAATTTACAATATACCATGTAGTAAACAACTACTCCATTACAATCTCTTGAGACGTATCTATCCAGGTCAGTCCGCTATCAAACTCAACCAGTACTGAATTCCAGGCTCTAAATGCCACACAGGGACACAAGCGTAGCTATCAAAATCCAGCTACTAATACAGAAGCCTTGCTATCAACAAGCTATATAATATATGGATTCCAAATTAAACGGGACAATCGCAGTAAACAGTACGGAGTTTGTCAATCAACTGAGGTGTATTTCGTAGTTCATATTAAAATTGGGTCATTAACAACGTAATTACAAGTTAGGTTAGGTTATTTATATTAGGTTATTTATATATAACGTAGTTATATATAACGTAGTTATGGGTATGACGAGTTATATATACATCTACGTACATGGAATGGGTTAATCGCAATACAGGATTTGCGTAATTACTATATGAACAAGATACGGCATAAATTGCAATAGGTCTCAATTTTTGCTACAACCATACATCCTTGATCTTATTATCTTTGTATCCCAGTATCCCTTTATCCCAATATCCTTGTATCCCAGTATCCCTTTATCCCTGTATCCCAGTATCCCTGCATCCCAGTATCCCTGTATCCCAGTATCCCTTTATCCAAATATCCTTGTATCCCAGTATCCATTTATCCCAGTATCCCTGTATCCCAGTATCCCTTTATCCCAGTATCCTTGTATCCCTGTATCCCTGTATCCCTGTATCCCTGTATCCCTGTATCCCTGTATCCCTGTATCCCTGTATCCCTGTATCCCTGTAACCCTGTATCCCAGTATCCCTGTATCCCTGTATCCCTGTATCCATGTATCCCTGTATCCCTGTATCCCAGTATCCCTGTATCCCTGTATCCCTGTATCCCTGTATCCCTGTAACCCTGTATCCCAGTATCCCTGTATCCCAATATCACTGTTTCCCAGTATCCCTGTATCCTTGTATTCCAGTATCCCTGTATCCCTGTATCACTGTATCCCTGTATCCCAGTATCCTTTTATCCCAGTATCCCTGTTACCCAGTATGACTTCAACACAGTATCCCAGTATCAATTAATCCCAGTATCCATGTATCCCAGTATCCCTGTATCCCAGTATCCCAGTATCCCAGTATCCCTGTATCCCTGTATCCCTGTATCCCTGCATCCCTGTATCCCTGTATTCCGGTATCCTTGTATCCCATTATCCTTGTATCCCAATATCCCTGTATCCCAGTCTCCCTGTATTCCAGTATCCCTGTATCCCAGTATCCTTATATCCCAGTATCCCTGCATCCCAGTATCCTTGTATGCATTCGTATCCCTGTATCCCTGTATTCCAGTATCCTTGTATCTCAGTATCCATGTATCCATGTATCCCAGTATCCCTGTATCCCTGAATCCCTGTATTTCAGTATCCTTGTATCTCAGTATCCCAGTATCCATGTATCCTAGTATCCATGTATCCCTGTTTCCCAGGTTTTTTAAAACCCCATGTTAGATGGTATTTTATCACCCCTGGTGGATGGTATGGAACTATAACACCCCTGTTGGCATGGAACTATAACACCCCTGATGGTATGGAACTATAACACCAATGGTATGGAAATATAACACCCCTGATGGATGGTATGGAACTATAACATCCCTGGTGGATGGTATGGTTTCCAAACACCCCTGTTGGTATGGAACAATAACACCCTTGTTGGTATGAAACTATAACACCCCTGGTGAATGGTATGGAACTATAACACCCCTGGTAGATGGTATGGAACTTTAACGCCCCTGGTGGATAGTATGGAGCTATAACACCCCTGGTGGATAGTTTGGAACTATAACACCCCTGATGGATGGTATGGAACTATAACACCCCTGGTATGGAACTTTAACGCCGCTGGTGGATAGTATGGAACTATAACACCCCTGATGGATGGTATGTAACTATAACACCCCTGGTGAATGGTACGGAACTATAACACCCCTGGTGGATAGTATGTAGCTATAACACCCCTGTTGGTATGGAACTATAACACCCCTGGCGAATGGTATGTAACTATAACACCCCTGTTGGTATGGAACTATAACACCCCTGGTGAATGGTATGGAACTATAACACCCCTGGTAGATGGTATGGAACTTTAACGCCCCTGGTGGATAGTATGGAGCTATAACACCCCTGGTAGATGGTATGGAACTTTAACGCCCCTGGTGGATAGTATGGAGCTATAACACCCCTGGTGGATAGTTTGGAACTATAACACCCCTGATGGATGGTATGGAACTATAACACCCCTGGTAGATGGTATGTAACTATAACGCCCCTGGTGGATGGTATGGAACTATAACACTCCTGGTAGTATTGAACTATAACATCCCTGGTGGATGGGTTGGAACTATAACACCCCTGGTGGATGGTATGGAACTATAGCATCCCTGGTGGATGGTTTGGAACTATAACACCCCTGGTGGACGGTATGTAACTATAACACCCCTGGTAGATGGTATGTAACTATAACACCCCTGGTAGATGGTATGGAACTATAACACCCCTGGTGGATGGTATGGTTTCCCAATACCCATATTCACTACATGCTCAGTGTGTTCAGTATACTTTGAACCATCATACTGTGAACTTGGCAACCAGTAAAACTCTGAAAATAGTTATATGTAATACTAGATACTGAATATGCAAACAGGGTGGGGATGGAATGAAGGAAGGGTATTGGCAAGAAGAGGAAAAATATGCACATCAAAAAGTACGTTTCACAAAAGTAGTCAGGAGGAAGGAGGAGAGCTGGGTAAACAAGGAAGGGAGCTGGGTAAACAAGGAGGGGAGCTGGGTAAACGAAGGAGGTGTAGACTGGGAGAAAGGAAGGTGGTATGATTAAAGAAGAACAGAAGGAAGGGTTAAGGTTAGAAGGAGATGGAAGGGTTGAAGTAAAGAGAAGAAGGAAGGGTTTAGGTTCGGAAGAAAAATGAAGGTTTAAGGTTAGAAGGAGATGGAAGGGTTAAAATTAAGAGAAGAAGGAAAGGTTTAGGTTCAGAAGAAAAATGAAGGTTTAAGGTTAGAAGGAGATGGAAGGGTTAAAATTAAGAGAAGAAGGAAAGGTTTAGGTTCAGAAGAAAAATGAAGGTTTAAGGTTAGAAGGAGATGGAAGGGTTGAAGTAAAGAGAAGAAGGAAAGGTTTAGGTTCGGAAGAAAAATTAAGAGTTAAGGTTAGAAGGAGATGGAAGGTTGAAGTTAAGAGAAGAAGGAAAGGTTAAGAGAAGATCAAATGATTTAGGTTAAGATGAGTAGGAGTGGTTTAGGTTACGAGGAGAGGGAAAGGTTTAGGTTAAGAGGAGAAGGAATTGTTGAGGTTAGGAAGAGAAGGAAGGGTTAAGAAAAGAAGGAAAGGTTGAGGTTAAGAAGAGAGGGATGAGTTTAGGTTAAGATGAGACAGAAGAGTTGAAGTTAGGTGGAGAAAGAAGGGCTGAAGTTTAGAGGAGAATGAAGGGTTTAGGTTAGGAGGAGAAAGAAGGGTTGAAGTTAGGTGGAGAAGGAACAGTTTAGGTTAAGAGGAAATGGAAGGGTTTAAGTTAAGAAAAGAATGAATAGTTTAGATTAAGAAAATTTACACATCAGTTTATGACGTCATTTAGTGCCTGATTTGTGTAGTAAAGTGAGGTAGGGAGGTGTGTGAGAATAAGATAAAAATTACACAATACAAACAATGACGCTTTATTATGAGGGTCGTCAGAACTTAATTTGAATGGGAAGGTAAAGAAGGTAAAGAAGGTTAAGAAGGTAAAGAAGGTAAAGAAGGTAAAGAAGGTAAAGAAGGTAAAGAAGGTAAAGTAGGTAAAGAAAGTAAAGAAGGTAAAGAAGGTAAAGAAGGTAAAGAAGGTAACGAAGGTAAAGAAGGTAAAGAAGGTAAAGAAGGTAAAGAAGGTAAAGAAGGTAAAGAAGGTAAAGAAAGTAAAGTAGGTAAAGAAGGTAAAGATGGTAAAGAAGGTAAAGAAGGTAAAGAAGGTAAAGAAGGTAAAGAAGGTAAAGTAGGTAAAGAAGGTAAAGAAGGTAAAGAAGGTAAAGAAGATAAAGAAGGTAAAGAAGGTAAAGAAGGTAAAGAAGGTAAAGAAGGTAAAGAAGGTAAAGAAGGTAAAGAAGGTAAAGAAGGTAAAGAAGGTAAAGAAGGTAAAGGTAAAGAGAAAGAGAGGGGTAAAGCTAGTTTAACCCCACCTTTTGAAGCGAAAACTTACCTTTTGTTTGATAAAATGATATTAAATCATGGCTTTAATCTTGTTTGTTTGCTTTAATTTAAATATTTAGAATGAATGGTGGAAAATGTTCCTAAATGGAAAAGTGTGTTTACACGTTATATTAGTTCTTATACACTCAAGGTAGGACCCCTTCATATTTTTCAGGGTTAGATACACGTCATAATATCCAATATATTTGCCTTTTTATCTGTTGGGGTGTTTAGAACTTCAAAAAATCGAAGCCTAACGAGACCTCACAAGGGATGTTGGTGGCCGGCCAGGATTTGAAAAAATTTGAAAATTCACCAATGAAAGCAGAAAAATCTGCAAAATCGTAAAATCGTGAATAGCAAATGTTTAGTAATTTACGAAAAGAACATAGTCGTATGCAAGAGAAATAGTAAAATATAGATTTATAAATATTTAACATCAAGATTATTAATTGAAAAAGGGAGCGTGAAGCCTAGTTTCTGAATGTATGACTTATCTGTCATGGTTTGTTTGTTTGTTTGTATGTATTCAATAAACGCCAAAACAGTTGTGAGTCTTTTAGAGGCGTATATAGGGTTGGGAAAGTGATGGGATAGTGAAATCTATGGTTTCCAGGAGTGGTTGAGGTTTCAGAAAGAAAGAAAATTTGCGAAATTTTTAGTATGATTTTTTTTAAGAAGAAGAAGGGTTCGTAGGTAAAGTAACATTGAAAAAGATTCGTTTTCTTTCACGCAGATATTCGCAAGGCCTTCTATATTCTATATTCAGTCTAAAAATAGAAAAACTTTCGTCTTTGTCCTTCCGTTGCTTTTCCATCTATAGGCAATGTAATAAATATCTCAGAAATACTTTTATTTTCAAAATTTCAAACTTCAAAATATTATTCAAAACTTGATATTGGCGTTAACGGTATGAAGGACTATTTATAGTTTTATTTCATAGAAATTTAGGAAATCTATATAATAAAACAAGACATTCGTATATATATATATATGTTGCATATAGCCGGCCAAACGGCTGGACCGAATGGGCTGAAATTTTTTGTGGACACACACGGGGTGGCTGGGGGAGTGTTACAGGCTAAAAACCATTCGAAAAAATTTCAATTTTTTTTCTCAAATAAAAAAAAGTTTCGACGGGCAACGCCGGGCCCTTCAGCTAATGTCATATAAAGTTGTAATCATGTGTTCTAGATTTTTTTTATAACTTTCTGTCAGATTCTATTAAATGACTTTTAAACGAGATGTTTTATTGTGTTATCAATTTACCTTGTTACTTACATAAGTACAGGGGGACCCACAAAGAATGAAGCTTTAATGAAGACCGAAAAGTCATTTAATGTCAGCGATATGAAGGTTAAATTTAGATTTTTGTCTTAAAATTATAAAAGAAAACAGCACGAGGAACGATGCTTATAAGATTTCAGTTTTAGGGAATCAAAACAGTATGAATATATTTAGCACAGTCGTATTTGAATTCTGGGTTTCCGGGCTGTTTCTCACAATTTATAATTTCGAATATCCGCCATTGTTTATTTAAATAACTGTAATAAAATACATAATGCATAGTACTAAGCTCATTGCCTGTAATACTATAACCACCAAGGGTCCATGTCTCAGCTGTCACTTTCGATCACAATTGAACTTCTATAAAGGTTTTATTATTGAATAAGTAGAATTAAGACACCGATCTGTAGGTTTAAATATTATTGAATACCGTTTCTAGGTCGAGGGGGCTATACACAGGGAATACAGGGTTACCCACGAAGCTCTACAATATGACGATTTGAAGCTTGATTTTCTGAATTTAATTAAGTATTTTGATGGGTTTCTAAATGATAAAGCACAGAATATGCCAGTTTTGGCCTGCAAGAAACACTGAATACAAGAAAATGGACAGTCGTCTCTGAAATCTCATTCTTTGTGGGTAACCCTGTTGGTTTAGTCCCTCCCCACCCTCGCCCCCCTCTTCTACAAATCCCTGTATGCATACCTGATCACCAATACTGATATGTACTGATTCATGTATTGTAGTGTCGCTAGATGTGACCTGTTCAGTCTATATGACCGGCATGGGCTACAAGCTGTACATACTATTCTATTGTACACACACACTTGTACGGCTCAGGTACATAACATCTTATTCTTCTGTACATTGAGACATTCCTTACCTTACTTTCCTTCGTACGATTTCGTCAATTAATTTATTCAGTTATTGGGATTAGCTCTGTAAGCGTAATTTCAAGTGACCCTTCATACGTGGCCCATAACGTTGACCAGTAGATGGTTTTCAGGTTACAGTTGTAAATTGGGCATTGTCATCTTTGCATGGAGGGTCACTTGAAATTGCGCATACAGTCTCCTTAAAAAAAGATTGAGTTGAATGTACAAATGGTTGATGTAATTTCAAACTGTTGTAAATGTAGTTTATGTTAATATTTAGGCTCCGTTCTCTCCTTTTTCCCTTCTAGAATCTCTCTTTAGTTCGCCACCATCCAGGAATAGACAGGTTAGTCAACTTTAACATAGTCATGCAGCTTTTTTCATGATTATAAATTATCATGATTATGATCTTCGCCTTTATTTTTTTATCATGACTTGATCCATGATCTTGTTCATGATGACAAATCTTAGTAACTTTGTTTTTACATTGTTTAGATTTTTCTATTTCTAAATGTGGAATTAAATCCTGTCATACAGGGTTACCCACAAGGATGTGTTTTGTGAGACAACTGTATGAAATTTATGCAATTTTTCTCGCAATCTTCTTCGCTGCAAGTTAAAACTGTTTTCCTTTTTTAAGATAAAATCATCAAGTAAAAAAATTAAAGGTAAAAGTCCTAGTTTCATCTTTATATCGTTATTTTAAAGTCTCATCCTGTGTGGATAACCCTGTACTTTTTCTTCTTTCCTTAGAATTCATCCTGTGTGGATAACCCTGTACTTTTTCTTCTTTTCTTTGAATTCATGGTTAAACCTGTACTTTTTCTTCTTTTCTTTGAATTCATCCTGTGTGGATAACCCTGTACTTTTTCTTCTTTTCTTTGAATTCATCCTGTGTGGTTAAACCTGTACTTTTTCTTCTTTTCTTTGAATTCATCCTGTGTGGATAACCCTGTACTTTTTCTTCTTTTCTTTGAATTCATCCTGTTTGGTTAACCCTGTACTTTTTCTACTTTTCTTTGAATTCATCCTGTGTGGATAACCCTGTACTTTTTCTACTTTTCTTTGAATTCATCCTGTGTGGTTAACCCTGTACTTTTTCTACTTTTCTTTGAATTGAACTTTTCTTCCTCGGTTGACCTTTTAATGATGTATTTATTGTGACCTTGCCACAGAATTTGACCACGGTCATTTTAGATTTTTTTTTAGTTTGTAGGCGATAATTTATCAATTTAAAGAAGACGACTTTTTTTTAAGTTTAAATTGTTAACAAGCTTTCTTCGAATTACTAGTTCACAAGTAATTAAAGAAATGCTTTTTAAAATGACAGCTAGCTTCTCTTTGTTTCAATTTTTTTGTGTATCCATGCTGTTTAAAAGCTTGATATGAATAAAAATTCTATTCAAAAGTCGTCTTCAGTATATTAATATTATCGCCTACCACCGTATTTACTGTTTTCCTTGTTTTAACTTTTCATCAAAATATTATATATATTTTTATTAATAACATGTTTTATTAGAAACTAGTTTGGAATCAGCATCGATTGGCAGCTCCACAACAGCATCCACATCAACATCATCAACAACAGTCTCAGCAACAACAGCAGAAAATAATATTCCGACCAGTGTTTCCTAGTGGAAACCATGGTTTTATTGGACCACAGGCAAGTATACCATTATTTTACTTTTATTTATCTTTAACATATCTTTATTTTCAATTTTATTTAAACTTCGAACTATGATGATTTGAAATTTTTTCTGCAGAGTTACCCTTCAATTCTAACTATTTTTCTCTAGTCTGTCCCTTTATTTCTAACTATTTGTCTCTAGTGTGTTCCTTTAATTCTAACTATTTTTCTCTAGTTTGTTCCTTTAATTCTAACTATTTTTCTCTAGCCTGTTCCTTTAATTCTAACTATTTTTCTCTATAGTTTGTTCCTTTAATTCTACTATTTTTCTCTAGTCTGTTCCTTTAATTCTAACTATTTTTCTTTTATTTGTTCCTTTAACTCTAACTATTTTTCTCTAGCCTGTTCCTTTAACTCTAGCTATTTTCTCTCTAGCCTGTTTCTTTAATTCTAACTATTTTTCTCTAGCCTGTTCCTTTAACTCTAGCTATTTTCTCTCTAGCCTGTTCCTTTAATTCTAACTATTTTTCTCTAGCCTGTTCCTTTAACTCTAGCTATTTTCTCTCTAGCCTGTTCCTTTAATTCTAACTATTTTCTCTAAATTGTTCCTTTAATTTTATCTCTTTTTCTTTTGTTTGTTCCTTTAACTCTAACTATTTTTCTCTAGCCTGTTCCTTTAATTTTGCGATCGGACCCTAGCACTGCAGGACCCTCCAGTTTCTCAAAAGGAAAATATTTTTCAAAATCTTATTTTTTGTTGAAAATCATTTTTGTTTCTTAATCAATGCCTTAGTGATTTAAAGGGACTGTAAGCGTGATTTCAAGAGACATTTCATTTAATGAAGAACATTCCCGATTCACAACGATACCCTTTAAACCTCTGATTGATCAGGGATGACAGAGAACTTTTATGCCGCGTAAAAAGCTATAAAGTTGGAGTGTGTGCGCTAGCTTACTCTATGATGACGTCACATTTAATCCTGGAAAATCAAGAATATTCTGTTTCCAACAAGGTTTTCAAATATTTATCTTCTGCAACTTCTAGAAAGTAAATATTAAATTCTTAAATGCAAATCAGTTTGCAAATGAACTGTTAAACAATTACAAGAATACTGTAGATACATATTAACAAGTCTGTCATCCTTGATCATTCAAAGGTTACTTTAAAGCTTACAGTTCCTTGAAGCAAATAAAAACATATTTTTAATAAAAAAATATATCTTAATAGAAAACATATATATTTTTTATATATTTTTTGATACAAAAAACATATACTTTAATAACATATTTTTTATGAAATAATATAATTTTTTGTCTGAATAAAACATGAAATATTAATTCATAGGATTGAAATCTTCTAAAATATTAATTAATGTTCCCTCTCCGCCTCCAGCAGCTGACACATTCCGGTCTTCTCCGCAGTTTCAACTGTCGTCACCAGACGCGGCAGTCGACATCGTCGACCCAGGGACATCATCCACACCACTCGTCTTTTTCGACGGACTAGAAGAGCCATCAGAGATAGGACTGCAGGAAAAAAGAAAAAAATCATTGAACATTTTTACATTTTTAATTTTGCAACTATAAATCAGTTTTCGCAAAATTTTAACAAAATCATAATTTTTGATAATTTTAAAATTTTTCCTTTTGTAGGATATAAATAGTTCTCCTGAGCTTGCTTCTAAGAGTAAAACCTATAAAGGTATAATGCAAATACCTATTAATTAAACAAAAAAATACCCACCTCGCCCCCAATTCTCCGATCACCCTTCAATTAAAAAAATTAGATTTCAGTTAATAAATAAATCATGTTTAAAGGAAGTGATTTAAAAAATAAAAAGGGGGGGTTTGTGAGCATGTCTGTCAGGACATATGTGATCATATGAAGGATATATTTTTAAAAATCTGATTTTAAAGAAAAATTGGACAGAAAATAGTAACAATATCGATTAATGATCTAAATATAATCACCCTTTAACCACATTCTTTTTTAGCATACACTCTCTTTAACCTTAAAAAATATGATTTTCAGATTTGTCGGCTCAAGTTGAAAGTTCAGCTAATGGCGTCTCGTTAGGTAATCAAGAAATACGCATAATTACTAATTTCCGCCCGCACCCCCTCCCCCTCTTACCCCCCCCCCAGGTTGTTTAGTGTGACCTAATACTGAACCCATGTGAGTTTAACAGGAGTAAAACATCATGTGTTGAAATATGCCAATTTCACCCTTCCCTTATATTCATCATTCATTCATTCATTCATTTTCCTCTTATTCATTATTCATATTTATTATCAATTTGGACAAATAAGATGCTTTGAAGTGTAGATTTTGATGCTTTGCGTAACCTAGCATAATCCAACCCTTGGAACAATGGAAATCTCTTAAATACAATTGAACTGTTAGAAATGTTCTTTTTTGAAAATGTTAAAGCATGAAAACTGTCACTGATACATGTGCAAGACAATTTATGTAAAATTCCTGTTTTTCCTTGATAAAATTATTCTTTTATTTTGGAATATAAAACCCTTTGCTATATCTTTAACATAATATAAGTCACAGTTCTAAGTCACGATTACACCAACATCATACTTTGAGACCAAATTATGTCTGAGAAGCTTTTTAAGTCAAAACTTTGTCAAAGACTTATTCCAATGCACGACTATGGCTAAGACTTATTCTAAGTCAGCATTTAAAGACAAACGCATAAGACATAATTATGTCTAAGACAGTTTTCTAAGTCACACTATAAGACACATTCTAAGGCCCAATTCTAACTCAAAACCATGTCTAAGTCATGGTAAGACATGTTCCAAATCACAGTTCTAAGTCACAGTCACATCAAAGTCATACTTTTGAGGCCAAATTATGTCTAAGACACTATCTAAGTCACAAGTTTGTCAAAACTCATTCTAAGTCACAATTCTAAGTCTCAAATATGCATTAGACACATTCTAAAACACTTTCTAAGTCACAGTAATAAGTCACAATAATTTCAAAGTCTTACTTTTCAGACCAATTTGTATCTAAGACACTTTCTAAGTAAAAATTCTAAGTCACATCTTTGGCTAAGACTAAGAAGTTAATATTTTCTCAAAAAAAGTGAGTAAGGCATCAAATTTGATTTGATTTTTACTTTTGATGCTTTCAAATGTTGTTTTTGATGCTTTCAAATTACACCTTTGATGCTTCACTACACGGTAAAAGCATCCAAAGTGCTGAATTGAAAGACATGCATTCATTTATTCATTTTCCTTTCATTATCATTTATTTATGCATCGTTTATTCACCCTTTCATTAATTATCCTTCCATTCATCATTTGTTCATTCATTTTCCTTTCATTCATTTTCCTTTCATTTGTCATTTATTCATCCTTTTTCCTTTCATTCATCATTTATTCATTCATTCCGTTCAGGCGTAATTGATTCATTGGTTCATTTTCCGTTCAGTTATCATTCATTCCTTCATGTTTCTTTCATTCATTGTTTTTTCATCCTATTAGTTCCTTTTCCTTTCACTCATTCATTCATTTAATTGTTTAATAATTTAATAATTTCTTTTCATTTGCTTTATTCTTGACTATGTTTTCATATTCATGCTTACACTGTTTAGTTTATCCATCTGAAGAGATTATTACTGAGAAATCAGATGCTTACTCTGCGTACAAGCTTGAAACAGATTTAACAGATGCGTACGAAACCCAAACTGATGCGTACATTGAAGAGGAAACAACAGGTGACGGGGAAATTTTGCCGGGAAATAATACTGTAGAGCGGGTCAATAATATTCTAGAGCAGGTCAATAATGTTGAAAGGAAACTAGATGATAAACTGGAAGGAAAGGATGAGAACAAGGATGAAGATGATGATGAGCAAAGGGATGAGAATGAGGCTAATATGAAGGATGAAGATACCGTAAGATGGAATGAACGTGAGTATAAGAGTTCTGGTCCTAACCCTGGAGAATTAAACCCTCATACTACATTCGTGAATCTGCACAGGTATCTTCCTTTCACCTAATATACTCCCACCCCTTCTCTGCAGTAAGCTTCAACCAACTATGCCTCCCACCTTCTCTAACTTCCCTCGCCTTCCCTCACCTTCTCTCACCTTCCCTCACCTTCCTTCACCTTCCCTCACATTCCCTCACCTTCCCCCACCTTCCCCTACCTTCCCAAACCTTCCCTTACCTTCCTTTACCTTCCCCCACCTTCCTCCACCGTCCCCCACCTTCCCTCACTTTGTCTCACCTTCCCTCACCTTCCCTCATCTTTCCTCACCTTCCCCCACTTTCCCCCACCTTCCCTTACCTTCCCTCACTTTGTCCTTTTTCCCTCATCACTTACAAACGACTTAAAGAAATTTTTTTTTGAAACTTGGAAATTGACGTAGTTATTAGAAATATATATATACCCCTTGTTCACAATAACCCTGAGGCAGAAGCCCACAGGAGTTACGTGCATGCCATGTTGAATAACAAGAGAGAGAGAGGCCATGCGCGTAACTCCTTTGGGCTTCTGTCGCACGGTTATTGTGAACGAAAAACCCCTAAATCTCGAAAAGACGACATATAGTGTTCGATCTGTATTGTTATTAATATATGATATGAAGGGTTAACACAGACATATTATCATGCTTCATCATCATTCTAATTATTTTAAATTAGAATTAGGCAGATTTCCTAAACATGAAACTACTTTTATTGACATTGGATTGTAACCCGGGGTGGGGGGGGGGGGTATACTTTTAGTATACAGCATGGGACCCTTAAAACTGTGGAATAGAAAGACAAATGTTAGACTCAAGTTATAATTTTGAACATGAAACAAAACAATTGTGCAGTGTACACAGACCCTCTTTACTTAATAGGTAGATTTTCCAGTAACTTGGAAAACCATTTGCGTTTCAGACACAGGAAAGAATAAGGTCGCTTTAATGTCGTCTTTTGATTCCACAACTGCCAATTTTTATCTAGTTGTTAAAAAGATAGATTGAACATTTTTATGTTAAAATCAAGTGCAGATTAGGGGATTTTTGAATTCTAACATAAATGTTTTCGGGAAAATGTCAACAGACGATAAAAGTTGCTTAATAGACCCATGATGCAGAAGTCAAAACAAAACATCCTACAGAGGTCGGAATTTTTGTTTTGTGGATATCGAGATCAAGCATTTAATTCCTCTTCAATATTTTGTGTTTATCGAACCCAGCAGCAATAACTGAAATTAAGAAATCAAGCATAGATCCTCACATTAAAAGTGCTCGTAGTGAATATCGAGATCAGGTATCAAACACAAAAGTTCCCAGCCTAGTACATTTAAAATAGTTAAGGGAAATAAAACAAAAACAAAAAGAACTTAAACGGTCACATCTAACAAATTCTTACAAATATATTCCCGCCCATTTCCTTAAGCTTCCCTCTAACTTCCCTCTAACGCCCACTAAATCCCCCAAAAGAATAAGAAATGCATTAAACGTGAAATATCTCTAGAACTGAATTTCACTGCACTAAACCTTCAGATATATAAAGAAAGATATATATAAAATTATATTTTAAAGATTGACAGCACTAACACATAATATTGATATATTAAAAATTAAATTTTCGTATTTATTAATACTTCTTTTCTTATATATCTAAATATACATATATAAATGACATCAATCCAAATGCTGTAAGCTCTCACGTAAAAATTACTTCCTAAAAACTAAAGCGGAAAAGGGTCTTTGCAGTTCTAGAATGTAAGGTCTAGTGCTACAAAATGTATAGTGACTAGTGAGCTTAAAATCAAAAGTTAATGAGTTACGACACACTCTATCAATTCTTGAAAACTTTTCATAGCTGTCCTATATCTATGAAATCTAATATATATATATGTATATATATATATATGATATATACATATTATGTAGTTATAGTCTCTGTTTGGATGTTTTGCTTGTTTGTATGTCTAATCATAACATATAGACATATAGACCCCTTGTCCGATATGCCTTTCACTTGAATTAGGGAACTCGGTAGAACCACGGGAAGGTTCTCTGTCAGGTTTAAAAAATTTAGGTTCAGTTTTTTTTAAACTTTTTGAAGAAAGTTAAGTTTTCAGGAAAAGCCACCTTTACCGTCCATTTATACAAATCACTTTTCCTCTTCCTCTTTCTTCATTCGCCCTGTCATTTTGATCAAAAATGTACTTGTGTATTTCAAACTCTTTAATTGTTTTTGCTGCGCAAACTTGATAATAAAATCATATTTGAAACTGAAAATCCCCGAAATCAAAAACCACGAATCCGCGAACCTAAATCCAATTTTTAAATAGTGACAGTTTTAAAACTCAACCAAAGATGTCGCTACTGTGCAACCCAATTTTTTAAATTATCTTATTGTGAATAACATCAACTACATACTAAATCAAATTATTAAAGATTATATATTTACCGAGAACTTCGATGGTGGGGGGGGGGGGGTTACATCTGAATTAAGTATTTATACGGGGTTTTCACACTATGCTAGATGCTGCCTTGATACTTTTTGTACAACGTCACAGATTTTTCAAACTTTGATTATTTAATCTGTCAGAAATAATAGTTTGAATTATCAAAAGTTTATAATTGATCGGGTTGCAAATACGAAATGCAATATTTGAAAATTTGAGATTGAGGCAAGTAATCATTTTCTCTTATCTATAAAAAACTAAATATTAATGGACTCTAGAGTCTAGAATATGCACTTCGTTTAACTTTGAAATGCTATAGTGCCTTCACTTTTAAATCAAACCTTTTGGGGAACTGCACATCTAATAGTACTTTGCCACTTTGTCTGTCAGTCTGTCCTTTTTTCTTAAATAACGTCATAACAGCTGTACCGATCGGGCCCATATTTTGTGTGGGATCTCCTAAGAGTGACCACAGGGAGTTTATGTTTGCTCAGAATTACAAAGAAGTTGTATCCAAAAGCTTTTGATTTTTTGTGAAATTTAAAAAATGCGCGATAAAATATTTGAGAATCCGCGAAGGATGAGAATGTAAAAACGAATTAAAACTATTCAAACATGTCGATATTAAATCTAAATTAAGCCTTCTGTCTTGAATGTAATTGGAGTTTCTTGTTGTTTCCATGTTTAAGTCTATTCATTCTGTTTAAAAGCTTGTTAGAGATCAAAATTTCAGATCGAAAGTCGTCTTCATTGTATTGATATGTACGACGATAACGACGATAAACTTAGGTTTTTTAAAAAAAAACAATGAAAAGTCGTATATAGTTTTGAAAAGAGAAGAAATTAAATCTTAAATTTCGAAAAACTTACGACCCTGCCTTTTATTCTCATATTCGATTAATTTTTCAAAATTAATTCAACCAAAGGAATTGAGTCTTTGCCACAAACTCAAATTTTCTAATCTCTATATCTTCCCCACCTGATCTTGTAAACCTTTGATATTTCAAACTTAGATGATTTGATCTAACAGAATTTATAGTTTGAAATATCTAAGGTCCACGACATTGGGTTGCAGAGATATTAGGATTAGAAAATAAGAGCTTGTGGCAAAAAAGTTTCTTTTAGTTATTTTGACGAACTTTTGGCCCCTGGTGGAGGCGACATTCGAGACTCGAGAGGGACAGCTCAAGATATCCCTGTAGCCCCTTACAACCCCTTCTATGCCCCTGAAGTGTTCACATATAGCCAGGTATATTTTAAGGTTTACATGGTTTAAGGTTTTTATGAGGACATTTTAATTATGAATGACTAATGAGTTAACTTCAATTATGCATTAGAGACTGATACACTGAATATTTTACAAAAATATTCAATCTTTTTAAGATTATGTAGAACAGATTTTTTTAAAGTTTTGGATATTTTTTTCAGAAAATATTTCTTCTTTGATGATATTTCTAAAAATGTGTTTACTGCACTGGAGTGTGGTGGGTAGAAACTTGAACCGTTTCACTACTCATCTTTTCAAATATCCTTGAAAGAATGGTAGAGCATGAGAACCCTTACTACATGTATATACATGGGTGTCTATAAGGAAACAAGGATCTCCAAAAGTTTAAAACAGGGTGTCCACTGTACAGGAAGGGAACTGCATAAAAACAAATGGTTCTTCAATTAGATTTTATAAAAGGTGGTCAAAGATAAGTGGTTCTTCTGTAAGCCTGTATACAGGGTGCAGTTCAAACTATAAGATTTGTCTCTCCAATAATACTGTAGTGTCCAAGGATAAAATGCTTTCCTATGTCTGTATATCAGGAAAGATAAAATAAGTTTGATTGTTGATAAACAACAAGTTTCTCTGTCATGTTTTATAATCAAATTAATCGAAAAAAACATGATAAATATTAAATATTTCCAAACTATACCAAAACATACAAATTGCAAACACAATACACACTCAAACATATAAGGTTACCCACGAAGGATTAGACTCCAGATACGACTTTACGGATTGAAGTCATTAAGTCCTTTATCTTACTTACATACTTCCTTGAATTTGAAATCTAGCTTCTTTCTTTACAAAACCATTTATTAACCAGTAAAGGACTTTATCAAAGGCAGTAAACCAAATCTAACATTGAATCGTCATATCTAAAAATTGTTGAGTCCTCCTTTCTTGTAACCCTGTACATGCTTATGAAAAGGGAGAGACCGGCTATGTAACATATTTTAGCCAAAAGTGCAGTATTGTAGAGAAAAACTTTAGGATGTTTTTCTCTACAAGACTTCACTCTCAGTTCAAATATGTTACATAGCCGGTCTCTCCCTTTAAATGTCTATTTTATCCTTTAACTCTCCTCCTAACCTTGATCTCTTTGAATGCGTTCTAGATATTTGTTGTGAAAGATAAACCTGGATTTATGCGTTTGCTTAAAGGGATTGTAAACGTAATTTTAATTGACCTTTTATTTATAGAATGAGAGAAATGTTGTCGTTCAAATTCTGACAAATTCCTTTATTGTGTGCGCATTTGAAAATAATAAATTTCAGTTAGAAAAACAAGCTTATCTCATTCATCCTTGATCAGACAAAGATTTAAAGGGTACCGTTGATAATCAGACATGCTACTGTAAAAATTAAGAGTCACTTTAAATTACGTCTTCAGTCCCTATAGTACAATCTGGATTTTATGCATTTGTGCAGGTTTTCATTTCAGAAATCAGAAAACAAATGCAAAGAAACCACATAATATATTATTTCTTAGAAAAACATTGATATCTACAAAACTGCCTGACCCCATTCATGAAACCGGGTTAACGATACTATTGTTCGATTCCTTAGACATTTTCTAGTTGTGATTAAGCTGCGAGTTCCTTGCCTAGCTATCCTGGGAAATCGTAGCTAAATCATAGCTAGAGATTGCTTAACGAATCCGATAAGTTTTGGTCTCTGTGTATAAGATGCACTGTGTATTAAAAGTTGCACCAGGTATACGCGCAATGCAAAATGCATCCGGTGCTTGCATGTTCGCGAATTTATCAAAGCGCACTATATTCTTGCAAAAAGTGCAACTTGCAAACAAACATTTACAGAATCATTGGGTAAGAAGTGCGCAATTCGAGGCCAGATGGTGCAGAACCAGAATATAAATAAAATGATTCTAGAAATAATTACATTTTCTCTGCATTTGACTTGGCATATGCTTCAGAGTTTTTAGTTTATTTTAGATTATATTCAAAACTGTTTTATTCTCAATGTTAGGGGATAAAGGTTTGAATTCAGAATGGCCTATGACGAATTTAAATTACAGAGAAACCAAGTTTACGCGTCATTCTTTGCGTCATTCTTTTACTCTCGGCACATAGAGTATATGTGTTTACAGATGAACCAGTATAGTTGATAGAAAAAACTAGTTTACGCAATATTCTTCAATTCTCGGCAAATACAGGGTGAGTCAAAAAAAGTGTGATTTGCGGCGCCTGCTACAAAATTGTACCTTTATTTTTGTGAAACTCTCCTGTATGGTGTTTTTTCAATATTTTTTGAAAATTTGTAATTTTTTTTGGTACTCCAATGGCCCCGAAAAAAATCCGCGAATCTTTTTTTCTCTCAAAATCAAAAGTTCAGAAAAGTAAAAATGTGTATTTATATTATTTCTCTCTAAATCTAAAATGTTATTAAGATTGAATCACAGAATCCCAAAAAATTATCAAAATAGTAATTAAAAAATTCGCAATTTTTAGTTCTGGTCTAATTTTTACGGAAAAGTTATTTAAATTCTCTAGTTCCTTTCTTCTTAGTATATTCTAAAGTATTAAATACAAGCTGTTTATTTAAAACATTAAGAACCATAGAAAAATAATTTTTCACCAGGCGCCGCAAATCACACTTTTTTTTGACTCACCCTGTAGAGTATATGTATTTACAGATGAACCAGTACAGATAGAAAACCATGTTTACGCAATATTCTTTAATTCTCGGCACATAGAGTATATGTATTTGCAAATGAACCAGTATAGTTGATAGAAAAAAATAGGTTTACGCAATATACACTTATATGAATAGAAATGTGGCGATATATTCCTAAGTATTGCTCAGATGAATGTTTAATGGGTACCGTTGTAAATCGAACATGGCAAAAATGTTAGGGTTATTTAAGTTACAACAATAATACAGTCCAATTAAATAAACTGGGTCACTTTGAATTCCGTTAAAAATCCCTTGATATTGTTCTGCTGTGTTTTTGCTCTGGTTTACCGTGATGTGTGGTTTAAATATGGTTTATGAAGATTTTACAAGTTTATCAATATTGTTTCTAACTTTATGTAAAGAGAATTTTACAAGCATGGCAAAATGATAGAATTTGAATCATTTATAGAGCTTGGAACTTTTAAATGATCGGATTTGGTTAAGTTGATTCTTTCCTTTTAATTTCTTAATTAATGAATCCAAGAGATTTTTACTGGTTTTACAAATAAAAAATTGCAATGAATTCAAATGATTTTTACTAATATGTTTTTCTTCTTTTTTTCAACTGATTTAAAAAAGAAAGTCACAAGCAATCTTTTTTTCACTCTAAAGCTGCAAACGCTTTTTATTTAAAGGGATTTATAGTAATTTCAAACAGCTCTCCATTTATAGTCTGGCATGTCCGATTCACGAAGATATCTCTGTCTGGTAATGATCAAGATAATATTCTTGTATTTCATCTCTTGGCTGATTTTTGTTATTGATAAAGGATCCAATAGCCCTTGATAATATTCTAGTATTTTATCTCTTGGCTGATTTTTGTTTCTGTTTTAGGATCCAATATTCTTGTATTTCATCTCTTGGCTGATTTTTGTTATTGATAAAGGATCCAATAGCCCTGGATTATATTCTAGTTTTTTATCTCTTGGCTGATTTTTATTTCTGTTTTAGGATCCAATATTCATGTATTTCATCTCTTGGCTGATTTTTGTTTCTGTTTTAGGATCCAATATTCATGTGTTTAATCTCTTGGCTGATTTTTGTTTCTGTTTTAGGATCCAATATTCTTGTATTTCGTCTCTTGGCTGATTTTGTTTCTGTTTTAGGATCCGATATTCTCGTATTTCGTCTCTTGGCTGATTTTTGTTTCTGTTTTAGGATCCGATATTCTTGTATTTCATCTCTTGGCTGATTTTTGTTTCTGTTTTAGGATCCAATATTCTTGTATTTCATCTCTTGGCTGATTTTTATTTCTGTTTTAAGATCCAATCTTCATGTATTTAATCTCTTGGCTGATTTTTGTTTCTGTTTTAGGATCTGATATTCTTGTATTTCATCTCTTGGCTGATTTTTGTTTCTGTTTTAGGATCCAATATTTTTGTATTTCATCTCTTGGCTGATTTTTGTTTCTGTTTTAGGATCCAATAGCCCTGGATGAAGAAAACGAAAACAAAGAATTCAATGAAAATAATTTGTTAGATTTGAATGCAAATACTCAAATCCAAAACTTTTATGATTTTGCTAATTCCAGTGATCTAAGATACCCCTTAGAGACTAAAAACTTGTACTTGTTAAATGACCGGAATTTTGGTGAGAACAAATTAGAAACATCAACAGAAAACGTGAATACTTCAGATGCAGTAGCAAGTGATGCTGTAGATGATGCAGGAAGAGATGCTTCCGATGCAGCAGCAAGTGATGCTGCTGATGATGCAGGAAGAGATGCTTCCGATGCAGCAGCAAGTAATGCTGCTGATGATGCAGGAAGAGATGCTTCCGATGCAGCAGCAAGTTATGCTCTAAATACAACAGGAAAAAATGCTTCCACTGCAGTAGCAAGTAATGCTCTTGCTGATGGAGGAAGAGATGCTCTTTATGCAACAGGAGAAGATACTTCCAACGAAGGATCGAGTGAAGCTCCTAATGTAACAGCAAGAGATAATTTGAAAGAGAACTTGTTCGTTGCCTCGAACATTTCTGGAAATTATAACCCTGAACTTCTAAACGGCTCTGAAAGCGAACCGGAAGGATCAAATAATGCCGAAGATGTCCTTTCTGATGAACTAAATAAGAAAGATTATTTTGTTCAATTTGATCAAGTGATCAAACCTCGCGGAGTAAATATGTTGAATACTCCTGAAGAAATGGAAAAAAGATTTAGGTAAAGTTCTTATTGTCATCATAAAAATACATAATCTCTTTGTCACAATTATAATATCTAATTAATATTTTTAAATCATTGTAATTCAAGAATTTCAGAATCTAAGGTCTAACTTCAATTTACTATTTAAAATTCATTTTAAAAGTGGAAACCGTTTTTCGTGTTCACGGGGTGTATGGGAGTGTGGTTGGGGTTGTTAAAAGTAATCTACCCCTTTTCTAAAAGTACTTTTTACAATCCAGATAAACCTCTCTAGTATAATAGTTCTCATATATTTGAATTTAATTTTAAACTTTTAGTTTTAGTTCAAACACAGAAGCCTTTGTCAAAGAGAACTTGGAGAATAAAAATGAGAGATTGAAGTCATCAAGGAGATTAGATCAGGAATTAGCTTCAGGTTAATCTCTTCACATATTAAGGAGATTAGATCAGGATTAAGCTTCAGGTTTATCTAGCTATATAACAAGAAGAATCGATCAGGATTAAACTTCAGGTTTATCTAGCTATATAACAAGAAGATTAGATCAGGATTAAGCTTCAGGTTTATCTAGCTATATAACAAGAAGATTAGATCAGGATTAAGCTTCAGGTTTATCTAGTTATATAACAAGAAGATTAGATCAGGATTAAGCTTCATGTTATGCTAGTTATATATCAAGAAAGGAAAACGAAGGTATAGATATATATAAATAAAATTCTAATCTCTGTTTGTCTGTCTGGGTGTTATGGTGTCTGTCTGTCTGTTTGTTTTTATGATCATAACTCATAACTCTTGACAGATTTGCCTGAAATTATGATTGGGGAACTCGGGAGACCCACGGGAATGTTTGAGTTTCTAAGTTGAGTGGGTTGACTTTAATAGCGAAAATTTAGTTTCCCGGTAAAATCGTTCAAGTGCGGGTAAACAGTGGGAGTAACTTTTACTAACCTTGGCAGCGCTGGGTTCATTCTCCTAATCAGATAAAGCTTTTCAGAGTATTGTTGTATATCGGGCAGTGCATGAATGGTATAATGGTATTTTCAGAGTATTGTTGTATATCGGGCAGTGCATGAATGGTATAATGGTATTTTCTACCCTATTATTTTTTATTTTCAATTTTCAGACCTAAGCTAAGGTAAGATTAAAATGGCCAAATTTTGCACCTCGGCTGAATATGGGGATTTCATTTTTCTGTCAATAAAAGATTTAAATTTTAATCTTTTTAATACTTTGAAAAACTTTTGTTTAGTGAATTCTGGCCTAATATCTTCTCACGAAACTAAGAATATAGAAAAGGAATCTGAGTTTAGAAAGCGCAAACTTGAAAACATTGTGAACGTGCTGGATTTTAACGTGAGTGAATCCTTGATGGAAGAATCAAGATATGCGCGAAATCAAGATCCGCGCGCTGAATGTGGAGGTGATTTTTTTTCTTAGATAATTGATGATGATGATGATGATGATGATGATCTAGGTGCTGCAGACCTAGGATTCTGTGGTATGCAAAGGAACTACCCAATCTCTAGTGTATCTGCTATAATGAAGGCGTGTAGGTAAAAATTTCAGAATACATATTATTTACTATTTAAAACAAAGGTATACATATTTAGCCAATTATTTGATCTAATATTCATATTCAATCAACGTTTATTAACCAAATTTTGTAAAATAGTTTTATATTTAGGCATATTTTGCAGAATAGTTTTATATTTAGGCATATTTTGGATGCATACGTATCAATAATTCCGGATAATTTAAAGGTAAAATATCTGAACCTTCATATCACATAGATTTAGATAGTTATGAAAAGTTGCATTCATTTTCAAGACTGGGCCGACAGTTAAGTGTCGCAAAGCCTTGACACTTGATTATAACTCACTTACTCACTTGTACCTGTACCTGTACCTGTACCTGTATTATCTACCTAGGATCTAGAAGACCCTGTATATGATGCAGCGTACGATGACCGGAATGATATATCTACGGCCTGGAGCTGGAAAGGATATTCTAAGAAGGTTTGAGCAAAATAATGTGTTATTGATTTTGTAAATGGAACTATGCACTTGACACAAATTCAATTTTGTAATTCTTTTATCTCTGTAACCTGATGTCGTGAACCTTATGTATTGCAAACTATGAATTCGGATAACTCTATTAGTCAAAGTTAGAAAAATCAAAGGTTTACAGCATCAAGTTGCAAAGATAAAGAGGTTAGGAAATTAGAGAGTTTGCACCATGCATTAAGTTTCTAAATATTAGTTTTAATACCAAATATTTGTCAAATTTTTACAGAAGAAGCAGTTGTGTAGCAGTGAACTGTATTTTCTCGATCCTGGATATGCTAGAGATACGTCAGGTTAACATATTTCTATCCTAGATATGCTAGAGATACGTCAGGTTAACATATTTATATCCTAGATATTCTAGAGATACGCCAGGTTAACATATTTCTATCCTAGATATTCTAGAGTTACGTCAGGTTAACATATTTCTATTCTAGATATTCTAGAGATACGTCAGGTTAACATATTTATATCCTGGATATTTTAGAGATACGTCAGGTATCCTGGATATTCTAGAGATACGTCAGGTTAACATATTTCTATTTAGATATTCTAGAGATACGTTAGGTTAACATATTTCTATCCTGGATATTCTAGAGATACGTCGGGTTAACATATTTCTATCCTGGATATGCTGCTAGAGATTATTTCTATCCTGGATATGCTAGAGACATATTTTTATCCTGGATATGTTAGAAACATATTTCCACCTGTATATGCTGGAGACATATTTCTAAATCCCGGATATCCTAGAAACATAAGTTATATCCTGTATATGCTAGAACTATGCTAGAGCTAGAGGGAAAAAACAAAAAGGGCTATGAAAAAAGGCAGGCAGGCAAAAATATCAAAAGTCCAATATTCCAGGAATGGGGTATAGAGGGGGAGGGGAGTGTATCCTGAATATTGAATGGATGCCTGGTGAGCCGGGGTTATAAGTAGAAGTTGTAAACATGAGTTCTAATCCTCTATATATTCATACACTACAGTATAGACAATAGGCATATATATACGACTACATGACATGACAAGTCTAAATACAAACAGAGAATGCAACTTTAGACTATTTATAACAGCAAAACTGAGCATAAAACCTCAAGTTTGATTATGTTATAAGACAAATTTTGCGGTTAAAGACACAAATAGATTGAAAAACACGGCCCACTGAGGTACCTCGGTTTTGTCAAAAGCTTGTATATTTAAAGTTTCTGTCTCCAACCTAAAGATGTGTTTAGGAACCTGGTTTATTATTCCCCAGCTCCCTGACCTAGTTCAACGTCTTCCTGTTGATATTTGCCATCATCAGTATTCTCCTTGTCCAGGTACAGGGGGAACCATAAAACTGTGGAATTCATTTCGAATTATTTTTCCTTCAAATTATGACATGTTTAGTTAAGATGTTGTAATTTGCAACAGATCTATTTTGTAAAAAAAGTTGCCTGCACATTTTATATAACAAGTATATCCGTTCCAACAGTTAAACTGTTAATTACAAAATTCACAGCAGTATTTCTGATATAAATGGACGACGACCTTCTTTCCACAGTTGTCTTCTTCTCACTTGGCCACCGGAGCACAAATATCTCAGATTTAGTAGAAATTCATACAGTCTGTATTGAAAGCGTAAACTTTTTAATTTCAAGTTCCCCTTATTCTGACCCCCCTATATCTTGTACCTCACAACCAAAAATAAAAAAATCTGAGCTTAAATTTTTCTTTCTATTTTTAGGACTATCAGACTGTGGAGTCAAGAGTGAATGTACGCAGAGGTAAATATGTGAATATATGAAAGAAGGACAAGAGATAAAAGTTTCTGTAAAAAAAACCTGGAGTGAAAACTTGAAAATAGTCCTCAGCTCTTCAAGGTCCCACAGAAAATGTCCAGGGTTTTAGATTCCCTTGGGTTCCTTTGTGGCACTTAGAGTCTAAAAAATAGCTAGGTTTGAAGCTACGCTTGGGTTCCTTTGTGGCACTTAGAGTCTGAGAAATAGCTAGGTTGAAAGCTACGCTTGGGTTCCTTTGTGGCACTTAGAGTCTGAGAAATAGCTAGGTTGAAAGCTACGCTTGGGTTCCTTTGTGGCACTTAGAGTCTGAGAAATAGCTAGGTTGAAAGCTACGCTTGGGTTCCTTTGTGGCACTTAGAGTCTGAGAAATAGCTAGGTCGAAAGCTACGCTTGTGTTCCTTTGTGGCACTTAGAGTCTGAGAAATAGCTAGGTTGATAGCTACGCTTGTGTTCCTGTGAAGCATTAAGAGCCTGAGTAATAGCTAGTCTAATAAGCTATGCTTGTGTCCCTGTGTGGTATTTAGAGCCAGGTGGGTTGTGTCCTGGTTGACTTGGATAGCGTACAGGTTCTGCCTGCACTGATACAGTTTGGGGGACGAACTTTTAAGAGTACGGCATTTACTACAATGATTAATTGATTGACTGGTTATAATTGGATTGACAGGTTATAATTGATTGATTGACTGGTTATGATGGAATAATTGATTTACTGGTAATAACTAAATGATTGACGGTTATGATTTATTGTTTAACTGGTTATGACTGATTGCTTGACTGGTTATGACTGGTTATGACTGATTATGACTGATTGATTGACTGGTTATGACGAATTCTATTCTAGATACAGTTTCTACAGTTTAGTAGCAATAAAACCAAACTCTACAGCTTGCCCAACCATCAGAGCTTTCAGGTTAATAAACACTATTATCATTTTCTATATAATAAAAGAAGACATTCATATTTATGTTGCCTATAGCCGGTTAAACGGCCAAATTATTATCATTATTATTATTATTATATACTAATCTCCCTAGTCTAGCCTAGTCCCCCCCTAACAACCTTCCCTGCAGCCCCTGAGATCCTTCTTATCTCCCTAGTCTAGCCTAGTCCCCCTCTCACAACCTTCCCTGCAGCCCCTGAGATCCTACTAATCTCACTAGTCTAGCCTAGTCCCCCCCTCACAACCTTCCCTGCAGCCCCTGAGATCCTACTAATCTCACTAGTCTAGCCTAGTCCCCCCCCCTCGCAACCTTTCCCGCAGCCCCTGAGATCCTTCTAGTCTCCCTAGTCTAGCCTAGTCCATATTAATCTTATAAATAATTGTTGTTTTTGTTATTTATTATTGACTGGAAAAAAAATCATATACATATATTTTTTTGGTAAATATACAATTTGAAATATGTTGGATAATTATTAAGTGAATAATGATATAAAAATTATTTTACAATGCGCAATGCATCATTTTCCCCCCATAAAGAAGAATTTTTTGTTTGACTTATTAAAGTCATAATTTCTAAGATATTCTAGGATATTACAGTTTTTCTATCCTTATAAATTTACTTTATTGTCTTTGCAACATAATCCGCAAGTTTCCTTAACAGAGAGAACCCATTTTTGAAAATAGTCAATTTTGACCTAGAAAGGTTTAAATAATACCTTTGCTACTTGGACATGACACTCTAAATGGAATCCCACTTGAAATTATGTCTACAGTCCCTTTAAAATCTTGTCATTTTTAACATAATTTCATATTCTCAAAATTCCAAAGGGGGGGCAATATTAATCCCTGACCCCCCCCCCCTCCCTGTAAGCAGACTCTTCTGCTTGATTAAAAACGCAATCCGATTACTAAGCTGTATTAAAGGTAATAATAAATCTCATCAAGGAATAAGTCCCGATGATTAAAAATTATTAAAAACGTTTATAGAAAGTTCATCGCAGTTAATTTTAAGAAATTATTTGTGACAAAAGAAATGATTACAATCTTTACGATTTTCTCCCCCTTTTTCTTAATCCTCTTCTTACATTATAAAAATATAAATTCTAGGTTTAAAGGGAGCATCGGTAACAAAGTAAACGATATAATGTTACTATCTTGAAAATTTGATTCGGGATAGATGTTCAATAGCATTAAATTTAATAACTTATATTTATTTACACTTGAAGAAAGAGACTTCATTATTTCTAATTTAAAGTACAAAGGAATTGAGTCTTTGTCACAAAATCTGATTTTCTAATATCTATTTCTTTGCAATCCAATTTCGTAGACCTTAGATTTTTCAAACTATGAATTCTGATGGATCAAATAGTCCAAATTTGAAATATCAAGGGTTTTCACCATCAGGTTGCCAAGATATAAGGATTAGAAAATTCGAATTTATAGCGAAAACTCAATTCCTTTACTGTACTGCATGACATAATCTAGGTTTAAAATTTTATTAACGATCTATTTCGTCGCCAGCACATGATCGGGTTGTTCCGATCCAATCTCGGAGTTTTTACTGTTGGAATAGTTTAGCGTTGTAAGTTTTTTTCTGTTGGAATAGTTTAGCGTTGTAAGTTTTTACTGTTGGAATAGTTTAGCGTTGTAAGTTTTTTTGTTGGAATAGTTTAGCGTTGTAAGTTTTTTTCTGTTGGAATAGTTTAGCGTTGTAAGTTTTTTTCTGTTGGAATAGTTTAGCGTTGTAAGTTTTTACTGTTGGAATAGTTTAGCGTTGTAAGTTTTTTTGTTGGAATAGTTTAGCGTTGTAAGTTTTTTTCTGTTGGAATAGTTTAGCGTTGTAAGTTTTTTTGTTGGAATAGTTTAGCGTTGTAAGTTTTTTTCTGTTGGAATAGTTTAGCGTTGTAAGTTTTTTTCTGTTGGAATAGTTTAGCGTTGTAAGTTTTTTCTGTTGGAATAGTTTAGCGTTGTAAGTTTTTATTAATATGCCAGGGGTTGTAGCAATAAAAAAATTTAATATAATCAGAACATTCGTAGTTAATCCTGTATTAAAAATTTATTATTAAACAGTTTTTTCTTTAATTTTTTTATTTAGTTTGATTAAGATTATCATCAAGCTGAAATCCTGCTTCATTATTAGATGATGTGAGAAACCTAAATAAAGAAAGAATTAAAGGATTAAAAATTAATTTAGAATAATTTAGAATAACGTTGAAGGGACTGGTTAGTGTGATTAAAAGTGACAATTTATTTGTTGCATCTGGCTTTAATCCTTGGACTGACCAAGATTGACGGAATTTTCCTTATTATTAAACTGATAGTATCTTAAATATAACTATTTGCATCAAAATTTAAAGGGCTTATTTCCAGAAATTAATAAAGCATATCTATAATTGAATTTATTGAACTAAACAGCTTGCTGATATATTTTAAAAAAGTATCTATTTCCAACATTTTTAAAATTACAATAATTAATAGCAAAGGCATGTTCCTGGTTAATTTTATGCAAAAGTTTTCAATTTAAATAAATATCCGCCATCTTGAAAAAATCTTATAAACAGTCTCTTTTACAGTCTTGAAATCTTTTTACATTTTCACAAATCGATAAAACTTAAAATTGACCTCACTTGGGGTAGGGGAGAAGGACTTAAACTTCGACAGTAATGGTTCTCAGTCAGATAGAAATCTTAAACAAAAATTAAATGTTTGTAAAGTAAAAAAATAAATTAAAAAAAAATAATAATAAAAAAGAAAAATAAATAAAAAAGGTTGACAGAAAAAATTTACCTTTAAGATTTACTGAGTTATGATCGAATGGAAGAAAATGATTTCTAAGTTTTAAATCATCATCAGATCTATAAACACAACATCAGATGTATAAACACAACATCAGATCTATAAACACAACATCAGATGTATAAACACAACATCATTTCTATAAACACAACATCAGATGTATAAACACAACATCAGATCTATAAACACAACATCAGATGTATAAACACAACATCAGATCTATAAACACAACATCATATCTATAAACACAACATCAGATCTATAAACGCATCATCAGATGATCTATAAACACAACATCAGATCTATAAACACAACATCAGATCTATAACCACAACATCAGATCTATAAACACAACATTAGATCTATAAACACAGCATCAGATCTATATAAACACAACATCATATCTATAAACACAACATCAGATCTATAAACACAACATCAGATCTATAAACACAACATCAGTTCTATAAACACGATTTTAAATCATCATCTAAGTGGATAATGACATATTTGAACATTCATTCGTATACATAATTATGCAATTATCGTTTCTTTACCTTTAATAACCTAGTACCTCTTTTTGTGCTTAGAATGCTTTCAAAATCACCAAAGGGATAAAATTTGTTTGCTGAATTTTCAATTTAGAACATAAATTGTCCATTTCGTATTTTATTGATAATTATAAAGAAAAACAAAGAAATTTCACGTCTTACGTCTTACTTGGTTTCAAAGCATAACTGTTTTTTTTATTTAAAGAGCTATTTAGAACAAGAAAAAAGGCTTTGAGTTTTTAATATGCTTTCAAATAAAATTGTTTTTCTCCTTCTTAGGTTTAAAATCAGAACTAGAGGACCTACGCGGGGTCTAAAAGTAGAGGACCTACGTGGGGTCCAAAACTAGAGGACTTACGCGGGGTCTAAAACTAGAGGACCTACGCGGGGTCCAAAACTAGAGGACCATCGCGGGGTACAAAACTAGAGGACCTACGTGGGGTCTAAAAGTAGAGGACCTACGCGGGATCCAAAACTAGAGGACCTTCGCGGGGTCCAAAACTAGAGGACCTACGCAGGGTCCAAGACTTGAGGACCTAGGCGGGGTCCAAAACTAGAGTAACTATGCGGGGTCCAAAACTAGAGGACCTACACGGGGTCCAAAACTAGAGAACCTACGCGGGGTCCAAAACTAGAGGACCTACGCGGGGTCCAAAACTAGAGGACTTACGTGGGGTCCAAAACTAGAGGACCTACGCGGGGTCCAAAACTAGAGGACCTACGCGCGGTACAAAAGTAGAGGACCTACGCGGGGTCCAAAACTAGAGGACCTACGCGGGGTCCAAAAGTAGTTCCAGTTCTTTTACATCAAGTTTACCTTTTTCTTTCTTTTGATTGGAAAGCTTCAAATTTGCACAACATTTCTTTAAATACCCACGTTGTCATTAAAAACCCATCAAAGATAAACAGTGATCTTTAAATCGTCTCTTAAAAGTTATTTATCATGTTTAATGGCAACACTTTAGTTTATGTAGTGGTACTTAATCAGATAACAAGGAAACTTTCATATTTTCATCATTTAATATTTATTCTGAAGATATCAGATAATGTCCTTAATAACGGAACCATAAAACGAATATATTGTATGTTGAATAGTTTATAGGATTAAAGATGGGCATGGTTTGACTTTTTTATTTCAGTAAAATCGTTCGTTCAATAAAAAACGTTAGGTTTTCATTGACATATTCGAAAAAATCATTCTTTTGATTAATAAATATTGCTTTTAAAAAAGTTTGTTCCAAATATCATTCGTTCAGTAAAAACGATAGATTTTTAAAAATCTTTTGGAAAATTCGTTCGTTCAGTAAAAAAACCGATTTTAAATCGTTAGTTTTTTCGTTTTTAAAAAACTAAAAATTTTTCATTTCCCTGGATGATTCATTTCGTTCGTCCATCGTTCGTTTTTTTACGAGCATTTCGTTTGTTAAAAAAACAATGCCCATCTCTATATAGAATATATATAAGATTCCCATCTCTAAATAGAATATATATAAGATGCCCATCACTAAATATAATATATATAAGATGCCCATCTCTATATAGAATATATATAAGATGCCCTGAATAGAATATATATAAGATGCCCATCTCTAAATAGAATATATATAAGATGCCCATCTCTAAATAGAATATATATAAGATGCCCATCACTAAATAGAATATATATAAGATGCCCATCTCTAAATAGAATATATATAAGATGCCCATCACTAAATAGAATATATATAAGATGCCCATCTCTAAATAGAATATATATATAAGATGCCCACTAAATAGAATATATATAAGATGCCCATCTCTATATAGAATATATATGAGAAATTACCTAACGTCTACAGGATAATAAGCATCTACTATTTTAGAAACGAAATCAGGGGGTAACACGGGAAACCTAAAAAAATACATTTTGCTTTCAATCTTGTTTTTAAACATTAAAGGGACTGTTAACTTCATTTTAAGGGACCCTCCGTTTATGGCATGTCCGATTAACTACAGGGTGTCCCACGAAACATGACGTTGATGAACAGTTTAAAATGTCTTCTTCCATAATTTGTTAATTTGTTTAATACCAAAAACAATACTAAAAATGTTAAATGGGAGTCTTGTTATAGTAAAATTTATTTCAAAGTAAAATATATTCAAGCAAAAGATTTTTTTTAACGAAATAAACTGCAAAAAGCCTTTAATATCTAATGCAATATTGGGAAGACGACATTCATAACTATTCATCAACTGTCATGTTTCGTGGGACACCCTAAACTAGAAAGCTTTATCTGATTTATAATTTTGAAAATTGACTATTTTTAATCATGGGTTCTCTACAAAAGAGGTTTGCGCATTTCTTCTGCAGGAAAACTTTGTATGAATTATAATATTTAAACTCTTTATATCTTCCGCATCAATTGACCAGATAATGGATTTAAGAGTCCCGTTGTGAATCATGCATGCCACTTTTCTTATTTGAATGGATGGTCACCTGAAATTATAACCACAGTCCCTTTTCATATGTTTATTATTACTTCTGAGATAAATGTTAATCTTATTTTTATAAAGGGGCGCAACAACACCACTCCCTCTAGAGGGAGTGTGGTGTAAATGTAAAAGGTAAATTTTTTGGGCAAAATCAGACAAAATTAGAAAAAATGTCAGAATGAAAATGTCAAAATCATAAGATAACAATATTTTTACACCACATATCCCCCCAGCCCCCCTCTAACCTAATATCGAAGTTGCGCATATCCCCCCCAGCCCCCCTCTAACCTAATATCGAAGTTGCGCATATCCCCCCAGGCCCCCCTCTAACCTAATATCGAAGTTGCGCCTATGAAAGTTGCATTTTTTCTTATTGTCCAATTCACCTGCTATTATTAACATATTTCTGGGACTGGGATGAAGGCTGATAAATTGGATATTTTCTTGATTGGTTGATATAGCAGTTGGTCGGTTGATTGCTGAAGAAGTTGGTCGGTTGATTGCTGTAGCAGTTGGTCGGTTGGTTTGTAGTTTGATTAGTTGATTGGTCGGTTGATATGAAAATGTTTAAGAAACGACGACATAAACTTTCTTCTTCTTTTGGAACCAAAGCTGAGACAAATCTTCTTAATAGAAATTTAACATTTGATTAAAACATATTGTATATACAGTTGTTTTAAAGATATAAGCTTTAAAGGGGCTGTGAGCACAATTTCAAGTCACCCTACATTTATGAAATTACGCTTACAGTCCCTTTATTTACATTTGTTGGTCTATTTTTATCAAGAGAAACTTAAATTCCTCTTAAAAAGTTTTCTGAATCCTTCATTAAGCCTAAATTTGATGCTTTGAGTTAAGCTAAAAGTTTTAAAATGTTTTATTGACTAAAAAGATATATTTTAAACCTTTTAATGAGGTAGCAAGCTAACACGGTGAATGGAAGAGTGAAGAAAAATAGAAATGAGAGGAGACCTTAAAAAAAATAGGTTGAGGTTTGTTTTGTTAACTTATAAAACAGTGTGTCCTAAAAAAATGGAAATGAAATGACGACTTCTATATCGTCTTTGTTATTACGCTGACACAATTTTATTATTTATTCATTATAGGTAATCGATGATGATTTTAAAGTCGTCTCTTAAATCCCATGTTTGTTAGGACATCCTGTATTAAATATCCGGTGCCCCCCCGGTTCAACATTTAACAATTCAACGTTTAAAATTCATCCATTTAACATTAAATTTATATTATTCAAATCTTTCTTGTTTTTCTGTAGAGCATTCCCCCTTGTTACCCACAAAGGATAAGACTTTAGAGACGACTGCACGGAATTTGTTCAGTCTTGTTTCTTGCACGCAGGGTTCCCTGTAGCTGTAAAGTTGTTTCTTTCTTTGCCAGATTATTTAATTCACAGTCCCACGACACATGACAATTGGTGAATATTTTAGAGTGTCTTATTCCATATTTTGTTAAGATGTTTGATACCAAAAACAATACTAAGAATGTTATATGGGAGTCAGAGTAAAATTCAATTTAAAAGTAAAATGTATTTGAACAAAAGGTTCTTTTACGAAATAAACTGCAAAAAGCCTTAAATATTATAATACAGTATGTAAAAGACGACATTCAAAACTATTTTTCAACTGATCATGTTTCGTAGGACACCCTGTACCTGAGATAAACTGCATTCAAGAGAGAAGACTAAAAAGTAAAAACCTTTATACTGGCCCATTAAAAGATTGATAATCTTAATAACCTGGAATGATGTAAATTGAGTGATACTTTAACGTCGTCTTTGATCTTAGAAATAGTTTGCGGCATTTAACATTGGACACTCAAATTTAGCAATATTTTTTGGGGAAACAATAATCACAGAACAGCCATTTTCAAAATGTGGTCTGTCATTTTTAGCTCGCATAAATACCAGAGATATTAGAATTGCAATTAATTAAATAAAACCATGAAAATGTCTCATTCTGAACGAAATCATTCACATCTCCGGTAATTGTAAAAGCACTAAAATGGCAGACCACATTTTGGAAATAGTAGAACTCTGATAATTGTTTCATAAAAATTAATTTCTAAAATGAAGGTACCAATGTTGTTGAATACTGCAAACTATTCCTAAGATCAAAGACGACTATAAAGTATTAATTAATTTACATTATTCCGACTTATTTAGACTATAACTGTAGGACAACATTAAAGGGAGTGACCGGCTAGGTAACATATTTGTACAGAAAGTGTTATGGAGAAAAAACTTAGGATTCATTTAAAACCAATGAGACGTTTTCGCAGTGTATAATTTCTAAATAAGAGTGTAAATTCGTTGTAAAATTTCCCCTAAAGGGACAGTCCGCAGAAAGAAGTGTTTTAGAATCATTTAAAAACCTGGACGAAAAATGTACCAACAATTCAACAGTTAGCTAATTTGTTGTTTAGGAACATATTTTTTTAATAGAAATTTGTATGTTTACCTGTTAAAACAAGAGATAGATCTTGTATTCCAGGTGATACAAGAATAGTGTAGAATATTAACCCTCCTTCAGATACCTGATACAGATACAGATACAGATGCAGATAAAGATGTAGACACAGATACAGATACAGATACAGATATACATTTAATTACAAATACAGACACAGATACATATACAGATAAATATACATGCAGACACAAATACAGATAAAGATACAGATACAGACATACATTCAAATACAATGTACATGCAGACACAGATACCGATAAAGATTCAGATACGGATAGAATTGCAGATACACATACACATACAAATATAGATTTAGACACAGATACAGATACAGATACAGATAAAGATGCAGATGCAGATGCAGATGCAGATGCAGATGCAGATGTAGACGCAGTTACAGATACAGATAAAAATACATATATACATACAGACACAGATTCAGATACAAATAAAGATAGAGATAAAAATACAGATACAGATACTGATACAGATGCAATTACAGATAAAGACACAGATACAAATAAAGATACAGATACAAATAAAGATACAGATACAAATACAGATACAGATACTGATACAGATACAGATACAAAGATTTATATATAGACCCAAATCCAGATACGTAGATATGGAGACAAAAGAGAATATTGATAGCTAAATAAGGATTTGATAAAGTTTTCCATTTCTATTTAATGTACAATGCTAACTGATTTTTTTAAATGTTGCGCGCGTTAACGTCTCCCATTGCACTATAAACTGTTAGTAATTACTGAAAAGAATTAATAATCGTCTATTAAGTTTTAAAAACTGTTTGAAGAAAGTAAAAAAAAATATGAAATTATCATGGTAGTAATTTTTTCGTATTCAATCGGGAACAACTTGGATCCGTTAAAATCTTTGAAAAAGTATTGAAAATTAAGAGAGTGGCCGGCAATGGTATTTCTCAATTGAAATTTTCTCAATAAATAAATTATTTCTTTTTCATCAGTATATTGAATTTATTATTCTTTATGAATTTGTTCGCAGATCTCTTCAAATTCTTCAAATGTCTTCTTTTCAATAAAAATTCCAGGAAATCTACAGAAAATATTGTGAACAATGAGACATAACGGAAACCAATAACTGAATAAGATTACTTACTTTCGATGATAATTGTTAATTTGAATTGAATGATAATAAAATAATTAACAACAGAATAATAATCTGAATAATAACAAGAAAAATAATAAATAATCACCAATAGAATAATAATCAGAATAATAACAAGAAAAATAATAAAATAATTACCAATAGAATAATAATCAGAATAATAACAAGAACAATAATAAAATTTATCACCAATAGAATAATAATCAGAATAATAACAAGAACAATAATAAAATAATCACCAATAGAATAATAATCAGAATAATAACAAGAACAATAATAAAATAATTACCAATAGAATAATAATCAGAATAATAACATGAAAATTAATAAAATAATTACCAATAAATAATAATCAGAATAATAACAAGAAAATAAATAAAATAATTACCAATAGAATAATAATCAGAATAATAACAAGAAATATAACTTTTGTTTCGCTTTTCATTTCTATCACCCTTTCAAAATATGAAAAAGTTAAAAAACAGAAAAACTAGATCAAATAATATTTTTTTATTATACACAAGTGTGTCAAGAACTGGCGTTGTTTAGATCTCCAGAATGTGCAATGTGCAATGTGCATGCAGATACAGTGAGGACCAGAAAACTGTGGAGATGGAAGAAGACATTTAAACAATAATTAAATGTACTTCATGTTGTAACAAAGCAACTAGTGTTACTAATACAAGTTTACTTTTTCTGTGAAACTAGTCAGTTTATGTACACTGTACAATTGGCTCAGATGATATGATGTATTTAACACTTCGGCTGCTGTAATTCATAAGGCAAGGGTTGCTTATGGCAATCATATCTTTTATGGTAAATGAAACAGGTGCCCTATAATTGACCTAAAAGATATACTTCAAGGATGACTTCGTCATGAAATAAAGTGGGTTGCATAAAACTGTACAGTAGGAAGACGACTGTTTGACTCAGTTGTAATGATTATAAATAGTCCAATGAACTTGAAACACAGCAAGTGTTCAGAGACCGTTCTCTCTCTATAAATAGTGGTCGTGTAGTTCACGTACTTTGGGGGAGGATATGTTGGCCTCTAGGATGTCTCATGCTAAATATCACCGTACACTTGACCAATATAGGAGACGTCAAGTTGTCGACCAATGTAGTTTATAGAAAAAACGGCCTCAGTGCTGTACACACTGTACATAGTCCTTTTCTAATAAGTAAGTATATTTTCAAGCTATACTGGTAAAACTATTTACTTTACACATCAAAATACACAAAAGATGGCTTGAATGTCGTCTTTCCATTATCAGTCTACAGGTTCGCTTTTTTAAGTATTTTGGTTAGAGGACACTTGTATATTAACAAAAAAAAGTTAGATAATGGTTGTAAATGACGGATTTGTTAAATATTAATCCTATTCATTATTCTGGTGTCAAAGATTTGTATTTCTTTTTTTAGATAACTTCAAGCGACTCGCTAATTTTTTCAAAGAATGACATGCCAGATTAACAACTTCTGTCTGACAAGGGGTGAATGAGATATCCTTAATAGCTGAAAATTTTAATATTTTTAACATTGATTTGCAGATTTATACTAAAGAGACGCGAGGGAAATTGTCAGAATTTAACATCTATTAATGTAGAAAGTGAAAGGAAAATTAAATAATAATAATCTCCTCAGATGTACAAGATGTCAAGTTCCCAAAAGAACGTTTTTTTGTGACTTATCCATGTAAATTGTTATTTTGTAATTCAAACAAATCTCAAAAAAACTTGTGTAGCTTAACAGCCCGTGTAAAATGAGTGTTATCTGTTGACTAAAGACCTGTAAATCTGTATATTTACATTCAACAAACTTTGTTTATATTAAGTGTAAACGTTGACTTCGAGAAAGGTAATAACTACTTTCTTAGGATTTATAAATATATTTTTAGGACTGTGTTTTCAGAGCGACCCCATACCTACCAGAATACCTCCACAGTTTATATATCATTTCTCCGATTGTAAAGTTTTATCACATTTATAAAAAATTTAACTATTATTTAAAGTAGACGTATCCAGGATTCAATCCTGTACAAAGGACAGAGTTTGCTCGAAATATTCATCCCTATCGTTAGCGCTATGTTCGGCACCTCCAGGGATCATGGCTAGCAGCTGGCTCAATCAAAAAACACTCAGAATAACCCTTAATACTTTACTAAAATGATCATCCTAGGTTACTTCAGTCTCATGCTTAAAGGGAGTGACCGGCTATGTAAGGTAGTTGAACTGAGTATGCAGTGTTGTGGACAAATTCTGAAGGATTCATTTGAGACATATAAAACTTTATAAAGATCTGTAAATCCTGAAATTGAGCGCAAAGTCGACGTTCAAAATCGTACTTTTGGGTGGATACGTTTCAGAATTTTTTTTTTTAAATTATTAAATAACGACGATATACAATGTAAACAAAATTCTTCATTAAACTAATTTGTTGTTTAGGAACAGGTTGAAAAAATAAAAAATTAACTCTTATCATCGAAAATAAGTAATTTTATTCAATTATTAGCTTCTTTAATCTCTCTTTAATCAAAGATTTTCTGGAATTTTTACTAAAAAGACAACATTTGAAGAATTTGAAGAAATCTGCGAGCAAATTCATAGAAAATAAGAAATTCAATATTATTATGAAAAGGAAATGATTAATTCTAACTTCCATTTATTGACAAATTTCTTTTGAGAAATATGTTCCTAAACATCTTATTAGTTTACTATAGAATTTTTACTATAATTTTCGTCATCGTTATTTAATAATTTAAAAAAAACCGATTCTGAGATAGTACCCACCCAAAATCATGATTTTGAACGTCGACGTTGCGATCAAACTCAGTAATTTAACATCGTGGAAACGTTTTCTATGTTTCAAATAAGTCCTGAAGAATTAGTTCACAACACTGCATATTCAGTTTAACTACCTTACATAGCCGGTCTGTCTCTTTAAGATGGAAATCAAACATACAAACGAAATGGAATAAAATAAGCCAGTGCTGTAAAAATAAGAAATCCAAATTTCTAAATTGAAAGAAAGGTTAAAATATTATTCGAGATATTGGAAATATTTTATCCAAATGTGAAAAGACCACTCTAGTACTGTTGTTTAAAATTGCTGAACATTTGATAATTAATGAGAGATCATATAAACTGATCTGAACTTTGAATTGGCCAATCAAAATTGAAAATAGAAATGTTTTTGAACTTGATCCGGATCCATACACACCAGACTCCGGATTCAGTTCCGTATCAAAATAAAATAGAAAGTAATCACTAGTTTAAACAATATCTGAACTAAGCGAAATGTTTTATGGGTAAATTAAATGTTAAAAACTAAAAATGTTAACTATAAAATAATTTTCCATGATTATGTACTCACAAATATACTGGTTTAAAAAATAAATTCAGTAATTACATTTTATTAAAAACTAAGACAATAAAACGACAATAATAATCCTAACTTTGTCACAAAACATTTAAATACATTTTCATTGTTAAGAAGAGAAAAATTAAAAACACTTTTAAAAATGCTTTTAAGGAAACCGAAGCTTTTAGATTTTAAACCTAGCAACCTGGTAATCATCAGAATTCTTACTTTTAAGTTCCTAACTCTGAAATATTTTTCCGAAATCTTCCCCAACATATTCGGAATCTCCACCAACATATTCGCAATCTCCCCCAACATATTCGGAATCTCAGCCAACATATTCGGAATTCTTGGATGTTAATTTCAAAATCTTCACATAATAGTTTAAGCCAATGAATTCCGAAATTTATATGACAATTTCCGAATTCTTACAATAAGTTTTAAATTATTACATATTAGCTTCCGAATCTCTTAGAAATAAATTTCAAATTCTTACTTAGCTAAGAATTTATATTTATCATTTTCCGAATTTTTCCAAATAAGTTTACGAATGCATATATTTTTGTTCACGAATTCTTATATTTTCATTTCCAAATTCTAACAAAAAAGCACCATAGATCTTGCTTACAAAATCCCGAATTTTCGCAAGATAATTTCGAATTCTTTCTTAAATGTTTCTTAAATAGCTATCAGTTTGAAAAACTTTCGAAAATAAATATTATCTACAGATTGCAGATTTCAAAGCAGAAACTTCATAAATTATCAAAGTAAATTTTTCAATGAAAATAGTTTCTTCTAAAGAAGTTTTATACAAAATACTAAAAGGATTTTTCAAAAGTTAAAAAGTTATTATTATATTGCACTCAAACACTTCAAACACGATTATAAATAGTAAATACAGACACAGTGGTCACCAGAAATGATGGAAAAGGAAAACGACCTGAGCTGAAAACTTTAGAATGGGATATCCTTAATCCTGATCTGCTAATTAATCTGGAGATTAATAACATGAGGAGAACAAGCAATATTTAATCTGCAGATTAAGAAAAAGAGGAGATCAAGCATTAATCTCCATATCCACCATTATAAACTTCCAGCTCTGGAGATTAATAACATGAGGAGAACAAGCAATATTTAATCTGCAGATTAAGAAGAAGAGGAGATCAAGCATTGATCTCGATATCCACCATTATAAAGTTTTCAGCTCTGATTTCCATAAAGCTTGTTGATAACGTTATGAAATTTTTTACCTATGTCAGTGTACAGTGTACACTGTATACTGTACACTTTACATAAACTATACAAACTTTTCAAACAATATTTATGGTTGAAGGTAGTCTCCATTTCATTTTTTGAGACCCCTGAAATATTTTATTTTTTTCTAACTTGAGCAATCGTCTTCTTCGTACACCACATCACATTCACCTATTACCCCCATCTCTCCGAATGGGATAATCATAAAATCATGCTTTTTGAGTCTGTGTTTCTTCAGATTTGAGGATGTACTCGCAACATACTCACACTCGTCACAATGGTATCGAATTTTGGTATGTTTAATCTCTATGTGTTTCTTGAGGTTTGATGAGGTTGTCGCCACGTAGTCACACAGATCGCAGGGATGCCGTAGACCAACATGCTTTATTTCTTTGTGAGTTTTCAGATTAGAAGATGTGGTGGCAGAATATTCACAGTCGTCACATTGATATCTGACCCCCTCATGTTTACTCTTCTTGTGCTCTTTCAGGTTTGACGAAGTTGTAGCGGCGTATTCGCATTCAGAACATATGAAACGTACGCCCTCATGGAAGCTCCCGATGTGGTGTCTTAAACTAGAGGCAGAAGTTGCTGAAAAGTCACATTGATCACATGAAAATAGAATTCCTTGATGCAATACCAATTTATGTTTCTTTAACTGAGCCGGAGAAGAACCAGCAAACTCACATTCTTCACATTCATATTTAACATTTTCATGTTTGGACTCCTTGTGCCTTTTCAGAGACGTTGCTTGTGTCGCAATGTAATCACATTCAGTGCAGGGGTAAACCACGCCTTGATGTTTATTCTCCTTGTGCTTTTTCAAATTTCCTAATGTCGTTGATTTATAATCACACTGATCACAGGCATGATATATTCCGTCATGTTTCCCCTTTCTGTGTTGGTTCAAATTCGACGACGTGGTGGCAACATAGTCACATTCAGTACAGGGATATTTTCTACCTTCAGTCGGCATGATTAACAGATCGCCTAAAAAATATTTGCTGAACGGCAAAGTCACTTAAATTTGCCCCACAAATAGTTAAAATATCTATATTGATTATATTTAAGGGACTTCCGTGTTAATTTGATGTGCACTTCCTTTTAAACAGGGATATGACCGATTCCCAATGGTATTCGATTAACCTTACTCTGATCAATAATGATGAAGATATCGACATTTATCAGGCATCACGGCCATATCCTCCGCTATTTTAATCCAGAAATCTAAAAGTCTGGTGAGTCAATTGAAAATAAGATTACAGTCCTTTAATGGTATTGCAATACTACGGTAAAAATACGTGCATTGAAAAAAATACACCCCCCCACTAAAAAAATCCCCAAGAAAGCATGGTAAGTACCTGACACCTGTCCTTAGAGTAGAGAAAATCAAAACCTTGTAAGAAACATTTCTTTCTAAAAATAAATAATAAAGAACAGGAGATAAATTAATCAGAGCCAAAAACTTTAGTATGATGGATCCCAAAATCAATGCTCTTTTTCTTAATCTCGAGATTAAATAATGCTTGTTCTCCTCTTGTTATTAATCTCCAGATTAATTAACCGATCGGAATTAAGGATATCCCGTTCTGAAGTTTTCAGCTTAGATCACACAAGCTGTAAACATGTATAAATTAGATTTCTTTGATCGACAAGAAACACGATGGATTAATAAATAATACTAAATTGGTTGACTTAAAGGTAATGTTAACCCTATCCCCGCTGGGGTACTTGAAAACCAGGATACGCTGGGGGGGGGGCAATTTGACCCCCCCCTCTAAATCCCATGTTTTATGTCCAAATATGACAAATGATACATCATTAGAAAGCTCTTGTGCTCTACTTTTAGAATCTGCAAAAAAATTTGCAAATTTGCGAAAATTTAATTTTTTATCGCAAAATCCAGTTTTATAGTAAAAATGTTTGAAAAAAAAAATTTGTCCAAAAAATGACAAATTATACATTTTTGAAAAGCCCTTGACCATGCCATTTCAAATATGCAAAAATTTTTGCAAAATTTTAAATAACCTGATTTTTAATCAAGAAAAACTAAAAATGTGCAAATTTCCTTTGACAGGTTTTTTGCAAAAAATTTGCAATTTTTTTTTCGCAAAACTTTTGCAATCCGTTTCCTTATGTCATAGGCTTTCCAAAAAGCTAAATTTTATCAAAATCTGACAAGTGAAAGTGGGTCAAAACAAAGATTTAGTTTGCTACAGGCAAAAGCAGTCATTCAGCTAGTGTGCCTGAGGACTCAGGCAGTTAGTATTAAAGCCCGGTTTTAGGCCTATGTAAGAAAAGTCAGAAAATTTCAACAGCCTCAGACCTATACTTTTTGAGTTATGTAGAAAAAACTACAGGGGGGGGTCAAATTGACCCCCCCCCAGCGGGAATAGTGTTAACGATATTTCAACGGTTTCCTTCATCCAAGCATCGATGAGATCAAGGATTCTAATATTAAATTGATAACATGCATTTTTTGTCATCTTAACAACCCCTCATTCAATGAATTAGAGAAGAAAGACGCTCCTTGCCACCAAATTCAGCAAAATAAAATAAAAAACTGCAGAAAGATGCCGGAACAACTGAGGAATAAAAAGAGGGTGAATTTTTTTAAAAGAAAATATACACCCCGTATATTAAAAAATTCTTTATAATTTTTAATTAGGTACATGTATAAAGGGATAATGATAAAATTCGGGACCAATCCAATATAATATAATAAGGGTTCTTCATAATTTAACAACATGTCATGGATCCTTTTAGATAAAAATTAAGATGTGTTTGACAGAAAACTAACTGCCACCGCATTAAAATTAACACAATTGTATATAAGTATAAAGAATGGCAATAATATAAGCTAAAATTACAACCTTTAGCTGAAGTGTTACAGGTTAAAAATAATCTTGAGATCATAGATTACAAAGAGATAAGATGAAATATTTCTACATAATACTTTTTATGCATTGCATGCTATACAACAAGTAAAAGCTTATCACAAACGTATGGCATCCAGATAGGCCATGTCTCTAAAAACGTGACAGAAGCTTTAAAAAAAGGACCTAATCTATATATCTATATATATACTTTGGTTGTCTGTTAGTTTGTATCCAAAAAACGTTAAAACGGCTGAACCGATTGTGCCTAAATATTGTGTGGCAGCTCAAATGACCTCAAAAACGTACATTAATGAAACTTTGCCCGGAAAAAATTTATAACATTTAATTTTTTAAATGCGCAAATTTTTACAGAAAACTCAGAAAATAATGGCTGCTTGAAGAATGAAGAAGAGCAACGGTTAATAGCTAAAATGGGACGCAAAGCGCCCTGAAAGCCTAGCTTTAGAATATTACAGTCTTAAGTTTGCTCAGTACATAATCACATCCATAATCAACAGAGATGTTTTCTTTTTCTATGCTTTTTCAAGATACTACTAACCGATGCCGAGTAATCACACTGATTACAATAAAATTTTACTCCTTCATGTTTACTCTTCTTGTGTGTTTTTAATGCTGAAGGTTGACTAGCTGCATAATCACACATATCACAGGGATACTTTACACCTTCATGTCTGCTTAACCTGTGCTTCTTCAGATCTGAAGAGATCGTAGCGGCATAATCACACAGATTACAGGGGTACTTAATACCAAGATGAACACCTTGCCTGTGCTGCTTTAAACTAGGTAAAGTGGTTGCCGCGTAATCACATTGATCACAGGGATATTTGATACCTTCGTGTTTACTTTGCTTGTGCTGTTTCAGAGTAGTTAAATGTGCTGCAGTATAATCACACTGATCACACAGAAACCGTTTTTCTTCGTGCATGCTTTGACTGTGTCGTTTCAGATCTGATATTTTAGTCGCAGAGTAACTGCATTTTTCACAAGGATATCGAATGCCTTCATGCTTGACATCTCTATGCCTTTTCAGAGTTGTCAGGTCAGTTGTGGCAAAGTAGCATTGATCACAAAAATACTTAAAGCCTTCGTGTTTCACACGTTTGTGGTGTTCTAGTAGAGACGGCGCTGTGGCTGCATGCTCACAAATATCACATTGATATCTCACTCCTTCATGGATACTTTCTCTGTGTCTCTTCAGATCCGAAGTCCTAGTTGCCGAATACTCGCACTGATCGCATGGGTACCTAATCCCATCGTGTTTACTCATTCTATGCTTTCTTAAAGTCGACGAATCGTTGGCCGTGTACTCACACTGATCACAATTGTGTTTAACATTTTCTTCGTGTTTTCTCTTATTATGCTTCTTAAGATTTTGGAGATCATTACTTGAATATTCACATAATTTACAGTCGTAAGATTGAGAAGTTCCGCTAGATTTCTTGTCATCTTTTATCTCCTTTATCCCATCACCTTAAATATGAAATAATAATATTTTTCAGTCTCTTCAAATAATTGACACGAGTTAAATTCATATTTTTAATCTTTAATCTACTACTTCCCATGCGCTTCACACATCATTGGGGTTACACAAGTAGTGGGGGCTATAGTAAAGAGCCCAATACCCCTTGATAAGTGAAATCCATGAGTCCCTGAATTCGCGCTCCTCAGCTGAGATTTTAAAAGCTTAAACCCAAGAAAAAACACAGGTTTAGCGTCCGTTTCAACCCAACTAAAGCTCAAGCCAAGACTCGAGTTTATGGTTGACTTAGGGTTGGTAACAACCAATCGGCATGGTTATTCAACTCTTCAAGGCTCGAGTCTCCTATGACTGAAGAACGTATAAGGATCATAAGGAAATGGAATCTGCAAGAAACCCCAATGTAAATACCAATATATTTTTACATACAAAATCTGCGGAATTATCTTCAGTGTTAAAAAATGATCATATATTAAAGTTTGAAATTTTTCATCATTTACCTTGCTCAACTTTGATCTCTAAACATTTATAGAGCGGGTCCTGATCATCAAGCTCTTCATCATCCTCCTTATCATCATCAACAGTCTCATACAATCGATCCTCAAACCCCTGATTGTCGGTGTAATCGTCAGCGTATTCTCTTTCACCATTTCGGAGAGTTTGTTTCTTCCCTACTCCATTTATTCCTGTAAACAAAACAGTTTTTGGAAAAATAATTAAAATATTAATTTTAATAATAAACTTTATTCATAAGAAAAATATTTAAAAAGATTTAAACAAAAAACTATTTTATTTGAATATTCAACAGATCAGATTTTATTAGACAACTTACTTTCTAAACAAAAATAGACAATACCGATATTTCATCTCAAACATAGTTAATTTTTATTTATTTCTAGTTTGCCAAATTTACCCCCTTAATTATAAAATATGGATAATACTTCATTAAAAATTCTTACTTTTTACTGAGAGTTTTCGTTTTCTATGTTTTGTTTTAGCTTTAGAGTTTGCCCCTAGTTTAGTTGATTCACACTCATCTGTTATTAAAAACATTATTAGTCATCAACATTGATCTATAATTATCAATTATAATCGATATTGGTCAGGAACGATCATGCAGCCTTGATTAACAATAATCATAGATCAATAATTTTTTTTAATGAAAATGATATATAAATCTGTTAATAGTATGATCTTCATAAAATTATTAGTACTTCCACTTAATTTTCGTCAAAATTCAATAATCAAATCTCGATCCATCAAAGCACGATCTAAAAAACTGATCAATACTGATCGATAATGATTAATAAATCTCTAAATAATATACATAGTGAGAGTGGAATGGAGGGGTTAAGATTTTCACAAAAATAAAAAAAAAATGTTTTTATTACCATAGTTGTCTTCCTTGATTTGTGTAAAGGTTCCAATTCTGAATTCTTTAAATATATTTGGTTCCTCCAGATTGCTACCAGGGTTCCTAAGAATTGTAAGATCTGAGGATATGTACAAACTATAATGTGTTCAGGGTGTTCCTACTCAAGATGTTCTCCAGCTTGTTCTACAGAGATATTCTATCTTCGATCTACTAATCCTACAAATCTCTAGATATACATCGAATCTACAATTGCTCTTAATGTCCAAAATCTATATAATAAAACAAGACATTCGTATACGTGTTGCGTATAGCCGGCCAAGCGGCTGGACCGATTAGGCTGAAATTTTTTTGTGGACACTCATGGGTGGAAGGGGGTGTTAAATGCTAAAAAAAATCCGAAAATATATTTTTTTAAATATTTTTTTTTCAACATTTTTTTCCAATTTTTTTTCACGGGCAACGCCAGGCCCTTTAGCTAGTCTATATCATAAAACAAGACATTCGTATATATGTTGCGTATAGCCGGCCAAACGGCTGGACTGATTGGGCTGAAATTTGTTGTCGACACTCACAGGTGGCCGGGGGGTGTTAAAGGCTTAAAGAATTCCAAAAAAAAATTTTCTCACATTTTTTTAAAAATCTTATTTTAAAATTTTTTTTCAAAATAAAAAAAAACTCCACGGGAAACGCCGGGCCCTTCAGCTAGTGTTTTATAAAATCTAAGAGTTTAATGTAAAAACATTTAAAACATTTTTACTTATTTTTGTAGAAAACTTGCCTGGACTCCAATAGGTAAAATGAGCACAGGAATCGAGAGGTTAAATAATTTGTCAACATTTGGAAAAAAGAGACTTTTCCTTTTCCTTTTATTTCTATTTTTATATTTTTTTAGAATTGTGGGGAAATATTCCCCCAACCTCTACTTTTAGAGGTTTTTAAATATTTTCTCCTGAAACACTTTATTTGTATGTTTTTGTTATATTTCATAGATAAATAATTTTTTACTTTACTTGCTTTACTTTTCACTAACACTACTGATTTTTGTTGTTAAACCTCATTTGATGGGCACATTTTTGAATTTTGTGAAAAAAGTATTTTATTAACATGCATTGGAATACTAGTTTGCTTCTATAAAATGATTTAATAAAAATTTCACTAAATTTCACTTTACAGGCAGTGAACAGGCATTAATTAATCCCCTTGAAAATATTCTTTTTTTGCCGCCAAATTTTTGTTAATGTCCGTTTACCCTCTGTCTTTGCAGTGCAGTACACTGATAAGTTGCTGTACGTCATCTATACAGTGCTCTGGTAGCAATACTACAACAGGCTCATCTTCGTAGTCAAAACCCTAGATTATGTACGTCGTATTATCATGGAATCATTTTCTATCGTAAAAAAATATAAATAAACTCATGGTTAAAAAGTTAAAAACAAAATGGTTAAATAAATATATTTATGTGGACTGTGTTTCTGAGAAAAAAGAAACAGAAGGCTACAAAATTTAATTAAATAATTATTTTTGAAATGAAAACATAAATTTCACAAAAACATTAAGATGTCAACATCTTCGATGAAAATACATAATGACATTTCCTTACAAAAGATATGGACATTACAGATTTTAAAAAAATTGATTTAGTTTTCTTGCATTGAAATATATTAAGATGTAAACAAATAACAACTTTTATAAAGAATTAATATCACACTATCAGATTTCCCAAGTTTAGAGAAAAATGAAAAATTTGTCTAATATGTTGTTTTGGGTACATTTTGTTATTCCTACCTTCAGAATTTGATTGAAAAATACACTCGCTGCTGCCAGCAGTAATCTTTAAGAATACCGATCACAATTACTGACCAAAGAAAGAAAAAATTCAAAATTCCTAAAATGATCTCGTATTTTTCTGCTTTGTTTTTACAACAGTAGAGAAAGTAAAAACCAAATGGTTTGTTATTAAGATCGGGTTTGGATGATCTTAATCAAAACGTAATTCAACGCTGAAATATCTGAACATCGAGCTGGGAACTTATTTTTGGGTATACCCTGATCGCTTGATCTCGATATCTAATGAAAGATCTTTAAAAATTTGAGGATTAATGCTTGATCTCTTTATTTCAGCTAAACCTTTAGGGTACGATTACCCTGGATCAAGCCTTAATCCGAAAATAAACCATACACGAGTTTCCAGCTCAGTTAAAAAATTAAAAAATTAAATTTTGTCGGCAGAGATTGTCATTATTCCTATGTGAAAACAATACATCCCTGCCACACACCAGTCTACCGTTCAAGGGTAAATATTATAAATATTAAATCGACAAAACAAAACTCATTCACCTATCTCAAAAGAAACCACTCCTGATTCTAAACCAACAAGAGAATCTTAACAAAAATTGATAATATCTTAACTTCCGTTGAAAATTTCTTTAAATTAAGAAAAGCAAGAAAATAGTTCCCCTTCCTGACGTCATATCCCCCAATTTCAGAAAACTGTGGAAAATCGGTCCGTTTAAACTTCATATTTTCTGAAATTAGAACAAATGAATGACAACAGTTTAAACAATTATTTCAATTAATATTTAATCATAATGTTACAGGATTACTAACAGGGTAGAATATTCAGGGGGGGGGGGGAATACAGGATTAAGGGATCATTTGAATTTGATATTGATAATTGGAAAATTATAAATTGTTGGTTTTATTAAACCCTGACTTAATAATATAATTGCAATTACATAAATCATAATATTACAAAAACTTGTCTGAATTTGGGAAGACACAATTAGGGTCGAGGAATAGTTCATGATGCACAAAATATGACAATTGTAATGTACTGTTCAATGTTAACAGTCACATGTGCATTGTACAGCGTACTTTGAACTGTAAACATTGACATGATGCATTGTACAGTGTACGCTTGCACTATTTACATCCAAATGTGCATTGTACACTGTATTGTGCAGTGAACACTTAAACGTGCAATGTATATTAAACTTTTAATGAAAACATTTAAATGTGCATTAAAAACTTGTACTGTTTACACATTCAAATGTGCGTTGTACAATGTACACTGTACAGTGTATTGTTTACTGAATACAATAAATGTAAAAAGGATAGTGTACTATTTGCTGTTAACACTTGAATGTGGATTGTACAGTGTGCTGGTCACTGTAAAAAATAAAATGTGCTTTATACAGTTAACATTCAAATTTTCGTTTTACCGTGAAATATTTACTGTAAACATTTTAATGTGCGTTGTAAATTTCACTCTGTACTGAAAACACTCATATTTGCATTGTACACTGTACAGCGTGCTGTGCTCTATATACATCCACAATGTACTGCGAACCCTCAAATATGCAAACTACAGTGTAATTATACTTTCTACAATTAGATTGAATACTGTAATGTATACAATAGCAATTCAAATGTGCGCTGTACAATTGAATACAAACAGGGTATTGTTAATTGTATGGATTCAAGTGTGCATTGAACAGTATACTGTGAACATTGCAATGTGCATATTAAAATGTGCTCTTTACTGTAGACATTCAAATGTGCTATGTACAGAGTATTGTGCACTGTAAACATTCATGTGCATTGTACAATATAATACGCATATTTAAATACATTCCCTATTCCTTATATATATCTTAACATAATCACAGTTAATGAACATAATCAATCTACAGCTTGGACACATAATCACATTTCAATATTTCAATTACATTTTTAGTTTGACACAATAGATATCTAAAAATTAACAATGAAGAAAGCACCCCCCCCCCCCCATCCTATAATATATTACAAGAGTTCCACATAGTTGGCCGGGAATATTCCTGTTCTACCGTTCAGGTCTCCAGCCCACCAATCCTCATCTAACTAAACATTTTACTTTCTTCCGGGAGATTCCATTTTTAGATCAAGGGGTTCCAGAACAGCTGGAGGGGGGGGGCAACTATTCCCCCCCCTTCACAATCTGACCGGATATTTTACTCCATATAACTCATTATTATTTCACTCCATTTGGCTGAGTGCTGTCAACACTTAGGACATCAGAAACAAGCTTGCAACATTTTTAACAACATAGGATCCCAATTTAATATAAATAATGCAGTTTCCTTCTTCCATCAATCATTTCATTTTTAAAATTTACTTAAACTGCACGAATTATACAGGTAGTCCCAATAAACATGGGGATTAAAAGACGACTTGAAAGTCGTCTTTGATTTTTGACATTTAATGCATGACAAAGAAAGTAAAAAGTGAGGCTGTACTCTGATGAGCTTTTTAAAAAGTGGTCACCTTATGGTGGTCTCTTAAAACTTGACGAAGATATTAAATATTACGACAATGTTGATTTATTAAATAACTTGAAATTTGTACAAATTTTGCAATATTTTCGTCAATTTTGATCACACAAAAATTGTAGACCACATTTTTAAAATCTCAAAATCAGGAGTTTTCGATATTAGATGTTTAAGCTTGAATACTGCAATAATCGTGTTAATGAAAAATGCCACATGGATCGAAGACGATATAAAAGTAGTCACTGAATTCCCAAGTTTATTGGGATACCCTGTAGTGTATATATCAAACTTAACATATTTCATCATGAAAATTCGACAAAATCATAACAAGCAAGAAAAATTTAATACAAAAAATTGATATCCTAATTCTATTGACTGTGGATACTTCGAAAAAAATTAGCTGGTGTTATGCATAATTTATATTTTGTTTATTTTTTTAATGATCTAATCAATAGAAAAAGGTTATTCAAATTCTAAACATTAGACTAAATTCTCTTGATCCACAAAACAAACAGTGACCAAATGACAAACCGTGTACAACGAACAGTTTACATGTAAGTAACTTACACTGTTCAGTTTACAGTGTAACTTACCCTGTACAGTTTACAGTGTAACTTCCTTTGTACAGTTTACAGTGTAACTTTACTCTGTACAGTTTACAGTGTTCTTTACCCTGTAAAATTTACAAAGTAACTTACCCTATACAGTTTACAGTTTAAATTACCCTGTACAGTTTACAGTGTAACTTACCCTGTAGAGTTTACAGGGTAACTTTTTATGTACAGTTTACAGTGTAACTTATCCTGTAAAGTTAACAGTGTAACCTATCATGTACAGTTTACAGTGTAACTTATCCTGTAAAGTTTACAGTGTAATTTACCCTGTACACTCTACAGTTTGCAGAGTAACTTACCCTGTACAGTTTACAGTGTAACTTACCCTGTACAGTTTACAGTGTAACTTATCCTGTACAGTTTACAGTATTACGTACAGTGTAAAATGTAAAATCAAAGTAATCCATGTTTATTACACTTGTTATCTTTCAATACTAACTTTAGTTCACAATGCTAGTATGTCATAAGTCAACATGATAATACTTAATTTGAATAAAACAAATTTGGCGTTTAAACATCGCAAAAAATTTCTTTAAAAAATATATCGAAGCAACTTCACCAATGACCATCGAATACATAATATAAAAAGTTGATATAAAGTACATAAAACTGAACACCAACAGGAGACCAAGTAAAGAATAAAATTGACGTTGTATAAAAATAATTTAAGAACCATCTTTACTAATTGTCTCGAGTTGTTCTTGAAAATACGGAAATATGCTTGCTTACAAAACATTTATAAAAACCTACAGTTCACACTTTCAAAGCATACAACATATTTATATTTAAGATGGACGCGAAATTTCGGCGCGCCGGCCGATTCGAGCAATTTTTTATTTCATTGCCGAACTTCGACGTAGTTGGCCGGGAAGAGGCCGAATCTTCCATGACACTCGCCGATCCACCAGCCGTCGTCCACCTAGCAATACAAGGACAATACAGACAGGGACAATAACAGAGAGGACAGAAAGAATCAGGGGCGTAGCTAGGAATTTTTCTAGTGGCAGGGGCTTTCATTTTTTCTTTCCAGGGGGGAGTTCCCCCATAGCCCCCCCCCTGACTACGCCTCTGAAGAGAATCAAGAATTACAGATTGAGAACTTAAAAAATAATTTTTTTAAAACTATTTAATAAGCGGAATGAAAATAAGTCTTCCAATTTGAAACGTCACCAAGTTCTTAATACTCTACTTTTTATTGAATACAATTTTTTACTAATTGAATTAATAAATAAATAGACGTAGCAGGTTTTTTATCGTTGAATTATAACAATGGAAGAGAACTCTGTGATCAATTATCCATTTTTTTAAACCATAAGAAAAGAATAAACCTCACATATAATAATCATCTTCGTTAAGACATGTTTAACAAAATCCCATATTTTAAATATTTTATGATTTTAGAAAGGACGACATATAAATTATAAGCCCAAAAAGGACAATCCAAGCCCTAAAACTAAATGGTAAAATATAAGTTTACTCAGAAAAAATGTGACAATAAAAGTTGTTTAGTTATGATTATGTTGAGAATGGATTTAGTTTTATGTCTTGATTATTTTATTATTAAAATAAAAAAGATTTGTTAAAAGGACTGTGCAGGAAAAATGGAAAGGGAAGTAAGCTGAGACCTGAGAATCTTAAGAGTTGATAGAGACATATAAGAGTTCTATCTGATGTACCAGTCTAGAGAAATCGATATAAAACTGTGTCAAAATTATACCAAAGCGTATATTTATGTAAGATTTTAGATTTTGTATAAGATTCGTAGTACTTAACAGTTCATGATTCAACCTAAATACGCAATCAATGTCCCAGGATATCCCAGAGGAGCCTGAGAAACTAAAGTTTGCTCCTTTTATTATTTGAATTTAATAATTTTTCATTTTTAATAGAAATAATTGATAATATTATTTATGCGTCAAAACATGCAACCAATTATTGTCACGTGTCTCCGTCAGTATCACGTGACCAGTATACACTGCCATTGGAGGGAGTTCTGGTTACGTGAAACGGAAGTATATCTTAATATATACGTTTTGGTATAATTTTGACACAGTTTCATGTCAATTTCTCGAGACAAGAACATCAGATAGTTGTCTTATAGGTATCGTTCAACTCTTGAGATTCTCAGGTTTCATCCTATACCCCCTTTCATTTTTCCTCTACAGTCCCTTTAAAGTCATTTATCTGTCTCATCCTTTATTTGTATTCAGTAACCCTGCAAACTGAATATTTCATTTGAGACAGGGCCCAAAATATCTTTATAAAGGACGACCTTAAAATGAATACAAGCGAACAAATATTATTAGCGGGAATAGTTCTAGAAAGGACGACATTTAAAGCCCTTTACAGCGGACAAGGACATAAAGCTAACTAATAAAGATTTCTTTATGCATTAAACTTTGAAGTTTTCTAAACCTAAAAACAAGTCTTACGCATAGATTCGCAATTGGTACAATATTTTTTGCACACAAAAGAATTTTCTAAGATTAAAATAAAATATTTAAATTATTTATGCGGCGGGAATATTTTCGAAGTAAACAAATATTTTTACTTTAAATCGTCGGAAAGCCCAAACTAAAGAATTTTTGCTTTCTCCAATTTTGGAAGAAATCTTAATTACAACTTTAATCCATCCTTACCATCTCTATATTTGTTATGATATCGTTCGGGTCGAAGCTGATTTCATCCTCGGCCATTGCCTGGAAATAAAACGTTTTTAAAAAAGGTTCTTTTATAAAAATTATAACAAGATATAAGCATAGCAGTCAATGACAAACGAAGCTGTCAACTTTTGAATTTATTTTTATTCAATTTGTTTTAAATTAAACAGTTTGAAGGCTGGACCTATGGGAGAGAAAATAGTTAGTTCAAGTCATTTCAGAAAATTTCAACAAAATATAAATTATTAATTGATATTTTTATTTTTAATTTTTTACCTGATAGTCATAAATAGCTATAGCAGAAATACCAGATGTTTCACCGCCGTCATCCTAAATTAATTACATTTACTGTTTAATTCCCTGTTTACGATACTGCATGGGATATTATGAGAACATATTTGCTTGCGGTGGAATCACTATTGAAAAAAGTCACAAAATCCACTTTTAATGGCGGCTATGCACGTGACAAGACATTTTTGGACATTTATGCGCTCAAGAACATTTTGAGCTCGGTAAAATAAAGCTTTGTTGTGATTCTGAATGCAAACATGATAGTTAAGCTGAAAGTGCAGTTTTGCAGAGCAATTTAAAAGATCGATTTTGCGCCCTTACTTAGCAATTATTCACTGCAAATAGATTATCAAGTACAATAGGTGGCAACGCAGAATCTGTACTCTCTCAGTTCAGCTGTATCTACTTAAGCTTTAATTCTAATTTTATTAAAAATCAAAAAATAATTTTAACTCGATTAAGTTATTAACACTTTTCTGGAAAAAACATTCATGAAGTTAATTGTTTTTTTGTTTTTTTGCTTGGGGGCGGGGTAATACTTTAAAGGTATAATATGTACAAGTGTCTTAAGTCAACATTACATTACAAAGAATAAAATTAGATTATAGAGGACGTGAGTCAGACTCTAATAAAAACGCATAAATAACTTCCAGTATATATATTTCTTATAACTTATTACTAGAGGGTTCAGAACTAGAGTCAATATCGATATCACACGTGTAGATGATTTATCAGTACTATGCCCCGTATCCGTTCTATCTCATTCTGTTGAATCTTGTGGAACTTGTTTAACGCGGCCAGGCATCGTCTTCCACAAGATTTTATTTTAAAATAAATTATTTTTTGGTTGGTTTAGGGGGCTGGGAAGAACTTGTTTTTTGCCTGGATGCCGTCCCCCTGGGACATCCAGGTTTACGTTCCTTCTAAATGAACAAGAAGACAAATTATGGCTTTGCTTTGCTTTAAAAATTGGAGAGAAAACTGAAATCGGAGATAACCGAGTTTGTGCTCCACATTTAATTTTTAATAAATAATTAAAATTTTTTGTATTTTATTGTTTGTTGTTGTTATTGTTGTTGTTGTTGTTTTTTTTAAGACAGGGTATTCAAATTGATTTTTTGTAAAAAAGTTATTTTATTAATTTATAGGATAGAGTAGACGGTCTGGGTCTCAAAAAGTTTGATTCTTAAATTTTAAAAAAAATAGCTGGCCTTAGTAATTGAACAGTAAACACGCCATTTAAATGGAAAGAAAACAAACTGAATAAAGCGCACAAATGTAAGTAAATTTAGGATAAACTCCATGTAATTTGAGTTGTCTTTCTATTTAATAGTTTTTGGATATCTGTTGCCATCTTTTGTATTTGATACACCGTACAAACATTTTACATGTCTCAAATGATTTCTTTAAAAAGTTCTCTACAATAATACACCCTCAGCTCAACTTCCATGTTTAGCCAGACACTCTCTTTAAGTATATGTTGAACCATCTCTTTACATATAAAAATTGATATTGATAAAAACATGCTTCTAAAAATGCAGTCAAAACTCAAGACAAGAATAAGCAATATTTTAATATTTTACCTCTGGCGGGAGATCATAGCGGTCATCCTGCCTAACCGTCTCATCATCCCTCCTTCTATCTTCTTCCCTTCTTCGCTCCTCTTCTCCTCTTCTTTCTTCTCTATTCTTCTCCGCTTGTTTCATATCTTCCTGCCTTCCTGTCTCGGCACTTCTTCTCTCAGCCTCTGCCAATTTCCTGTCCCCTTCAACCTTTCTTCGTTCCTCTTCCCTGCGAAGTTCATCTTCTCTAAGTTGATTTTCTTCAATTCGTCTTTCCTCCGCTCGCTTCTGTTCTTCTTTCATCCTCCTTTCCTCCTCCCTCCGTCTTTCTTCTTCCCATCTTCTCTCCTCCTCCTGTCTCATTTCCTGTATTCTTCTTTCCTCCTGTTTTCTCTCCTCATCCTCCCTCCTTCTCTCCTCCGCTATTCTTGCTTCAAGTTCTCTTCTCTCCTCATCCTCCCTATTCATCTGCATCAACTTCTCCTCTTGTCTGAACAATGACAAAATAATAAATAAAACAAATGAAAATGCATCTCTTAAATTTGTCTATTCAATAAAATGATAGAAAATAAGGTTAAAGAAAATAATAAATTTGTAACTATGCGATTTAAAATCCTTAAAATATGAAGTAGACCAATTAAAAATAAATATTTAAAGATAATCCAACCTCTTTCTCTCCTCTTCTCTCAACCTCACTTCCTCCTGTCTCTTTTCTTCCCGGAGCTTTATTTCTTCCTAAACATTTTTTAAAACTAAAATTTAGTCCATCCATACAGCAATAAAAAAATACAGCTATCTTTTCTAAAGATGAAAGAGGTTCTAACTCTCAATAATTTCCTGTATGCTGATGAACCCACCTCCATTTTGTGTCTCCTCTCCTCCTCTATGTTTCTCTGCCTTCTCTCCTCTTCTTCTCTTCTCTTAAACTCCTTCTCCTCCTTGATTCTCTGATCCTCAAGCTCCCTGAAGTTGATGGTAAAGGGACTGTACAAGCATTTAAAAGTGTCTTCCAAAGAAAGAGTGGCATGTCCGATTCACAACGGTATTATTTTAACATTAATCTGAGCAATATGTTGAATTCAGAAAATTCAAATTGAAATTGGAAATTTTAACATAGAAAATCAAGGATATTTTCATCAAAGGAGAACGTTGTGAAGTGAGTATGTCCCTCTTTATATGAAACTGTGTTGACAGTCCCTGTGTAATGTCAGGAATTCTTTGAAATGGCACTAAATCTCTTTTAAGGTTTCAGATAATAACTTTATACTGAATAAAAGTTAAAAGAACTCTGGAACAATATGAATCCCTAATTTAAACTTTATAAATCATTTCTAAAAATGTGTCGTAATTTTTTTCAGACTCATATCAGCATTAACAATTGCAAAGAAAGATTTAGAAATATTTATAATAACTGAGCTAAAAACTTAAGAATTGTGGATATTGAGATCTATGCTTGATCTCCTCTTGTTATTAATCTCAAGGTTAACTTAATGTTTAGTTTGTATCCATAAAAGTGTATAAAATTCAACCAATCGAGTAGCGTATGCAGAATCTCGAACAGCCAATGAGAAGCCGGGAAATTTAAAATTTTGAGGAACTTTTAATGAGATAACTCTCATTGGTTGGAAATGGATAATATTTTCGATAAACGAAAAACAGCGGATTAAGCAGGAAATTAAAAGTGTTTACATTGGATATTCAGATTAAGCGATCGGGATTAAGGGCATCCAATAATAAAGTCACTCCCAAATTGACAAAAATTGTAATTTGTAAACAATTCATTGAAGTTGGGAAAACAAACTTTAGAACCAGTTTCAGGAACAATTTCTACAATGTGGGAAGAGTTCCAAGAAAATGGAACTCTTTCCACAGGCACTTAAACATTAAATTAATATTAACAAATTTAGACAAATACCCTGTATACTTTAAATGAAAAATTACAAAGAATAGGACAATTCCTTCCCAGTTTTCTGGTTACTACTCAATTATTTAGTTCAATATAGGAAACTCTTCAGATATGATGAAATATTTCGATGAAATATTATAAAATTACAAATAGAACTTTTTCAAGAAATTAAAATTACTAATCACCTGTCCATTCGTTGTTGCTCTGCCATCCTCATCTCATCTCTTCTCTTGTTTTCCTCCTCCTCTCCAACCTGTCTCTTCTCCTCCATCCTCTTCGCCTCCTCCCTATCCCTCCGATCCTTCTCATCACGTCGTTTTCGTTCCTCCTCCAACCTCTTTCTGTATACAACGTACTCCATTCAAATCAAATCAAATCAAATCAAATCAAATCAAATCAAATCAAATCAAATCAAATCAAATCAAATCAAATCAAATCAAATCAAATCAAATCAAATACTTAATGTTTTTTTATTTTATTACAGAAGACATCCGACGTTTTTGCCAGACCTCCATTTAGTAAAAACTCTTACACATATACTTAACTAGGAGCGGGGGGGGGCGGCACAGCCTTTTTCTTATAGCTAGCTGGGATGGGGTGGGGGACTTTTTAAAGGAATGGTAAAATCAGAAATTAACAGGGCAAAAAATACGAATAATTTTCCCCATGACTATGTATACAATAAAACACGTTGCAGTTAGTCAAACTTCAAATAATAAAAACCCGAAATGATAAACTAACAAAAGAAGAAAAATTATAAAATATAAATAAAAACACACAAAAATTTCCTAATGAAAACTTTGTACAGTATTATTGTATAGGTTTTTGTGGATAATTTTTATCTCTAGTGATTAATAATTAATTTATTTGAATACAAATCGATTTATTGGAGATAGTTCCCTGTTTTCTTCCTCGGACTGTAGTGCCATGTTTTCGAACCTATTGCGCAGGTTTCCCGCATTACGCGCTGGAACTAAAATGGAAAAAAATTAAGATTAAAACAAATTCACCAATATCAAACAAGATATTACACAGAGATTTCGATGTCCAAATTTAATAGCTATTGAGCCTTCCCTTTCATACCAACTTCTATTTTTTTTGTGTTGAGCTATAAGAAATTTAAGTATATAAATCCATGTCTTATACAGTTTGTTTTGCTTTGTGATTGACTAATATTCAAGTTCGTTTAGCGTAGGTTGGACCGTCGACCGACTATCCAACCTTAAACAAGACTTCAAATTAATTTTTAACAATTTTTATTGGTGTTCACATAAATTACGACAAAGAAGCGTCCAGATGAACAACTGAAATTAAATAAAAACATTAAAAATCAACATTATTTTAAGTAATAAGATGAAAATCACGTTTAAACTTTAAAATTTTCTAAATTTTAACTTATAATCTAAAAATGATGAATATACAATAAAGGCAAATTGGCAATAAACGATAAAACATTGCTTTGAGTATAATATTTTGTTTATTCCCGAATATTTGATAAATGGCCGGGTCAAGAGTCCGGTATCTTAAGAGCGGTATTAGCTAATACCGCTCTAATACCACTCTTAACACTAACACCGGTGTTTAGGAAATACGGATTCGTAAGTCGCTAATGCTGCCTAATTTGTGGCAGGATTATCTAGCCTAGAACAGCTGATGCGTTCATAAGTCATCCTAGCTAAAACCAGGATTATCATCCAAACTTTACCGTTTTGACTCTTCTGCGCAACTCTTTTCTCTTCTCAACTTAATAATTTGTTAATAATTATAAAGACGACTTTTAAATAATACATTTTTTACTATATGACGAAAGATAGATTAAAAATTTATGAAAATATCTTGCAAACTAAACTTTTTACATTTCATTATCAAAGTTAAAAAAATAAAAATTTTCAATAAGATATATTTTTTAGAAAAAAAATCTTTAATAAAGTTTTGCTCATAAAATGTTTTTTTTTATATTCAACACATTTTATTAATATAGTTATGTAAGGAGGGTGGGGGAGGGGTCATTTTTCTGAATTAAGCAAAATAAGAAGTATTTCTTCGCTTTTTATGCATCCCTGTATTTTAAACATCCCTGTATTTCATGAGGTTGCGAGAATATCGAATCCAAACCAAATTAATACTGGTAGAACTGGTTATTTAGGGTAGATCATCCTACCTAAATCTACCCTGCGGGTAGATTAGTTAACACCGCTCTTAATAAAACTGGCATTTCTGTTAATACCGGTATTAGCACAACTTATGAACGCGTAGGGTAGATGATCCTACCAACCAGGATTAGTTAAGAGTGCAATTAAGGGACTCTTGACCCGGCCTAAACAAGAAGAAAGCCATAATTACCAAATTCATTTAATTATTGGGACACCATAAAAATTTGGCGGTTAATTTGAAATTTAAGATTAAAATATAAAAATAATGGTTTACCTTCGGGTTTAGTTTTAGTGTAATTGGTTCCTACTGACCCTTGTCCTACACATTCAAACTTGGAATTTTTATCCTTTTTAACAAAATTTGATCTTAAAATATCAAATCTTACAGAAGACAACAATTATTTTACATTTGAAATAAAATTTCCGTTTTAATTGGATAAAATTCATATGTTTCCTTCGTTCCAACCGTGGGCAGATTTATCTAGTCTATCCTGTTGTATACCAAACTCTCCGCCGAACCTAGGGAAACAGTTTGCAAAAAATTTTTGCCAGAAATTAAAAATAAAATTATCTTAAAATGTTCATACCATTTTCCTGTTATGCAAAACTAGTTCTTTGGAAAAGATATTTCGTATATCTTCATTTAAGTATAAACATTTATTAAGGGAAAAAATTAAGGTTTTCAACTTCAATATTAGATCGTAAATATTGATGAAAAACTTTTAAAAAGTTAAAATAAAAATAATTTTGATACGACACAATAGTGTCCTGGCCTCTTCCGATCCTGTCCTGTCCTGTCCTGTAAAAACATTTAGATAAGGAATAAAAAAGCTTCTAAATGATGTTTTTAAAGTAAAATATACTCATATTTATAAAAAGAAATAAATCACAATGATTAGAATTGTTGTTGATACTTAACCATAAGAAAATGGAACCAAATAAGTTACGATTTTAAATAATACATAATCAAATGACAAAGACATATGACACACAACAATCGTGCCGTGTACACATCATCATTTTCACTTGAAAAATAAAATATTGCTTAAAAATAAAGATTTTAACATTATGTTATTTAATAAATTTTTAAATAACAAAATAACATAAGGACAACGAAAATGAGTTTTTACCACAAACCTAAATTTTATCATCCCTATAAATTTGCAACCTAATGCCGTATCCCTTAGATATTTCCAACTATAAATTCTGTTAGACCAAATAAACTTATTTAGAAATTTCAAAAATGTACACACCATTATGTGGCAAAGATATAGGGATTCGAAAATTGTGGCAAAAACTCAGGTCCTTGTTAAATAATATTATAAAAATCAATTCCATCAATCTTCAAAAAAAAGCATTTATGATAAAATTGCTTTTACCTAGTGCAGATTTGTCCACCCTATCCGACTGCACACCAAATTGTCCACCAAAACCGGTTTTGTAGTCTACACAAACAAATTCAGTAAGACGAAAAAACACAATTAGACAAAATGTATTGAATTGTTTGAAGAAATCAACGACTAAGATTCCAAGTGTTTGAGGCACTGAAACTGTTAATTATGAAAAAAGGGTGATCATTATTTCATGAATTAAAATAATTACAGTTTTTGAATCGTTTTATCTAGGACTACAAAAAAGTTTCATCTGAAGCTTTCACACAAAAAAAAGGAATAGGTTTCCGGGCAAAGATTCAAATACGGATCGACCTTATATAACAGTACTCTTTACAGGAACTGTAAGCGAAACCTTTGTGTGTTTGCCGAATCCCTCTTGTATTCAGCTGCAATTTTAAGTGTGCGCTACGTATAGCACGAACTCAACACAGGGCACGCTGGAAATTGCAGCTGAATTCAATTGGGTTTCGATAAGTTTACACACACATATCTCCGTACACACACAGGTTTTATTGATACCGTTGTAAATCGGGCATTGTTCTCTTTACATGCTAGGTCACTCAAAATTACGCTTACAGTCCCTTTAAGTTTTTAGCTAATTAATTCTGGACTGACACAGCTTTCTGTCATTTTCCTGTGGGAGCACATTTCTTTGAGGAAAATAATTTTAAGGCGTTTAATACCCAAGTTACACCAAAAAAATCATTTTCTAACCCCACGGAAAAACATTTTCCACCATTAACCTTCAGGTAAAGGTTTAAAGGGTGTGGTCTTCATGAGTACTTATGAAATGGAGGGGCACCAATACATTTCGTTGATGATAAACACTTTTTATGATAATAATAAAAATATATAAACATCATGCATGACGGGACTTCCCTACCTTTCTGTGAGACATGCTTGTCAACCTTCTCGTGATGCTCCCAACCGACGGCCGATTTATCGACCCGGTCAGATTGTACTCCAAACTGGCCGCCGAATCCATGCTTATAGTCTAAGGACAATATACGTCACACAACTAAGGGCAAATTCTTGTCAGAAAATCAGATTCTCTCACAAAAATTTGCCCTTGGACAAAACATGAAAAGTCGTGTTTAAGCCATCTATTTTCTTTAGTCTTTCATTGAATAATGGCTGTCTGCTATTGATGATAGTCTACAGCCTTGTTTCACTTCATAAAGCAAAAAAAATAAAAAAATAATGAACCAAAATAAGAAAGTATAATTAAATAAAACACCATTGTCAAAATCTTTAATTCCTGCAAACGTAATCTGAGGTACTTGATTTAAATAATAAATATGAAACCTCAAGAATTACTTATTTATGAAAAATATTGGTTTTGTTCTTCATCTTTTTCAAAGATTCAAAAAAAAATTATTGTTAAGTAGTTTTAGAATGCATTGCATAAACTTATTTTTTATTTCCCTATTGATTGCACAATTTGAGAAGTTACGCCTATGGTTTCGGGCAAATGCAAAAACAAAACAAATAAAAAAAAATTTAAAAGCAATTTTTCTTAAAACATTTAAACAAATTTTCAATTCAAGGGCCAATCATTTGCAATCTCATAATATAAAACCTTAAAGGAACAGTTGTGGCACCATTAAATGTTTTTTTTATGATCTTTATTGTTTTCAGGGCAAATTCGAACAACCCTCATTACACATTTTGAAATGTGTAAAATTTCTCAGATTTTTGTAAACCCATTTTAAAAATTAATAAACACATTGAACGTTTAAAAACAATCTGCTGGACTTGTCTCCCACTTGTCTCACCTTTCTGGGATTCATGTTTATCCACCTTCTCCTGATAATCCCAACCAACAGCTGATTTATCCTGCCGGTCTTCCTGAACTCCAAACTTCCCGCCAAATCCGTCCTTGTAGTCTAAGGGGCAGGTAGTTAGGAAGGGAGTAAAAGAGACTGTCTATGTTATTTCTAGTGAACCCAAATAGATTCTAGTACAATAGATGGCAACGTAGAAATTGTACACTCTCGGTACAGCAGTATTCTGACGTCACAAGTGTCAACTCAGTTTTTGTGTCTGACATAATTATTGATAATAGTGATAATTTTAGAATAAAGTGCTTATCTTACAGTAAAATAAGTGCAATTGAATGTATTCTATATTTTCTGTTTTTCCACTTTTTTATTTGATCTTGTAAAATATGCCAACTAATGTGAGAAAATTTCGTTTTTCTTGTTATATTTGACACTTTTGACGTCGTGTATAATTGGTTCATTTCACTGCTGCCACCTATTGTACTTGATTATCTATTTAAGTGAACCTCTATTTTTGTGATACACAACAGTACCCTTTAAACCTTTATTTGGGAACAATTAGGTACTTATTGTAGTTATTCTTTCTCAATAAGAGATTATTTCTTGAAAATATTTCTTCCTTTTCTCTTCTTAACAAATCCGGGGTCACTTTTGAAGAGCAAACGAAATTTAAAATTATTATTTTCAGATAGGAAAACGAGGATGTTTCCATACCAAAGGTTTACAGGGTATAGCTGTAAATCGGGCATTCTACTCTTTCAATCGGAGGATAACTTTAACTTATGTCGACAAAAAAATGGTTTTTAATCCCTTACTTTTTGTCAGAAAAAAAAAAGTTCTCTAGGGATCAAAAAAGATATGGACGGATATACAAAATGGACAAAAAACGCATCAAACATATACTCGGACAAATAGAGAAAAGAACAGTTGTCGATCATTCTTTTTGAATTTGATCATGATCACATGTGTTCATTACTTTTTCATACACACTTTGTGTGAATATGACAAGCCTTTCACCATTTTCATTTTCCAACCTTTTTGTGAATTATGCTTCTCAACCTTCTCAATATGATCCCATCCTGCAGCCGACTAAACAGAAACATATTATAATCTTAAATGCACAGTCATTGTAATTTATTGTATTTTATAGTGACCCTTGATTTTAAGAGTTCCTATTCACAAGGGTAATTTTTAAACCATTATCTGAGCAAAATTGATGGAGATATCCCTGTTTTTTTTTTATCAAAACCAGGTTTAAAGGTTCCGTTGTGAATCGGGAGTCTAACTCATAAAAAAGAAGGGTCGCTTAAAATCAGCCATATTAATCTTAGTTAATTTACACATTTATGATTTTTGAATGAATGTGGAAATAGAAGGTTAACAACAAATTTTTTAAAAAAAAAATCTAACATTTTTTACTTTTCTAGTGAGCTTATTAAAGTTCCAATTCGAAATCATTTTCGAATTTTGTCTAAAATTTTAATAAAGCAATTAGCAACATTTTCAAATTAAATTCACTATCTTGAGACTTCATGAAACAAACATTTCAGCAGAAATTGTGATAAATTTTCAGCATTTAAAATCAAATTTCGATTAAGCCTTATCAGATATCTAGTTCTGGTTATAAGGAATATACAGACTACAGAGCGTCTCATTGAATTATTTCAAAGCTTTCACGCCAAAATACTCACATAATACTCAAAAATCCTGGTATTTTCTGCAAGAAAATTTTTATATTATCCTTATATATTTTTTAGAAGATTGATTTTAATAAAATTTTCTGATTTAAACTTAATTTATAGCTATAAACGATCTAATATGATGTGGGACACCCTGTACAATTAAATAATAAAATAGTATTTAAAGATTTGAAGAAAGGGTGTACCTTGTCTTGTCTATCCTGCAGAACACCAAACTTTCCTCCAAACCCTGTCTTGTAATCAGTTTGAGACTCATGCTTATCCACCTAGATAGAATAATTAGAAAGATATATGGACGAATAGATAGATTGACAGAAGTAATCACTATTAGTCTGTTTGTACATTCCATCATAACGCATAAAATCTTGAACCGATTTGCCTCAAATTGGGTGATCTTAATGAACCAAGGGAATGTATTTTCTAATTTGAACATTATAAGTTGAGAAAGTAATCTTTATAAAGAACGTTAGTTTTCTTGCCAAAGCTGGGTTTCCATGCTAGTATATATCTATGGATAGATAGATAATTTAGACAGATATATAGAATAGATACTTAAGATACTAAGAGAATATATTAAATAGATCTACCTTATGTATGTAATCATGACCATGAGCAGACTTATCCATTCTATCTGCCTCAACTCCAAACTTTCCTCCGTACCTAAACATTTATTTACATTTTCCACCGTATGTAAAAATTTATTCACATTTTCCACCATACCTAGACATTTATTCACATTTTCCACCGTACCTAAACATTTAATTGCATTTTCCACCGTATGTAAACATTTATTCACATTTTCCACTATACCTAAACATTTATTCACATTTTCCACCGTACCTAAACATTTATTCACATTTTCCACCGTACCTAAACATTAATTTACATTTTCCATCGTATGTAAACATTTATTCACATTTTCCACCATACCTATAACATTTAATTACTTAGCTTCCGTATCTAAACATTTATTTACATTTTCTACCGTACCTAAACATTTATTCACATTTTCCTCGATACCTAAACATTTAATTATATTTTCTTCTGTACCTATACATTTATATTTTCCACCGTACCTAAACATTTAATTACATTTTCCACCATACCTAAACATTTATTTACATTTTCCACCGTACCTAAACATTTATTTACATTTTCCACCATACCTAAACATTTAATTACAATTTCTACCGTACCTAATCATTTAATTACATTTCCCCTCAAATAAAAACGTTTCTCCTCAGAAAAATTAAACCTACGGTGAACTGAATCCATAAATAGTATACCTAAGTAGCTAAATCTAAGAATATTAATCCTTTAGAAAACTGAATCCAAATATAATCATATGATAGACCTTTTGATAAAATATTTAATGATATTGGTTATGACCATTTCAGAGCCAAGTGCAACTGCCGGAATAGTCAGGACCGAGCGCTGTGGCGTTACCCGAATAAAATGGTGAAAAGGTGAGTCAAGATTGCAGAAAATTGGAAAATACCGATCTTTGTGTCAAGCTGCAAAATGTTGTTAAAAACACAATAAAAGAAGAGCTAAGATTTAATACTATCTACTGACCCGTGAGCGTTGTTAATGTCTAGTATCTTCTTCTTCATGTTCTCTTTGTCTTCACTTTTCACCTAGGAAACACATTATTCAATCATTGTTAATACTAAACATACGGAGGACGACGTGTCCCTCATATTAGTCATCCGACTATTTTTCGATATTTCGAATATAGTTAATATTTCACAATATTTTTGATTTTTAAAAAAATATTTTCGCTGGCGTTGGATTTTCGAACATTCCTGGAAAATATGAAAATGTCGTCTTCATTCTCAAAAATCCTCGAAACAGGAATAAATGTTTAAGAATGCATCGAAAAATAATCGATGACTATTGTTTCTAATATCTGAATGATTTGTTTGGAATTAAATTGATTTGTTTGATTTACATGTGGCATCTTTCTGAATTTGTATGGACACTACGTTCTTCGGTATTAGTCGTTTTTAACAATTTTCTCCTAATAGATGCAACAGATAGAAGTAAGATTAGTAGCGATCAAAAGCGCTTTTTATCGCATTAAGCCTATACCCCCTTTCATTTTTCGCGAACACTCTCTTTAACGACGCACACAAGTGTGACGTAGAATGTATATACATTGCAGCTTTAGATCAAAATGGGATTTTTATATTCACTGGAAACCAAGATGTGCACGCTCTTACACAAAAATCGAGCAGTATTTTGCCAATTATTTCTTTTAACTTAATAGCTATCAAACAGCTTGTCGCCTCTTTAAAATATATATTGCTAGAGCTACAAAAAAAGGTATTTGTGAATTGGTGAGGTAAAACAGAAGGCCAGGGCGTTGCAAAACTTTAAATTCAAGGATGTCTCAAAAATGGTTGGTTCCACTTTAAATTGTATTCAGTGCTTCAAGATTTGAGCCGGCGCTCAATTGGAACCGCTTTTTGGCCGCTCAGCGACGCCGTTTAAATTCTTTAAATTCGGCCTCTGAATTACTATTCATCAATAATTTTTGTATATTCATTACATTGTTTTTATTCTGTTCGTTGTAACATTATTAACATATATTCAATAATTTTAAGTCTTGTAGTTTGTTTTGTGTTCTTTAAAGAACTGTATGCGTAATTTCAAGTGAACATCCTTCATGGAAAGATAGCAATGCCCGATTTACATCAGTACCATTGAAACTTTTATCTGAAGTATAGATGTGCTCGTCACTTTTGTTGCGGAACAACACTTAAAATAATTAGTTTTCAAAATTATAAACATTAATATCTAATTTTTTCTTGACCAGAGAAGCTTTTAAGGGTATCGTTGTGAATCGGGCATTGCTATATTTGCATGAAGAGTAACTTGAAATTACGCTTACAGTCCCTTAAACAAATAATGCCGTTTGTTTTTTATTAATAATTTTCTTCTCTCGTACTTCACCTTGTTAATTTGGAATTTTATTAATATCCCTTTCTTATTATTGCTGCTTGATATTGGAGACTTATTTTCAACAATTAATAATGTTTATTAGTTCTTATTTTTGTTATTATTAGTAATTCAAGGAATTAGGTTAAATCTGAAAGACTCCTTGATATACAATCACCGTCACTGCAAACCAAGATGTGCACGCTCTCACACAAAAATCGAGATTTATTTTGCCCATAAATTCTTTTAAACTTGAGCTATCAACAAGCTTATTAAATCTTTAAAATCTATATTTCTAGGGCTACAAAAAAGTTGGACGAGTTGGTGAGGTAAAGCCAAAAGTCAAGGCTTTGCGACACCTTAAAGTCAATCATGCCTTAAAAATGGATGACTAAGTTTTAGAGTTGTAAACAATATAGGAGGGAATATTACAGGCTTCCTATCAAGGTCGAGGTAAGTATTCCGGGCCTATTTTTTCATCGCGTCCCAATTGCGTTACTTGAATAATAAGATATGTAATTTTTTAAAACGTGGTTACATTGCAACCTTGAAACCTGAGAGGTTAAAAGTATTTTTTTTACGTAAAATATTTCTTTTACCTCTTCTCTAAAAGAATCCATATCAATTGTTCCTGTATCCCTGGCTCCACCCCACCTGTAATAAACATTGGTCCAAACAGTAAAGGGACTGTTAAAATAATTTCATATGTAACAACGGTACTTAAGAGTGAGCATATTTTCAAAAACATTTATCCCTTCTCCCAGAAAAATTCTACTACAGTAACCTTGATTCACCGACAAAGGGTCAAACGACCCAGGGTCAAACGACACAGGGTCAAACGACACAGGGTCAAACGACAAAGGGTCAAACGACAAAGGGTCAAACGACAAAGGGTCAAAAGTGCGACAAAGGGTCAAACGACAAAAGGTCAAAATGATAAAAATATTTTTTGATTTGAATCATAGGAAACTCGCAATTTTAATCACAAAAATCCGCCAAACTTTTTTGAAGATTTAAAACTTTAGTCTGATTCTGGCTTCCATAATGGTCGGGTTGGCAATATAATTGACCATGTTGCCGCAGCGCTCGGCCCCCTAGCTTGTCCTAGCCGCAGCGCTCGGCCCAGAAATTGTCTTAACTAACCTAACCCGTGGCCGCAGCGCTCGGCCCCCTAGCCTGTCCTAGCCGCAGCGCTCGGCCCAGAAAGTGTCTTAACCTAACCTAACCCTAAATAATAATAAATAAATGGATATAATTGACCATGTGGCCACAGCGCTCGGCCCCCTAGCCTGTCCTAGCCGCAGCGCTCGGCCCAGAATGTACCTAACCAAAGCATAAATAATAATAAAAAAATAGTAACTGACAGAATTTAAAAAATTTGCCCCTTTGTCGCATTTTTTGACCGTTTGCGTTTGACCCTGTGTCGTTTGACCCTTTGTCGCGTTTTTGACCCTTTGTCGTTTGACCCTGTGTCGTTTGACCCTATCTCGTTTGACCCTGTGTCGTTTGACCCTGGGTCGTTTGACCCTTTGTCGGTGAATCGTAACCTTTAATCCGTTATCCAAAAAAAGATAATAGAAATTACGTTTTTTAATTTGTAATCGAACAAATTTTTTCCATTTTACCTGCTTGCCTCAAGTTCAAATGCCATAGGTAATATTCTAGAATAAGTAGTGATCAAAGAAAACAAATTATCGATTAGAATTTTGTTTTTATTTTGATACTGGCTTTCTTTGAGCAAGACATGTTCTAGCAAGAATAGACCGATGAATTATTTAACTAAGACGCGCGAGGAAATGGCCTAAATTTATCGTTTTACTATGTTGAGCACAATGTCTCTATTATAATGATAAAGGTTCGAAGGTTACTGTTTCAGTTTCGTTTATTGAAGATCAGAAGTTGAAACTATGGAAAATCATTAATTTTAAATACTTGATCTTGATATCCATAATTGACACTGTTAAACTTGAGGATCAATGCTTGATCCCACCATTAAAGTTACCCCTCCCTGCTTTGTTTGGCCACTACAGAAATCTATGGAATCAATAAAAGATCTGGATATTCATTTTTTTCTTGACATTAAATAATTATTTTTGCTTAACATTTTTAAAAAATTGAAAAACATAACATCTCCAAATATTGAAGTCCTAAATTTTCTTTTCTCAAAAATATTTTACGAGAGCAAAAAACATAAAAATACAATAAATAGTTATCAAAATTAAGACAACTAAAGTTTAAAAAATCAGTTAATTAAATATGATTCCTAATTATGGTTCCACTTCGTAATTATTCTTTGAAAATACCCTTCTTGTTCCTATGACATATCATTAACATAATCTACCCTTGAACTATTCGAACCATCCTTTGTAAATACCTTTGTTGTTCCTCTGACATATCATTAACATAATCTACCCTTGAACTCTTCTAAACATCCTTTGTAAATACCTTTGTTGTTCCTCTGACATATCATTAACATAATCTACCCTTGAACTCATCTAACCATCCTTTGTAAATACCTTTGTTGTTCCTCTGACATATCATTAACATAATCTACCCTTGAACTCATCTAACCATCCTTTGTAAATACCTTTGTTGTTCCTCTGACATATCATTAACATAATCTACCCTTGAACTCATCTAACCATGTTTTGTAAATACCTTTGTTGTTCCTCTGACATATCATTAACATAATCTACCCTTGAAATCATCTAACCATCCTTTGAATATACCTTTGTTGTTTCTCTGACATATCATTAACATAATCTACCCTTGAACTCATCTAACCATCATTTGTAAATACCTTTGTTGTTCCTCTGACATATCATTAACATAATCAGGATCCGTCTCCCAATCATCTTCCTCCTCCTCCTGAGAAGAAATAAATCAGGGATTAATAATTTATTTATTCATTTATAGAAAATTGCTGGGGTTGTTCCTGGCCCCAGGCGATCCCACCCTTCAGCACTCCCTCTTCCGATACGCATTTTAATCACGCCTGGAGTCGTCTGTTTATAATATATTAACAATATTTACTCTAGTTTTTATTCTTATTGTTCAAATTTGATTGAAGATTTTAAGGTTATGGGTTGAGATATGTGTTTTGGAATATGAACAATTTGGACTCCTTTCCTTCTTTTGGACATTTGTTCCGAAATCCGAAAATTTAAATTTTCTTAACATAACCCACGGAGAACAATTTTAAACTCTACACGGGGTTTTTACATTCTTCTTGTTACTTTAATTTACCATTTCATTTAAAGACATTTACATAAGGGGGAGGGGGGATGATCCCCTTAGATCAGAGAAATCTACGGGTTTTCGGGGGGTTTCAGGCCACAACGGGCATGCTGACCTTCCCCCCTTGGAAAGTAAACCCCCCCCCCCTGGACTAAATCCTATGTGCACTATTTTTTTCTAGCTATAACGGTTTAATATTTATCCCACACCACCTTCATTGTCTGTCCCAAATACCCGTATACGCTAGATCCCATTTAGGAGCATGTTTGAAATTGTGTTGACCCGTAAATATGTCATTCATTCTACCTGGGTAACTTTTCCAACATTAACTCCGACTTGACTTTTCCACATATTTTCTGAAAACTATTTTATCGTAATAATTTTAAAATAAAAATGTATCAAGATCTGAAAAACTTTAGAATGGTGGATATCGAGATCAATACTTGGTCTCCTCTTTTTCTTAATCTCCAGATTAATGGACCGATCGGGATTAAGGATTTCCCATTCTTAAGTTTTCAGCTCAGAGCTGAGAACTCTTGTAATAGGGGTATCGAGATCAATGCTTAGTCTTCTTTTTTCGTTAATCTGCAGATTAATTTAATCTTTATTTGATATCCCACAGCGTAATTGTAACCAGAGGGGATACTGAATGAAGAAGATTAAGCATTGATTCTCAAATAAAAAGTGCCCACAACGGATATCGAGAACAATCTATATGGGTTAGGGGATCCTAAACAAAAGTTTCTAGCTCAGGAAAAGTTCAATTTACCCCTCAATTTAAAGTGGCTTATCATACAAGAAAAAAAAAACAATTTAATGCTTATAAATATTTAATTACAAGAAATTTCTGAAGTATACGAAATCCTAAGGCTTAGCAGTTGATATATAAAATCAGCGTAATTTCCTATAAATATACAATTTTTTATTTCTCCTCCTGAAATAATACAAAATAACTTAAAATTATGTTATTGTAGAAAATTGATAGAAGGAGGGGGGGGGGGGGGGGGGGGGAAAAAAAAAGAAAAGAAGAGAGGGCCCCCGTGTTTTTTTTTTTTTTTTTTTTTTTTTGCCCCCCCCCCCCCCCGTCCCTTACTATCAATTTTGTACATTTTTCTTATATGTATCACATGGACATTATTGATCATGTGGCCGCATAGCCTGGTCCCCTAGCATGTCCTAGCCGCGGCTCTCGTCCACCTAGCCTGTCCTAGCTGCAGCGCTTGGCCCAGAAATTGTCTTAACCTAGCCTCAAGGGCGTATACAGGGGGAACCCCCTAGACCAGTAAAGGGGGGGGCCACCCCTCTTAGAACTCACAGCTTTCACACTTTTCAAATCTTAAACTCAAGAGAACATGAATAAAATTAGTTTGCTGTTCATTCAGTGCACTAAGAAGATTGTATAGGTGATCCAGAGCCACCATGACAGAAGTCCGAATGAAAAATCTATTTAGAATGCATATTCATCCTAATCGGATGAGCGCTATCAGGGATAGCGAAGTAAAACAATTATTTTTAAATGCCAATCTACGAAGGTTTGAGTTTAGATCTAGTAAAAGACCATTTTTTGTTTAATTTATTGATTTGGATTTATAATTTACTTTTTTCAGTGCACCGCCGTTTTTTAATCTTTTTTTTAATTACAAACTAGCAGAAGTGCCAGGCAATGACCGTGGAATTTTAGAAATAGAATTTAAAAAAACTTTAAATTTATTTAGCACATGTCATCCTATGTATCTATGAGTTTCCTATCTAAAATTTAGCCTATTTAATTCAGCCTTTTGGCCAGCCATAGCAAACATTATTATATAGAGTACAGCTGAACTCCTACTTTTGGCCAGCTATAGCAAACATTATTATATAGAGTACAACTGAACTCCTACTTTTGGCCAGCCATAGCAAACATTATTATATAGAGTACAGCTGAACTCCTACTTTTGGCCAGCTATAGCAAACATTATTATATAGATTACAGCTGAACTCCTACTTTTCTCAAAACAGTAACTTTTACAAGTCATAATTATTTTGTGGTCCTTTGTATTTTTTTCATCTCTTAGAATTTAGGTTTAAGTTGAGTTTTTCATTTAAAAAATGTCTTTTACTATCTCTAGTTTAAATACTAATTATTACTAACTGTAACATAACAGTTCAATAAAATAAAGATTTTATAAACAATGCTTTTTTCTGCTAGTTTTGTTAGAAGAGGAGACAAAGTAATAATTCCCAAATAAATTGAGGTTAACCAGTATTAAAATAAAACCACAATTACGATCGATGAAAGTGATGACAGTATACAGTCGTATAATTCTATGAATCTAGTTTAAAAAACATATATAATATTCAACACATTGTAAATTATTGGAAAATCGGTATATCCATTTATACAAAAATAAATCAGATAACAAATTAAAAAATTAATTTAACATTCACATCTTCATTCATTGTTTGAGCTCTGACGGATTACTAATTTTGTTATCAAACAAGAGCTGTTAGTGTACACCGGTCGGTTCCTCCCCAGCCAGCTGTGATTTAAGCTGTTCTCTCATTGTGCAGCTGTCAATACGTTCAATTGGGTTCCAGCAAATTAAAGAACATTTAAACACAGTTTTGATAAATGCAATAACAAAGCTTATCCGTTTGAAAATTTTGTCAAATTAAAAACTTTGAACATCATTCCGTAAAATATATTTAAATTGTCGATCAAAACAAAATTTTCAGCGGCATTTTCAAAACTCTGCGCAAGCGCAAAAAGCTTTTTCCCTGATAAATTATTGCCGTAGACAGGTAGAAGGCCGCGCAACAAAATCCAAAATCACAAAACAACTACAAAAAATATTTTCTTTACATACATTTGTGATTTAAGATACCAGTAATAAGGTATATAGAAAGAAACGAGTATCAATCAATCAGTCAATTTTTTACATTCGAGAATTACACACTTTTCAACTTTCTTCAGTGCAATTTATTCTGTTCGGTAATTTCCTAGTATACGATTTTTGGACCCCCCCAGGCCCCCTAGTTCGTATAAAATAACGGACCCTGTAATTGTTATAAATAAGACAATTTTACCTAGAGCTTGATAATTACCTTAATATGTTAAATGGGCCTTTGCGGACTTAACGTCTAATGGTCGTCTTCCAATTCCTCATTTTTATGAATGCTTTGTACTGATTTAGTCAAATTTTTTATTTATTATCTGTGAAATAGTTGAGCTTGTGGAGCTAGTTGACTTTAACGAAGGCAATGTGGAACTGGTTGAACTAAACCAACCTGGAGATGTTGTGGAAATTGATATCGATGAATATTTTCCTAAACTGGAAGATCCAACGGGTAAGTTCTCTGAACAATTCGATAAATATCGACTGAAAGATACACTAAATAACGAACCCTCATATTTATTTTTTTAAACTTAGTCTGAACACTTAGGAACAGCACTGATGTTATTTACATTCTTCCAGTGCTAAGGATCCATTTCATTTTGATGCGGATTTGGATCTGGATCCTGGATCTGCCCTGAAAAAAATGGATCGGATCAAGGCAGTGCTTAGGATCCGGATCCAAGGGCAAAATATCAACCAAAAACTGCAACAAAACATGTTTGCTCTCTAAACTCAAATCTGAACTGTTTTATAGATCTTCTAATCTCTTAACGGTTCATCAAGTTGTTGCATAAAAAATATGTGATAAAAAAGTAATGGAAATAATTCAAAAATTCTTCTTTTGTTTAGTAAATCAATAGATTTCAAATAAATGTTCATGACCTAGATCCGGATCCATTTTATTCCAGTGCGGATCCAGGATCCACATCAAAATTAAATGGATTCTAAGCACTGGATTCTGGTCATAAACATTTCTTACAGATTTACTGGATTTATAAAGAAAGTTTTTCAGAACCCTTTTTATAATAATAATTTTTTTAAATACTAGCCTTATAGGACGCTTTGCGCCCATCTTCTAAATTAATTGTGAACATGTTCAATTTGTGTACATCGTAAAACAAAACAAAAATAATTCGTGGATTTTCAAAATTTTCAAAAATTTAATGAAGATAGAATTTTGATGGAGACAAATATTTGAAATTTTGATCATTTATAAACCTTCCCTGGGGTCCCTAGATGTCCCACAAAAAAGTTGGGCCCGATCGGTTCAGCCGTTTTGACGTTTATTGGATACAAACAGACAGACAAACATACAGACAAGCCAAATTTATATATAGATTGCGGATCCAAAGGATCCGGATCCTAAGCACTGCATTCTCTCAGTACATTGTTTTGTACTGATTCAGTTTTTTACCCTTAATTGTATATACTTTTTATTTTCTCCAATTATCCGCCTAAACTTAACTTGGGGGGGGGGGGGTTGTTCTCAAAAGGGGAACAATATACACACCTGTCACAACAAGTAGCTAATTCATTAATCCGTTTCAGTTTTCAATATTTTTTATTTGGAATTTTCATCACTAATTTTGTTTTACTTTGAAGTAAAAATTTTCGGCAATTACTGAAATATATCAAAATATGTAAGAAACTACATTTATAACTTTTCCCATTTTCTTATTTTGTTTTTCTGTTTTACAGATGATCCTTTAGGAGTCGGAGACATTATTCAGAACAATGTCGACCCAGTTGCTTCAATTAGCACAGGTTAGAAAACTTAAGATTATCAAAAATTCCAGTAAGAAATTTAAAACAATTTTTTCATTTCGTTTTATTTTAATTTTATTTAAATTTATAAATATTAAAGTAAATTCAAAGCATGGTTACAGTTTTACAGATTATTTGGGAGGTATTTGTGCTAAGTTGTCGGATTTGAATATGGTAGGGGTGGAAATAACGTCTCAAATTTTTTTAGATATGTGGGTTATGTGAAGTGTACTTTTATTGAATTCAATTTAAGATATCTCAGGGTTTAGATAACAAAGAAATGTTGAAAATTCGCGATTTTAACTTAAAAGTTTTTAAAAAAATTCTATATAGGTTGGTCTCCTTCCTCTAAAAAGTAAATAACTTCTGAATACTTTTACTTGGGAAATCTGAGTACCTATATAACAGATAGAATTTTTAATCTTAATAAATTGCTAAGGTTCGATGTCTGTTATTGAGTTGGAGGTCAAAGAGGATGAAGGGGCTGAGGAAGATGATGGGAACGAGGAAGAGGCCGCTATCTACACTTGTCAAGAATGTAATTATCAAACATTATCAATCTCCAACCTCAGTATACACTCCCACGTGAAATTACGATGCTACCTCTGCAAGTTTTCAACCCAGCTCAAGTCTGAATTTAATCAGCACATGCATAAGCATAAACCCAAGGGAGGAGCTCAAACTGGTCCTGCTCCTGCTCCACCACGACAGGTTCCAGTTAACAGTTTAGGCGGGACTACTTCACAGTTTCACTGTAAACCTTGTAAACTTGCTTTCAGCTCTAGTTTAAGTTTGGAGAATCATCAAAGAGTGAGACACACTTCCTCGCGAATAAAATGTAATCTCTGTGATTTTTCACACATTAGTCCCGTGATATTAAAACAGCACATGAAGATTGAGCACCCAGCACTAAGAGTATCAGATTTTTTCTGCAAAGAATGTAGCTTATCCTTCTCCTCTCAGAAAGTTCTAGAAAGCCACATGAACGTTCGCCATGGGGGAACCATTGTCACAAAGAGCGCCAAAATGGCTACTCCCCGAGTCAACCAGAATGTCAAACGAAAACGCACCTCAGTCCAGATCCCTAAAACCACAAATAAGCCAGTTGAGACGTCCGTGTGGCATGTGGTCGTTGATAAGGAGAAGAAATCGCGTTACTCCTGCAGAACCTGCGGGTTTACTACAGACGATGAGAATGTTCTGACTGAACATGAAGCAAGTTTTCCAAGTATTTACGTCTGCTCTTTCTGCTCATTTGAGACCCATTGGAGTTCTAAAGTGACAGAACATAAGATCGCCGAACATCCTGATAGTGTGAAATTTCCCTGTGATTTGTGTGAATTTCGTACGTGCAATAATGCGGGATTACACACCCACAAGCGAATTGTTCACGGCATTATGGAACCTATAATATAGAAGGGTCCCAGACTACCAGTACCTTTTTATACGTCTCATTTGATGGATTAAATTATATATTTGGTCAATCCTACCATTTAAAGAATATCGTTCAAACTTCACCAATTTTGTTTAGTTTTTTGTTAAATTCGGAGAAACATTTATTTTTCTCATTTATTCAAAATGAAAATTCTGTTATATTTCCAGATACCATGATTTGGGTAGTACTAGTATCCAGTATCCTGTATACCAGAAATATTGTAAAATTATCTACTGTATTTTAAGTAAAATTTAGAAGGTAAATTTTAAATTAGTCAATATTTTACAGAATCTTATTTAATTTAGTTTGGAGAAAAAAAATTCAAAATTCAAAATAACGCTAATTTCGTTCATTCAAAACACCGAAACTCTTTATGTTCCAAGGGATTGTTTAAATAATTTTCAAGTTAACAGGGTTTAATCTCTGATTCATTACGGTACCTTTTATCATATTTATTAAGAATGTTCGTGTTGATGATAAACCAAACCTCATAAAATGGATAAAGTGTTAGTCCCACATAAAAAAATATACATTTCGGTCTGGATTGATCCTCTACTGTTCTTGAAATTTATTTCTGTCATGAACATTCAAAACTAAGCATCATATTTTTGTCTGGAAAAGTGTTAAATTCTAAAAATTTCCTTCTTTGTCTCTTTACTTTAGCACGATAAGCTTCTAGAATGTGTTTAGATAACGCAACAACCTGGTTTCCTTAAATCAGCAAAGATGTACACCAAAAAGCAACTAGACTGTGACCAGTGTGATTTTATCGGGAAAACATTGTCGTATCTTCGTATTCACCAGGTACGAATATTATCTCATTTTTTTCTAGAATATTTTCAGACTTTTTTAAAATGAACTTTAAGCGCATTAATTCAAGTAACCCTCCTTGCAAAGATATAATTGCCCGATTCACAGTGGTACCCTTTAATCTATAATGTGGAAGATATTTTCTTTTTTCTGGCCGTGATATTTAATAAATCTATGTCAAGTGGAATTGTGCCACAAGATTGGAGAGATGGAAATATCGCACCAATCTTTAAAAAGGGCAGTAAGAAAGAACCAGGAAACTTTCGTCCTATCTCGCTTACTTCAATACCATGTAAGGTAATGGAATCCATCATCAAGGATCAAGTTGTTGACCACTAGTCTATTAAATAAATCTCAGCATGGTTTTATGAAACATAAATCGTGTGCAACTAATCTATTAGAGTTCATGGAAAAAATTACGCTAGAGAGTGATAATAACATTCCTATGGACATAATTTATCTAGACTTCTCAAAAGCATTTGATAAAGTGCCCAAACACCGACTGATCCAAAAGTTAAAATCTCATAGCATAGAAGGAAATGTACTTTCATGGATTAACAACTGGTTGACTGGAAGAAGGCAAAGGGTGATTATCAATGGAGGATAATCTACCTGGGAGCCTGTACTCTCAGGTGTACCCCAAGGATCAGTACTCGGACCATTAGCTTTTGTGATATTTATCAATGATATAGACACCTTAAACAAACTTATTACAATAATGAGAAAGTTTGCAGATGACACCAAACTCGCACAATGTATTCTAACAGAGGAAGATCGTGATAATTTACAGGACTGTCTTAACCTGCACTGTGAATGGGTATGTGGGGTATGTCATTTAATGTTGCTAAATGCAAGGTTCTTCATGTTGGACATAATAATCCCAAATATGAATACTTTATGAACGGAATTAAGTTATCTGTGGTCAAAATAGAGAAGGATATTGGAGTGAAAGTGTCACATGATTTAAAACCCTCTATCCAGTGCCTAGAAGCTGCTAAAACAGCAAACTACATGCTTGGAACAATTTCACGTGCATTCCATTTCAGAGATCGGAATGTTTTCCTGAACTTGTATAAACAATATGTAAGATGCCATTTAGAGTTTTCTGTCTCAGCGTGGTGTCCTTGGACAGCTGCAAACAAAGATGTACTAGAGCAGGTACAACGTAGAGCTATTCATATGATATCTGGACTGTCTGGTAGAAATTATGAAGATAAACTAAAAGAACTGAGACTTGAATCCCTGGAGAAAAGAAGAATCTATATTGACATGCTACAAACATTTAAGATTATCCATGGTTTTGATGATGTTAGGAGCGAAACATGATTTAACACAGTCGGGTCAGGAGAACATAGACTAACTCGTCTAACTGCAGATCCCCTCAATCTGATGCCCTCTCGATCTAGACTGGAATTAAGAGCTAATTATTTTAGTCAGAGAGTAGTGAATTTATGGAACAGTTTGCCGGGAGAAGTTAAAAAACGCTAGAAATCCTAAAGTGTTTAAACACATTTACCAACGATATGCTGGAGACATTGTTTGAGTAAAAATAGTGATATAAATAGTTACTCAATGAATCTATAGACTCGCAGATATTCTCAATATACTCCTAATTGGGGTCTAGAGATTAACTCACCAAATAACCAAAAAAAATTCTACTAGTTTTTAAAACGTTATCATTCCTAATTATTTTCCGGCAGCAAAAATACTTCAACCCTTTTTATAGAGAAACCACAAAAAAAATAATCAGTTTTTATAATTATAAAAAATTGTAATCTAATTCGTAAGAAAGTTTTTGAGGGTTCTGTTGTGAATCGGGTATTGTCATCTTTGCATGAAGGTTCAATTATAATTACGCTTACAGTCTCTTTAATCTAGTTTTTTTTACCAACAATCTGACAAACCAAACTGATGATATTACGCTGTTTTTAATATTTTGTTTCAAGGGAATAGTAATAAATCGATTTGAGTTTTTTAAAAAAGGACTTTAATCAGAATTTAATAAAAATATGAATATTAAGGAGGCCCTGTTTAAGCTAGTAATAACATTAGAACCAATATGATTTGATTTGATTTGATTTGATTTGATTTGATTTGATTTGATTTGATTTGATTTGATTTGATTTGATTTGATTTGATTTGATTTGATTTGATTTGATTTATAAAACTGTTAAAAAACTGTATATGAGAGATGAGAATTTTTAAATGTAGTGAGATAGTTGTTGGTTTATATAATTTTTACCCTTTTCAACCTAAACCTTGTTAAATCATTCGTAACTAGTTCAACCACCTCTTTAGTCGTCAATTCCCAACTAGTTTTTTTTACAATTCTCTTGAATAGAAACTATTTTAATAAATCTTTTCTTATTTAGGGTAAAGTCCACGGCGGAGTTCTATTTCTATGTGATGAATGTGATTTTTCTGGAACCAATGCTGAGGATTTAAACAAGCACACTATACACCACAGGAGAACACGGTTTAAATGTGACCTGTGTGACTTTGGAACTGGAAGCGCCAGGAGGTTGGAGAAGCATAAATATTTGCATAGGTAACGTTAAACGTTTTGTACCTTATCAAACCGGTTCTGCCGTTTTCAACCGTTTCTGTCGTTTCTGACATTTAACAAATTATTTCCTACTGTTAAACCGTGTTATGCTGATAATGAACATTTAACAACTATAAAAATTAATTACTTCTTGAATTATTAGAGATTTAGTTGACGACGAATCTGATGAGGAGAATGATGATATTCAGCTTAAAGGTCTTGAAACTGATCCGGATTTTCATCCTCCCTCTCATAGTGAAGAAGATGATGACGAGATTGACCATCTGCATATTGACTGTGACTGTGAAGAGCATGAAGAGGAGATGAAGAAACATCCTGTAAATCTACAAATAGCTCTCGAGGAAAATTCGGGCGATAAAGAAGCTGAAAAATCCGCAAAGCCTACAAAGCAAAATTTCGAAAAATGGATCAAACATCAATTCGAAAACCCAAAATCGGAAAATTATAGGTTTTTTAAAAATACGAGACATATACACATATTCGACCCTTTTGATAAACACCTAAAAAGGAAAAATAAGGGTTTAAATAATGAAACAGATGAACCGCCCATGAAACTTACCCGCTACAATTCTAGACCAGATGATATTGATGAACCAGAATCACTGAATGTTGGTAAGAAATAATTTCTTAATTATGAAAATAATTTTTAAATCTATTGTATTTTATTTTTATATACTAAATAATAATTCCAATTTTCTAGAATTACCAAATTTGGACGCCGAAGAATACAATTTGTCGCCGGAAGTTGATAAATCTGCAGAAGAAATGGAAATATCTACACAGGAAAAAGAAATATCTACACAGGAAAAAGAAATATCTTCACAGGAAAAAGAAATATCTACACAGGAAAAAGAAATATCTACACAGGAAAAAGAATTATCTTCACAAGAAAATGCCATTTCTATACAGGAAAATGAAATAAGTTCAATAGAAAAGGAAACACCACCACCGGAAAAGAAAACATTTGTAACAGAAACCAGGCTTATAACGAATATCGATGAATCTATCTTGAAATCTATGAAACTTCCTGGATATCGCAGTGTGAAAGTAAATGAATTAGATAGCTTCGATGACAATGAAAAAGGTATGGCTGTTACATAAAAAGTAACTTGAAAAGCTTTTCGGGTTTCTTTCTATTCCTTAGTCTTACTTTATTAGATTTTTTTTATCTTTTAATTTTTATGAAAAAAAATTCATGTCAGTGAATATAAAAATTTTAATGTTTCGTTAAAATCTACGTTATATATTAACGTTTTTACACATTAACAATAACAAAAATCCTATCAATATGTTATTAATATTACATCTATCGTAGAAACTTCTGAACCGGAAGAAGAAAATATGTTATCTGCAATATCTGAAGAGGACCAGCTAACTCAGACGGCACGCGAATCAGGGGTATACATTCCCCCCACACTACCCCATTCCCCTGAGATATTACTTTGCTAGCTTTTCTCTCTGTCTGAAACAGGGGTGTATAAAATCCCCCCCCCCCCCCTCCCCGGCGGCTGAGAATCAAAGACCCAAGAGGAGGGGAAAAGGGAAGGAAAATGTAAGGAAAAGGGAAAGGGTAAGAGCGGAAAAAAGTAAAGGCGGGAAAGGGGAAGGGAGGGAAGTGGATAAGTGGAAAGAAGATAAGTAGGGAAGGAGATAGGTAGGGAAGGAGAGAGGTACTAGGCAGGGAAAGAGATAGGTAAGGAAGGAGATAAGTAGGGAAGGTGACAGGTACTAGGCAGGGAAAGAGATAGGTAGGGAAGAGGAAAAGTAGGGACGGGGATGGTTGGGAGGGTAAAAGGAATATAGGAAACTACGGACGGGATAGGGAAGGGGATAGGGAGGGAAGTAGAAGGGGAAGGAAAGAGGAAGGTAGGATAGGTAGGGAAGGGGAACGAAGTGAAGGAGAAGGGAGAGCATAAATGGAATATTGTCAAATAAGGAAGTAAAGGAAAGGACTTGAGCTCTTTACCTCTACATTACTACACAGCTACATAACAACATATAGAATCCGAGAGATTTTCCTATATTATTTTATATAAAGAAGTGAAGGAAAGGACTTGAGCTCTTTACCTCTACATTACTACACAACTACATAACAACATATAGAATCCGAGAGATTTTCCTATATTATTTTTCCCAATAGTTATAATGCAGCAAAAAATACGTGTTAACAAAATTTCCGCCCAGAACTTCAAAACAAATATGATAAAAGAATGCTCTTTACTCAATAATTTTTCCAAATAGTCCAACCTATTAAAAATTTTCACAAATTCTCCCCCACATAAAAATGAAATCCCGACTTTTTTGCCATTGTCACCATACAATTACACAACGTTTAAAAAATCCCTGCGTCGCCATTTATCCTTTTTAAAATCCATAATTTTAGATATTAATCATTATTATGCACTGCAAAATAAATATTAAAAATAATGTCTTTTTAGTTATTGAATTTGAATTTGGGGAAGGAAATCAAAGAAAAATTTGTGGGGGTGGGGAGAATTTAAAAAACTGGAATTATATACACCCCTAGTCTGAAATGATTTTCTCTAAAAGCCGTTGGTTTTCCTTTATCTCATGAAAAGGTTAAATTCATCGATGCTAATGTAAGGGTCAGATTGTTCAAGAGTAAAATGTCCCTCTGACACATACATTTACAAATATAATGAAGATTAGGCTTCTCTTGATTTTAATAATTGATTTTGAATTATTTGTAATTTAAGAAATTGATAAATTAACGAATCCTGAACGTTTAATGCTTCAGTAAATTTTTTATTGTTATTTAGGCTAATACTATTGTTATGCATAATTTAGGAGCCAAGTAGTCTAGCTGAGATGGTATTTATAAAAACAGAAGAGATCGAGAATAAACCTGACGTAGCCCTGTATTCTCCTGATAGCTCGAGGACCCCGGATGAACTAAGTCCGGCTGATTTATGTCAAGCATATATAGATACTAATTCTGAACAACTTACTCCTGAAGGTAAAGTACACAGATAGAAAGGAGAAGAATTGTTAAGGCATGGGAAACTAACTGGACTACAGTTTTATAATTTTTGAGGAAAAAATAAAAATAAAAATAAGTTTTAACCCAAATATTATTCAAAGAATTGTTCATTATTTTAGTTTATTTTTTGGTAGTTATATTTCTATCATCATTAACCATCTTTTTTTTGCAGTCGAAAAAATTGATGACTTTCCTTGTGCTCTGTGCGGTAAAGTTAACGCCTCTCACGAAAAACTTAAACAACATGTTAAAATCATGCATCGAGTTTTTACATGCGAGTTCTGCGCGTTTGCAGCAGCTGATTGCTCGAGCTTGTTGGAACACAAGAGGAGATCTCATTCTGTAAAATGTAGTTTATGCGACTACACAGCAACTTATCTAGGAAGCCTTTATAAACATAGAAGCAAAGTTCACGGATTGATTGAATGTGATCAGTGTTTTATAGCACTGCCTTCAAATGAGGAGCTTGTAACACACATTAAACAGACCCATGTTTACGTCTTCAGATGTAATCAGTGCCCATACGCGGCTAAACTTGGTTCTTACTTGAAAAATCACATAAAGGTGAAAAGAATTTATTTAATTATTGTTGTTAAAATTACGTATATTGATGAAACTTCTCGCTCGCCGGTTTCCACATTAAGCTTTGATTTTTTACGTGAAGTGAAAAGATTTTTTACTAGTTTCTAAATTTGATTTTTTGTTCCACAGGTAACACTTCAGCTAGTACTAAATATATTTAATTTCTTTCTAAACGGGACTGTAAAGGAAAAATTAAAGGGGATATATGATGAAACCTGAGAATCTCAGGCGTTGAACGCTACATATAAGACATCTATCTGATGTTCCTGTCTCGGGAAATGGGTGTAAAACTGTGTTAAGTTCATGCGAAAATTCATATATATGCAATTTTTTATAAAAGTTGTAGGTTTAAACAGACCATATTCAGCAAATACGAAACCAATCTGAAAAGACTATATTCTACAGAAACCTGAGAATCTCAGATTTGTTCCTGAACTATGATTATTTAATTTTTGTTTTATTTATTTTTATTAGATATAATTGATATCATTACATTTAATCCGTCTAGTCCGTATTAAGTCAGCAGTACTTCAGCCAATGGCAGTGCAGTATACTGGTCACGGGATTTCCGTCTATACTACGTGACAAAGATACTGCACTGTCATTGGCGGAAGTTATTATGACGTAATATGTGCTATACAGACTATATGTAATAATATTATCAATTATATCTATTCAAAATGCAAAATCAAAATTAAAAAATTATAATAGGAGCAAACCTGAGATTCTCAGGCTCCTGTGGGATTAGTTTCGTATTTGTTAAATATGATCTGTTTAATACTAAAACTTTTTTTTTCAAAATTGCATATATATGAATTTTCGTATAAATTTGACAAAGTTCTTATCAATTTCTCGAGACAGGAACATCAGATGTCTTATATGTATCATTCAACGCCTAAGATTCTCAGGTTTCATCCTAAACCCCCTTTCATTTTTCCTTTACAGTCCCTTTAAGAAACATTTCTTAAAGATATAAACATTAAATAGTACTGACTGAGTTAAAACTTGAAAGGGATATACGGCTGTAAATTACTGTTTTATTTCTTACTTTTCAGTGAAATGTTTAAATCCAATATTTTCTCTATTTCAGCACAAACACAACACAAGTACCTTCAAGTGTGAGTTGTGTGACTACACGTGTATGGCAGAGTCGGGGATAAAAGCACACATGAAAATTCATCGAATATTTAATTACAAATGCACCATTTGCAGTTTCACTTGCACTACCTTGAAACGCTTGAGTGGACACGAATCCAGGCATCATCCGGGGGTTACATTCAGATGTGATAAATGTGACTATGTTGATTCAAGCTCAGTGTTTATAAATATACACAAAAAGAATACACATGAAGAACAGAAGAAACCAAAACTTGATAACAGCAACTTTAGATATCCCTGTACTGAATGTGAATTTGCAGGGGTATCTGATGAAGATTTGATTAAGCACAAGCTTATGAATCATGAAAGTGAAAATTTTAATCTTGATGATGAACTTGAAGGTGAAATATGATAACTAGTCAAGTTCTCTATTTATATTTTCTGGCATATTGAGGAAAATTTTGTGTTTTAGTTTTAAATTCAATTGTATCAATGATATTATGATAATTCCATTCAATCCTCACATACTTACAAAGACTACTTTTACTGCATTTAAGAAGGACAAGGTTGTAACACTAAGAATTTTATATCTATTAAAACTCCATATATCTGTTCTCTTATTTATATGGTCTATACTTTTGGTAATTTGAAAGGCCTAGTCTTTGAAATTATTGAAATTGTCGATTTGAAATTTTTACCGAACACAGAACAATGTTAATGTGATCATTACATACTTTGTACATTAAAATGGGCCAACAATTCCAGATCTTCGTTGAAACTCATTAATCTATCTATAACTAGCCAAAAAATATGAATTCAATTCTTTTTGTTGGTTAATACTATTTACCAGTATTATTTTATGGTTTGTGGCTCGTGTTTTTAGCCTGCATTTAAGCTTTTTGTTTGCTGATATGTGAAGACTGTTGTGCTCCGTTCAAAATAAGATAATAATGTTTTGTGGATTTTTCTGTTTATGACCATGATAATTGAACATTGAACCTTCCTTTGGGTAAAAAAACACGACACAAGATCGTTTGAAATGTTGACGTTTATGGAGATTAACAAACAAATCAATGTATATACAGATGTAGGATCAATTATATGAATATTAATCATAATCTGGCGAATAAAAATTGTTCAATGTAAACATGATTTTTTGAATTGGTTGTGCGTATTTTTATTTATTTTCTAAGTAAATTACTAAAATTTGTCTGGATTAGATTAAAAATTGAAGAAAATGCATTACTGGCTAGACATAAATACTAATAACAATATTTCACGTTATTAATATTAAATCAAAAAAATGAATCTGAATTATCTTTATCGTAGTTTAAAGTACGAATAGTACAAAAAACTCAAAATATTAAATTATCAAATGAACATTCATTATTTGTTAAGAATCTTATCTTACTATTATAAAAAAAAGGATTTTTCCAACTAATGCCATCTAAAGGAATTTGAACAATATATTTATTTTTACAACTTTTACACATATAACAATAAATATTTTATCACATTAGATTGTATTTAAAAATTTTAAACCAATTCAGATTCTTCCAGGGCCTTCAGGAATATATATCTTTGCTTGAAGTTTTTAGCCCTAAAAAGGAAAAAATATTTATTATTAAACTTTTCAGAATACGTTGGCCATAACTAAACTAAACTTTCTTTCAACAATACCTTGGCCATAATTAAACTTTCCATAAAACGTTGGCTATAATTGAACTTTCCATAATACGTTGGCCATAACTAAACTTTTTATAAGACGTTGGCCATAATTACCTTATTCATGATTTCATTTTAGTCTCCAAATCAAGTTTTTTTTCAGGCTACTTTTATGTCAGAAGCTAATTGACATTGAAATATTTTTTTTCATGATCTTGTCTCTGTAACCCTGAACTACGTAGTAGAAAGAATTTTTGAAATGTTGCCTTAACAATTTTTCATGGGGTCTTATACTAATATTATTAAATCTAGCCATAAAATATGCGATAACAGAATTTAAGAGCTCCTTCTGATTAAAACCTTATCCGTAGGTTTAGACATTTTATAAATTCTTTCGATGGCTCCTCAGTTCTTGGTTAATATATATATACCTGACATGATCTGATTCTATCTCCCTAGTTGTATTATTAGGTATCCAACCCCGGACACCATCCTTGCACCGTTCTATATACAGCATACCTAATCACATTTTTATATACAGCATACCTAATCACATTTTTATATACAGCATACCTAAACACATATTTATTTAAAATATGACTAAACATTTCGTTTTTTACGTTATATACAGTGGTCGTCTATAATATCATTACAATGAAGACGATTTTTTATTCAAGCCTTTTTCGAACTACAAGTTTACATGAAATCAAATTGGCAGCTTTTCTTGACTTTTATGTTTATTTTATCCATAATGTTTAACAGCTTGATATAGATCAAAGTTAAAATCGAAAGTCGTCTTCATTGTTTTAATACAATTGCCTACCATTGTAGTGTACCCAATCCCATAACGAACAAGGTTCAAAATGCAGATTTAGAAAAATTTATATGATCTTTTGTTAAAAAATTACCAATTTAAGTTAATACATAGGATACATTGCAGAACAAGCTGAAGATGTTTATACTTAAAGCTCTAACATGCAGGAGAATGATTTTAAAGATCTGGATTTTCATAAATTTTCTCGAAAAACATGGTTTTCCCGGAGTGTATATTTTAAATACATTAATAAATTAATATTAATACAAAAATAAAATTGAATATATTTTGGTTAGTTGGGTTTGAATTAGTTGATTAAAATGCAATTAATACTTATGACTATACCCTACCTTTATAATTACTACAGTCTACTTGATTCAGTCTCAGTTAGTTCTAATATTATTCCTAAACAGGCAGCTAGGGGTTAGTAAGGATGCAGTCGTAACCAAATTTTAAGAAGATTACAATTCTAAAAAGGGTGAGTTTAAGTGACCCTCCATGTGAAGATAGAAATGCCAGATTTACAACGGTAATCTTGAAACATTTATTCGATCTAAAATATGGATAATAACGACTATGAAAATAAATAGCTGTTTAAATAAACAAAAACATGCAAATCATTTTCATACTTGATCAGACAAAGCTTTTAAGGTTACCCAATCAATTAAATGACGAATTGACTGGGTTTTACTTAAAAGTTTATTATAGTGAATGACGAAGATACTGCAGACGTTAGTTAAAATGAAGTGCAAAATTCGCAAGTTCGAGAAATCAAAATAAAATCAAAAATTAATTTGAAAGACTAGGATATCTCATTTATCCTTGACATGGGTTTATACAGGGTGTCCCCAAAACATGGAAACTTAGAGACGACTTGAATAATGTTGATACAAGTTATAAAGTGCATCAAAAAGAGATTGGAAATTCCAAGACTGATAGTTTTCGGTGATAAATGTTTCAATTGTGATACTACACAATTATGTTTACGAAATAATTCCGTATGGAACAAATACGATATAGAAGTCGTCATTTAATTCCCATGTTTATTGGGACAGCCTGCAGGAAATCGTTGTAAATCGGTCATTCCACTTTACACATTTTAGAATTACTTTCTATAACGTTCTCAGTCCTTTAATTAACATCTCTATATAAAAACAAGGTTTATTATTAAATACAGGTGATGTTTGTCTAATCTAGTTTTCTATCGTCTAGGAGAAAATCATCATGCTTGAGATTAGTAAATTAGTTTTTGCTTCATTCATGCCTCGGACTCTTACCTTGGGATTTCTTAAGAACATTCGCCACTTCTCCTTTCTCCAGCCCAACCTCATTCTCATTCTCTAAATTCAATCAGTAAATTTAGATGCTTTTTTCTGAAATTTAATCTATGGAAATATTATTGTCCATTATTGTTAATAATTCCCTACTGAAAAGTTACAACTCCCTGATATTTTCTGTAGACTAAGGGTTAAACTGTTGTAAATCGTTCATAGCAATAATTACACATTGACCTTTCAAGTTTGAAGTGGCTCATAAAAGATATTTAAATGCATAGATTAATTAACAATATCAGATATAGAACACCAGATGTCGCCTTTTTAAGATTTAGGGGTTTTTGTTCAAAATAACCCTGAGGTAGAAGCCTAAAGGTGTTACGCGCATGCGGCGTAGACAGGCTCTCTCTCTAGAGCATGCACGCAACTCCTTTTGGCTTCTATTCAGGGTTATGTGATCGAAAACCCCCTGTAAAAGACGACATCTAGTGTTCTATCTTTAATTGTAAATTAATCAATGTTTAAATGCTTCAATGAACCTAAATTAAAACAAGGAGAATGTAAGAATTGTTATGTATTGCTAGATTGGGGAACTAAAGAAGGTAAGGAATAACTGCCAAATGAAGGAGTGTCCGCTCAACCTGGAGTAGGGGTTTTGCGAACTTCAAACTGGAAACTGTAGGGTTATATTCTGTACCTGGAGTATAGTTTGTGTTAGCTTCAACTCTAGGACAATCCCAGTCTTCATATATCTTCTCTCCAGCAATCTTTAATCAGGATTATTCAATCAATTATTTGTATTACTAATATTGAAATCATTATCAGTATAGTTATAGACGTTATTGCTATTTTTAAAGCTATTATTGTAAACTGATTGATTATTTTGTTACCTGTGAAGGTTGTGGTATGAGAAGATCTGTTACTTGCGAACGTTGGGGTATGAGAGGATCTGTTGCCTGTGAAGGTGATGGTATGTGAAGATCTGTCACCTGTGAAGGTTGTGGTATGAGAAGATCTGTTGCCTGTGAAGGTAGTAGTATGAGAAGATCTGTTACCTGTGAAGGTTGTTGTATGAGAAGATCTGTTACCTGTGAAGGTTGTGGTATGAGAAGATCTGTTACCTGTGAAGGTAGAAGATCTGTTACCTGTGAAGGTTGTGGTATGAGAAGATCTGTTACCTGTGAAGGTTGTGGTGTAAGAAGATCTGTTACCTATGAAGGTTGTGGTATGAGAAGATCTGTTACCTGTGAAGGTTGTGGTGTAAGAAGATCTGTTACCTATGAAGGTTGTGGTATGAGAAGATCTGTTACCTGTGAAGGTTGTGGTATGAGAAGATCTGTTACCTGTGAAGGTTGTGGTGTAAGAAGATATGTTACCTGTGAAGGTTGCGGTGTAAGAAGATCAGCCCAGGCTCGTCTGTTACTGGCAGAGTTGAAGGATAAGAGGAGTTCCTGAGTTCTACTCTCACTATTCTGCAGCAGAGTGATCCACAACGGGAAACTACCAGCCTCGCATATTCCAGGTAATCCATCATTATCCATTACCTGGATAATATCAGGAAAATAAAGTTGGAAAGATTAAAAAAAAATGTGAGAAATTGGAAGACATTTTTTTCCCTTTTTGATTTTATCTGTTTTTATTTTAGATAATTGTTGCATCTCAATTTGTAAATATTGTTAACTATTATGCATTAATGCAGTTGAAATGCTTGAATATATGCCATTATTACTTTTAATATTTCTTTCGATCAACTCAAATGAGAGTTTCCTTATAAAATTGCATTTTTACATTTTAAAGAAAGAATGTTGAATTAAAAAGTCTAAAGAATAGTTTAAATATTTAAACTATCTTCTCAATCTAAACTTCTAGCTTTTATATCTAAGTTTTATACCTGAATCATATTTCTTGGACAATAGTCCTGTACAGAGTATTTATCTTCACCCTTCTTCTTCAGAACCAGGAGTAGGTCGGTCAACAGGATCAGTGTCAACTAGGGCAGTAGGTAGAATTATTATCATTGCTGTAATTACCATTTTTTGTTGGTTAGCAACTTAACAAGGGTCAGCTAGGTAAATAGATATCATTATCATTGTTGTAATTATTATCTATGGTAGGTTGGTTAATAGGATCAAGGGCCAAGGCAGCTGAGACGATAGGTATCATTATTATTATTATTATTATTTAAATGATAAAATATTTTAGGTTGGTCAGCTAGGTCAATGGATAGTATTAATATCATTGTTGTAAGTTTCACTTAAAAATTAATTCATTTACTTTTTAATTAAAACTGTTAATGTTATTATTCAAGCAACATAAATAATTAAGATTAGATCTGTTCTTGAAAAAATTATATTTTTATCTTAATTACCTGATATTTTTGAATTCTTCGTCCAAATGTTAACTTTGCGGTCTCCCCGCCTTCCTGTATTATTATTATTATTAAAGGACAACCCATCATTCAATGAAATAGGGGTCGGCGCTCCTAGCCGCCGAAACTTATCCATGGGCTGACCGAACTGGTCACCCTAATAATGAATCAAATATAAATCTTTTTGTAAGATATTTACTATGAAAAACTTGATATTATAAAAAAACAAACGTGGTTTCTTTATAACCTTTTAAAACAGCAATTTCCTATTTTTCACAATTTATTCAAATACAATTTTATCGGTAATATTTATCGTATTTACCCTCAAACAGATCTTGGTAACATTTCCCTTCTTCACCAACCATCTTGATGCAGAAATTATTGGAACAGCTTTCAAATCCCTAAACAAGTTATTTCTTATTTTAAAAATGTTTGTTTTATAATCATACATCACTTTTTAATGTCATCAATGTTTCATTCCTTGTTTGAAAATTTAAAGAAAAAAACCATCTGAAATCAATCTTTTCATTCTTCTAAACATTTTCTTTTACTAAACAAGTTGAATTTTTCACTGTCTTTACATTGTATTTCCGGTATTTCACTTTCATTTACATTTTTCTTTACAATTTTCTTAATTTCAAAAATAAGAAAAGTCTTTTTACCTGAAGTCTAACTGCTGAGATAGGAGGAGTAATTCTTCCATTCGTTCCATTGATCTAAAATCAGATGTTATTATGAGGTTATACAAAATTGAAATCAATTAAAGTAGAACAATTTGAGGCTTTTTACCTTGCAGATTCGTTGCATTCTGTTACTAGACCATTCAGAACATTTACAGCTTCCCTGTTATAAACAATATTGAATTAAACAAAGTCTTTGTCTTTATTTTTAGTTGTAGGTCAGCAATACAAGACAAGATAACAGATCAGAGATGGGAACTTTTGAATGGGATATCCTTAGTCCTGATCGGATAATTAATCTGGAGATTAAAAATGAGTGGAGAACAAGCAATATTTAATCTGCAGATTAAGAAAAAGAGTGGATTAAGCCTTAATCCCGATATCCACCATTCTAAAGTTTTCAGCTCAGAACAGTAAATCACTGACATCTGAATATTTATAAGAAATGATAAATCTAAATAAAACAAAATACTTTATGCCAGTAACATAAATTAAGAAAGAATTTTGATAATATTAATTGATTGATTGTATACCTAGCTGCAGTTAACTGTGCGCTGTCTGATGGAAGACGACTCAACACGGCTTCTGCGAGTAGTGGAAGCCGGGTTATACGTTGCATCGGCAACATTAGGAACGAGTGCATTGCAAGGGACTGACACTTCTAAAAATAAATGCCATTTTAGGGTATTTAAAATAGAATCTTGACATGTTATGATGTTTTATCTTATTTTTTATTGTTCTATATTTACCTGACTAGATTCTAATTCTTTTAAAGCTTCAACAAATTTAGGATTCTCCAACCTGTAAATAGTTTTGTCATTCATTGTACACTGTACAGGGTATCCAATTAAATACGAGAATTAAGTGACGACTTTTGAAAATAAGAAAAAAGTGCGCATAAAATATTATTGTAATGGACCATGTAAATTGTACAATGCCGAAGTGTTCCAAAATGTGTTTTATCGTCTTTGTATCTTGAAAGAAAGGTAGCAGACCACCTTTATGAAATCCCATAATTTGAGGAATACATGTAATGTTTTTTGTTCTGAGTATGTTCCCAACATTATGAGATTTGAAAATGAATGTCGGTTAAATCGAAGACGAGTTATAATTCCCATGTTTCTTGGGACACCCTGTTTATAAGGAAGATATATGTGAACACCAGACACTGCCAGGTTTCTGGAAATAATCTGTCTTTTATTCACATCTTTCCGCGTGCATTTTCGCATTAATAATTAATCTCCATTCACAGAAAACGAAATTACGCAAACATACATTTGCCATTTAAGGAATTCAACATTATGCTAAATCCTGGTATAAAGTTTGAAGAAATGAACAGGGGTTGATTAACCAGTTAAAATTAAAATTTGGTATAAATATGGAAGTGTTAAATTCTTAAAACTAGAATTTTAAGATGCTTTTATTAAAATTTGTTAATATTTATCCCTGTCGAGATGATTTTTGCATATTCTCACGCCTCTTGCATTGAACACTTCCTCTCCTACACACTTGCCATCAGGAATATGATTTAATGCAATAAATGAGTTAATATCAGGGTAATGGATTTATGTCAAACTGACAAAAACAGGAAGGGTGTGTTATGAAATAAAAAAAATATCAAAATTGAAAGGGATAATTGAAAAGTGTTTCTAATCACCCACTTCATCTATTGAGCTAGGATTGGAATTTTTAACATTTTGATTTTTGATTTTCATGACACACCCTAAAAGACATGGCATTCGACCTTTGTCCTTTATCTTGTTACTAGGGTGGCTTGAGAACTACTGATGAAACGAACCAAGGATCTTATGACCTACAGTATTTCATCCGAAAAACAACCCACTGGACTTTAAACAGGTTAGTAATCCGTTTTGATTAACTGACAGATTTATATCGCCCACCACTAGCGAATTATTTGATGTACGAATGAATTTTATTAGAGCAGGAAACCTTTCTGATATAACCTACAGGGTTATCCACAAAAAAAGAAGACTTAATAGAAGAACGAACGGAATCTGTAAATTTTCTAACATTTTTGATTTTCTGCAGCTGAACACATGAATTACTTCTATGCTGATTCCTTCAATATTTCATTTATAAACTATTAAAAGCAGATTTTACCAATTTCACTCGCTCAGATTATTAATATTTAACAATTTTTAAGGTCGTCATTAATTTCTCATTCTTTGTGGGTAACCCTGTAGATTAGTTTACTTTTAGCCTTACCTCAGTTTTTTAAGCATTCGGTCCTGGTATATCTGGTTTGAACAGTACTTCACATAAACCTAGAACACAAATAATGTTAAATTGCATCACGAGATTAGTTTTGCGGACATTTTTTCAAAATCTTAAAAATGAAATTTTTCCCAAGATAGATTCCTAAGCCCTGGAAGTTCTATAGATAAAAGCATAACCCTTTCTTTTTTAAGTAAGTAATTAAAAAAAAATCTAGTTCAATTAGGAGAGTTTAGAACGGAACCTAAGACGCCAAAAGAACAAATGTAAGGGGAAAAAATCTTAAACTAACTTATTAGAAAAATAAAATAGCTTTATTATTTGACCTGGAAGTGTGTTTTAGCGTGGTATCTGACTATCTCTGGGATACCATGGAGTAGGACGGATTCCTGCCACGCTGACTCCAGGTCGGAAAGGAACCTCTCAGAGCAACTTCTCACCTATATTTAAAAATTTAGTATTTTGGTTTTATTGACTTTTTTAGTATTTAAATACGATACTTACCAATAGAGCTTCAGAGAAGAGTATTCTTTGTTCACGTTTAGTTATCACAGCTGTTTCACCTACAATTATTTTATTGGATTTTTGTTTTTAAATTCTTATACTTATGTTTAAAGAAATAATTATTTGTCTCAAACTCTAATTTTCTAATCCTCTTATCTTTATCTTTGCAATCTGTTATCTTGTAGACTTAGGCTTAGTAAAGTTATTAGAAATGAAGAAATCAGTTCCATACTCCTCAGCCGGTTTAAAATTTTTTGTTCAAAGTGGGACTGCAAGCTTTGTTGATAACAATGCTCGATTCACAACAGTACCCTTAAAAGCTTTGTTTGATCAAGTATGACTTAGATATTCATGTTTAAAACTATAAAACAAAATATAATCAAATGGTGGGTTCTCTACTAAAGTGAAAACATTACGGAAATGACAATATTTTCCACATTAAAGAGTAGATAAAGGTTTCAAGGGTACCATGGTGAATCGGACATTGCCAGCTTTGCATAGAGGGTCATTTAAATAACGCTTACAGTCCCTCTAATAGATTTTTTAGGTTGTGACTGTGAGACATCACTATACTGGACCTGAGAGGGTAGGAGACTGTACGAAGTGAGAGATGAGAATATTTAAGGATTTGAGGTAGGAGGCTTCAGACGATATAACTTCAAACAGGGATTCTTGAAGAATCTTCTCGGCTTCATTCATACTTCTAAACAAAGGTAAGATTTAAAAAAAAAGAATTTGGAATGTTAAACATTAACGTTTGTTTTCAAAAATTTTTGGTATGCAGTCAAGTAAGAAGTTTTGTTAGCAATAGTATTTTAAAGAGCTCGAATACCATTTTTTATTTTTTCCCTTTTCTTCTGAAAAAAAATCATTTTTATTTTTTTATATGTTATTTAACCTTAGTATTCCTGATTCTTTAACCTCCGATAGTTCTGCCCAAAGGGTTCTACGTCCTGAAAAAATAAGTCATACATTACTGTTGACTGATGGCATAGAAACATTAGACTTAAACGATCCACGGAAAAGTATCGTATTATATAATTTTCTGTTCTACACCTTTGTTTTATTTACCTGTACTATTGAGAATAATAGACATTGCAGAACTCCTTTTCTTCTTTACAGCCCATACATCTGGTACACCTGTACATTGTACAGTTAGTACACGGTATAAGAAGCTACAGTATACAAGACGTAAACTGTAAACCATTTTAACTTTTGACATTTCATTAGTACGTCCTAAGAACTAGGATGTAAACAATAAGAAAAGAGTTATTAGTTAAGAAACAACTAAGTGAAGAAATGAAATGCAATAAGGTCAAAATTGTGACGTGTGTATTTGGAACTATTTCTTATAAAACCAATAACACAGAAGAAAAACACGATTAAGTAAGGTATAATCTATAATCTACGGATCTTAAACTACTTAATAATTTTATCTTTTTTCCTGAATGTCTGTGTGTTTATTGATTATCATCATTTTATTGTTTGCATAAAAAATCCGCGAGTCGTATACTGATTTGGCCTACCTAATGTTCCTTGTACTGGTTCGTATTGATGTTGTACATCTGTACTGTGGTAGAACTGGTACAAGGGTTCAGTTTGGAACAAGGAGCTGGAATATGTTTCCTCAAGGGGTCCTACTTGGGGTTCAACACAATTTAAAAATATGTTTTATTTTTTGCATTTCTTTGCTGCTATTATTTCTCTAGTGGATACAAGAACTGAATCACATTATATTAAGACATTTTCAATTTAGAAAAAAATAAACATTCAACTCTTAAAATTTTTCCAATGCTGCTGTTGAAGTAATTTTTTCTCTCTCTTGAGTTCTGCATGAGTTTGATTGTTAATTATTTTCAATTTACGTGGATTATCATTAATTTTTCATATAAAAAATATGATATTTGTTTTTTGTGTTTTCCTGAGTTGGATTCTAATGAGTCTTCTCCATTACAAAATCCAGTATAAAACTCCTAAAAATTGATATTTTTTTTGAGATTATAGACCGAAGAGACCCTAGGCTTAAATTTCCGACTTACAATTGTACCTTTTAAATTTTTTACTGAGCAAAAATTATGGAGTTATCATAAAATTTTTTTTTCGATTTCGGTTCTCTAAAATTATTTGTGGATTAATATGTATTGATTAGAGAAAAGGAAAGATATGAGAAAAAATCTCTTTTCAGACAGAAAACTGATGATATTGTCCTCGATGTTAATTTGTTAAAGGTACGGTTGTGAATGGGCATGCGGATTCAAATTCTTAAAAATGTTTACCTTTAAAGAATCACAAAGAAGAAGACTGTCGGAGTTTTCTTCTCGAGATTCACTGCTTCTGAAATTTTAACTCAATCAGTTAAAAAATATACTAAGTGTAGGACAAGTAATGTTTTCCTTTAAAGGAAAAATAAATTGTTTAGAAAAAACAATGTTTTCTCTCTTTTCTCTCTGTAGGACAAATGACTTGTGTAGGACAAGAAATGTTTCTTCTCTGTAGGACAAACGAATTGTGTAGGACAAGTAATGTCTCCTCTCTGTAGGACAAATGCATTGTGTAGGAAAAATAATGTTTTCTTCTGCAGGACAAATGCATTGTGTAGGACAAACAATGTTTTCCTCTGTAGGACAAATGCATTGTGTAGGACAAACAATGTTTTACTCTGTAGGACAAATACATTATGTAGGACAAACAATATTTTCCTCTGTAGGACAAATGCATTGTTAGGACAAACAATGTTTTCCTCTCTATAGGACAAATGCATTGTGTAGGACAAACAATGTTTTCCTCTCTTTAGGACAAATGCATTGTGTATGACAAACAATGTTTTCCTCTGCAGGACAAATGCATTGTGTAGGACAAACAATGTTTTCTTCTGTAGGACAAATGAATTGTGTAGGAAATAACATGTTTCTCACTGTAGGACAAATGAATTGTGTAGGACAAGAAAAGTTTCCTTTCTGCAGGACAAATGCATTGTGTAGGATAAGTAATGTTTTCTTTTCTTTAGGACAACTTAATTGTATTGGAAAAGAAATGTTTTTCTCTTTGTAATTGTAGGACAAATAATGTTTTTCACTCTGGTTAAACAAATTAACTGTAAAAGACAAATAATGGTTTTCTCTCTGTGAGACAAATGAATTAGTAGGACAAGTAGAAGTTTCCTCTTTGTAGGACAATGAATTAGTAGGACAAGTAGAAGTTTTCTCTTTGTAGGACAATGAATTAGTAGGACAAGTAGAAGTTTTCTCTTTGTAAGACAATGTTCTTTTCTTTGTAGTACAATTGACTTGTGTAGGACAAAAATGTTTTCCTCTCTTTAGGAAAAATGCATTGTTTAGGAAAAACAATGTTTTCTCTCTTTTCTCTCTTTAGGACAAATGCATTGTGTAGGACAAGTAATGTTTTTCTCTGTGTAGTACAAATTCATCGTGTAGGAAAAACAATGTTTCCTCTCTGTAGGACAAATGCATTGTGTAGGACAAGCTGTAGGACAATTGCATTGTGTAGGAAAAATAATGTTTTCTTCTCTGTAGGACAAGTGAATTGTGTAGGACAAGAAATGTTTTTCTCTTTGTAATTGTAGGACAAATAATGTTTTTCTCTCGGTAAGACAAAAAAATTGTAAAGGACAAATAGAACAAATACAAAGTTAGACAATGCCAATAGGAGTCCTCTCTCTTCAGAAAAATAAGTGAAGTAAAATGATTGTTTTAATATGTAGGACAAATAATGCTTTCTTCTCTCATTAAAATAATGATCATAGAAAGGGGTGTTATGGTGAGAATTGTATTCTCTACTGAAGAAATAATTCTACGAACTCTATGAAAAATTTACCCTGAGCTACTGTTTGAATAAACACTATTAGAACTGGTCTGGTAGGTGAGTGAGGTAGTGAGGGATGAATTGGATGAGATGGATGAGTTGAAGGAGGGAGGGGCGGGCGGGGGAACCATAGGTCGCATGATAGAGTAACTCCGGGAGGTTTTCCGTCGACTGAAACATTAATTCTTATCGTACTGAGACCATTATTTACATAAATATATAAATAAATAAATGCTAGGTACAAATGATCTTAAATATAATTTGAATGTAGAGTTAGGAATAGCGCTTTAAAGGGAGTGTTCGCGAAAAATGAAAGTGGGTATAGACTTATACAATATAAACTATATACAAATGTGGCGAAAGATAATCGATGACTATAGGTTGTAATATCTGAATGATTTGTTTGAAATTAAATTGATTTTTTTTACGGTCTAAGTCGTATGTTGCAATTTTCTCAATTTGTATGGGCGCTACGTTCTTCGGTATTAGACGTCTTTAACAATTTTCTCCTTATAGACGCAACAGATAGAAGTAAGATTAGTAGCGATCAAAAGCGCTTTTTATCGCATTAAGTCTATACCCCCTTTCATTTTTCGTGAACACTCCCTTCAAATACTCTATCTTTGTTTACAAGAAAAGTGTACTGCAATTTGTGGAGGGATGTAAACAGGCTTAATTTTCTTTACAGAATTTGCAATAAGTTATGAAGGGGGGATACCTAGATAAATAAGATACATCTAAATGTTTTAAAAGAGCGGAGGAGACAATTTTTTATTTTGTTTATTTGTAAATTATCAATAGAATTTCACAAAGCTTAAAATGCTAAAATACTGACAAGGCTTTGCGACATCTTAACTCCTCTGGCTTTACTTTACCACCCATCATCCATAAATCACTGAGTGAAAAAAAGCTTGTCAAGAAATATGCAAGCTTATTAGGCTTTCAATTTAAATAGGAACGTAGGGGATGGGGGGGGGGTATACCTTGATGAATGTGCACCTTGGTCAGGTACTAGGTATCCTCCACTATCTATTGACATCTAAAAAACAAAATCAGAAGTTATAATATTTCATAATTTTTATTATAATTATAGTTATTATTTATCAATATATTTATGTTTACTAAGTTTCCACCGTTTCTGGAGAATAATATTAAACAATTAAAAGGGAGTGACCGGCTATGTAAGGTAGTTGAACTGAGTATGCAGTGTTGTGGAAAACTTCTTTCGGATTCATTTGAGACAAATTAAACTTTTTAAAGATCTGTAAATCCTGAGTTTAAGCGCAAATTCGACGATTAAAACTCCTACTGAAAACGTACTTATTCTGAAAACGTATCCACCCCCAAAGCAGGAGTTTTGAACGTCCAATTTGCGCTCAAACTCAGGATTTACAGATCTTTAAAAAGTTTAATATGTCTAAATGAATCCGAAAGAAGTTTTCCACAACACAGTATACTCAGTTCAACTACCTTACATAGCCGGTCACTCCCTTTAATAATGGTATATTTTTGCCAAAGCTACCAATGATGCGATTGTGGGATTGACTTTTCTTATCATAATCATCAAAACCCACCAAAATCAAGGAAAGTATTTCTTAATTGTCTATAAAATTTCTACAGTTATATTATCGCAATAGCTAAATTGAAAATTGTTTAGAATTAGATAGATTGATAGAAAAGAAGATAATTGGACCAACAGAGGGAATATTTTTTACCAATTTCACATACCGTAACCATTCTCAACCATCTGGTTAAACCAGTCCTAACCTAACTAGGATATTTAAACAGCAAATACAGACTTAACTATTCTAAGATTTTGAAGTAAACTTCAAGCAAGAGTTCATGGGTTTAATGAGAATCAATTAAAACTGAGAATTTTAGGCGAAACTTTAATGTTTATGAAAAAGGAATCTATATTACTACCTAGTCTACTGTATGTAGAGGATTCTATACCACTATCAACTGTAGATATATATATATATATACTAACCTGACCTGACTGTATGTAGAGGATTCAATATCACTATCGACTGTGTATATATATATATATATATACTAACCTGACTGTATGTAGAGGATTCTATACCACTATCTACTGTAGATATATATGTACTAACCTGACTGTATGTATGTATTCTATATGTATTCTGTATGTATTCTATATCACTATATTCAGTGGACTCTCCTCCCCTCCATCCTCCTCTATTGTCAGGGTTATATAGAACATCTTATCAGAATCAGGTCCCAGCTTTAGATAATCAATTAATCAATCCCTATATTATTTAATAGGTTTAATGAAATCAAATGAAATTAAAAAAGCTGTGATAATTCTAATTAAATATGTATCATCCCTGTAGATAAAAGTAGAAAATGGAAGATTCATAATGTTAATAAAATGAAAGCTTAATCAACAGGATAAAAAAAAATCAATTAAATCAATCGCTAAGAAAATGGAAATTTGCTAATTTAATGTAAACAGGGAAAGGTGATAAAACCAAACTGATAAGTGGAAATCAATTACACCAAACTGATGAGTGGAAAATCGATTAAACCAAACTGATGAATGGAAATCAATTTAACCAAACTGATGAGTGGGAAAATCAATTTAACCAAACTGATGAGGGGAAAATCGATTAAACCAAACTGATGAGTGGAAAGCAATTAAACCAGACTGATGAGTGGAAAATTAATTTAACCAAACTGATGAGTGGAAAGCAATTAAACCAGACTGATGAGTGGAAAATTAATTTAACCAAACTGATGAGTGGAAAGCAATTAAACCAAACTGATGAGTGGAATTTAACCAAACTGATGAGTGGAAAGCAATTAAACCAGACTGATGAGTGGAAAATTAATTTAACCAAACTGATGAGTGGAAAGCAATTAAACCAAACTGATGAGTGGAAAATCAATTAAACCAAGCTGATGAGTAGAAACCAATTAAACCAAACTGATGAGGGGAAAATCAATTAAACCAAACTGAACAGCTGAAAATTTAAATATTATTTATTTAAAAAGGAGAAAGATTAATTATTTTCCTTGTTGATTGCAGGCTTTCTTGTAGCTTTCCGTCGGTTTCCTAAAATTATTTTTATTATCAAAATGATAATCATTTTTAAAATGACATTGATGCATGATTCTATACCTCTTTTAAACATTGCACATCACTTTTAATCAAGTAAAAAAAAAAGAAAAAAAACTTCGAGTATAGAAAAAATTACTTAGATATTTGAGAACTAAATTCTTAATTTACTAACTGACCTGGTACAGTGGAATTGTCCACATTGTGTCCATTTTTCTTGTTCATTCTCAATAGACTTCTAATGGACAAGGGGTCAGATTATTGAATTTTAGGATTCCCAAAGAAATATATTTAATGAATTTACGGCGCTGTTTTCCTATTTAGATTTTTCCAAAAAATCATAAATGTCACAATGTCGCAAATGAACTTAAACAAAATTAACATGGCTTAAAATAGATATCCATAATTTCAGATACTATAATTAGGATATTTACAAAAAAAAACATATAAAAGTAAAATTATTAAAAATATTGTTCGGCCCCCTTTCCTTGTTATTTCCCCCGTGGTTAGATTGAGCTCATTCTTCATCTTTTTCATCTTCTTGTTCGCCGCCTCGGCAAGCTTCATCAGGTGCACCGAGTTGTTGGTCTTCGCCCCGGTGATCTGAACGGCCGGGGATGATGGAAGATTAGGATTTGATTTCTCAATATTTGAGTTGGAATCAAGGTTGAAATGGACAGATTTATCTGTCGAAGTAACCTAGGGGAATAAACATTTTAAAAGCATGACAAATCAATAAAATATTCTTAATGAAATGGCTTAATTTCAAATGCCTCTTCATTTACAAAGTTAATTCCCGATCCATAACCATTCCCTCATTCTCACCGCTTAACAATTTGCAGCTTACATTTTTATAACCCCCCCACCTGATTAGAAATGATAAAATTTGCAATCGAAAAAAATGGATATCTTTATGATATTTTTGACACAAAGGTTACTAGGGTGTTGTTGTGAATCGGCTTTGTCCTTCTTTAAATGGGGTTCACTTAATGGTATCGTTATCAGTCCCTTTAATTAATTAATTAATTAACATAATCTAATTATTAATTAATTATCATAATCTAATTATTAATTAATTAAGTTAAAACCTCAGGATCTCTGTCATTAATTCGAGGCCGTATAACCTCGTAAATAGATTCGTAGAGGTCGTCGTCTGAATACTCATTATCTAAAAAAATATTATGATTACTAAAAATTCAAGAGGAGGTGCCACGCCAAGGGGGGTGGGGGAACTTTATTTATATACATGAGTTGCATGTAACAGTTTATCAGATAAAACTTAATTGCTAATTTCTCTTTATATCATTAGTTATAATACAGGGATAGATAGATACCTAGATAAATAAAAATAGATAGATAGATAGATAGATAGATGGATAGATATATGGATAGATAGATGAATGATTAGATATTAGATATTAGATGTTAAGTCTTTAAATTAGACAGAAATGTATAAAAGAAAAAGGTATGTATAGAGAAATAGATCTATAGAGAAAGAGATATATAGGGAAAGATATATAAAGAGAAAGAGATATATAGAGAAAGAGAAAGTTGAAAGTTAAATGATTAAAAGATCAAGATACAAGATAGATTTGATTGAGACATACGGTGGTAAGCGATTATATCACTACAATGAAGACGACTTTTTTATTTAAATTTTGATTGTTAACAAGCTTTTTTCGAATTACAAGTTTACAAATAATCAAAGAGAAGCTTTTTTAATTGATAAATTCTCTTAACTTTCATGTTTTTGTGTATTAATGCTGTTTAACAGCTTAATTTAAATAAAAAATGAATTCGAAAGTCGTCTTCATTGTATTGATATAATCGCTTATCACTGTAAAAAAGAAAAAAGATAGACAGAAAATTTTTTAGAAACAGTTAATTTTCTATTAGTTACTTTGTCAGAAATGTTTTGTAAAATTTTGGCGTTCGTAACGGTTTTATTTAATTTTGTTTCGATATATATATTAAGTGAATTTTAGTTCAACAAAAGTTGGGTTGCAAAGTTGAAAGTATGAAAAAACAACAGGAAAAGCAGACAAAAATATTTTAGAATATTTTCTTAAGAATTAAATTTGATGCATTTTGCGAGTGCAAATTTAAGAAGCATCTGCGAAAACAATTAAGGGTGTGCTGATTAAAAAATTCCAATGTGCTTGGTTTTGTTTCTAATTACAATCAATTCTGTCAACAGGTTTTAGTTTTTAAATGTTCAGTTAGAATCTTGAGAATTACTTTTTAATAAAAATTAGAAAGATTTTTGTGCAGTTTTTTTTACTTTTGTTTAACATTAATAACCATGTGATGTGGTTTTTACAAAAAAGTGAAAAAAGTTTGGGTAAAATTGGCTATTGAATTGAACAACTTGGAGTTCAAATACAAAACATATATTTACTATTCGAACTAAGGGTAGATTTGTCCCAAATGACTAGTTTTTATTTTGTATGGAATATATTTTGCAGTTATAAATTTTACATATCCTTTATTCTTGGTTTAAAGAATCTATTGTACCATGATGTGTGTAATAGATAAATAAAGCTTATAACATTTTATCAATTTAATACTTGTTTGAAATGCCAGTTTGTCGAAAATTGACGAAACTCGAAAATGGTCGAAAATTTCAATTGCATAAATGTCAGCTTTTAATGTGTTGAATTTTATCAATTTTATACTTGTTTGAGATGCCAGTTTGTCGAAAATGGTCGAAAATTCCAATTACATAAATGTCCAGGGTTACCCAAAAGGATGAGACTGCAAAGACGACTGGAGACTGTCAAAATATTAATTTCAAACGTTAATCTTCTGCTTTTCTTCAAATGGTTTCTGTAAGGATTTGGCACAGAAAGAACCAGTTTACAGTTGCAAGGAATCATAAATTTAAGGAAACAGACAGTCTCATACTTTGAAGGTAACCCTGTATATTATATACATATATATATATATAACAGGGAGAATAATTTGAAGAATATATTTACCCTTGTGGTTTACAGGTCGTGAAAGGTCTCTTACAGCTCTAGAATAATGAATTGATGAGTTGGGTTTTATTTAATGTTTTGTCATTTATAGTACTCAGGCAGACCAGTTCAATCTGTGCACTGTTCCGACAGTTTAATGGTGTTATCAGGGGGTTGTTTGATTACAAGGAAGCTTGTTTGTTTGTTATTTTTGGTTTTCGTTTGAACTGTATCTCGTAAGTTGTATGATTTGTTATTTTTTATGATACTTGTTTCATTTTCTTGTTTTAAAGCTTTTTAAAGTTTGCTTCCCCACTTTTAGATTCAGAAATTTACATCTATGTATTTGTATGGTTTGTCTGTTTGAATTCAATCAAAGTCCGAACGGCTAAACCGAACAGACCCAAGATATCTCATATGACCCCAGATATGGCTGAAACCGACGGTGCATGATCCGAACCAGTATAAGAACTGTTTTCACTCGTACCAGCCTGTCTAATGAACCCAGTATGTGGTTGCATGATCCGAACCAGTGCAAGAACTGTTTTCACTTGTACCAGCCTGTCTAATGAACCCAGTATGTGGTTGCATGATCCGAACCAGTATAAGAACTGTTTTCACTCGTACCAGCCTGTCTAATTAACCCAGTATGTGGTTGACCCGGCGCTGAACCTATGTGTGCCGTGTGGCCGCCTAGCCAGTCAAAATTAAACAATTTTGCCAAGAATAAAATGTCGATTTTGAAGACTTCTGTAAATCCGTCATCGTAAAAATTCAATTTATTTGCCTCTTATCAAAGAAAAAAAGCGACTTGAAATAATACACCATTTAAAGGGTAAAAGTTCTTTTTATTGATATTCCCTGTATTAATAAATGAATAATTTTATTTACCTATTCCACTCTTGAGCCACCTCTGCTGCACCTCCTCCACTCCCCCTTCTTTTACTTGCTCGTATGCTCGCCCTAGACATTATTATTATTATTATTATCATTATTATTACTATTATTATTATCATTACCCCCCTCTCCTTCGTCTCCGAGTTTTCCCAGAACATATTAAATCTTCGCATATAATTGCTCCGTTGTCCGAGGAGAATTGACAGCTAGTAACTATACTGGGAAAACTGTTGCATTTATAAAACAATGAAACATTAATGATTGACAATCATATATTTTAATATCATTACATGAGAGAATTTGCCGGAAAAATTGAACCGGATATGTCACTTCAATAATTGGATACCGGTCATAAAGTAAACCAGATAAGTGAGAAAATAAAAATAAAAACGTAAAATATGAGAAGAGGATAGTAATTTCAACGCCGCGTGACTTTTGGTTTAAAAGAACCAGAAAAGATTCACAAGAGTACCATGTAAACCTCTTTATGAGATTGAGAGACATTTTTTTAATTTCTTGTAAAACAAAGATTTATAGGTAATGTTGGGTTTCAAACATCCAAAGTTTTTAGGATTTCAAAAGGGTTAGGAAAAGTTACAATTTAAGTTCTAACAATCTTAAATCTTACAGAAAATTTTGTTTGAATTTTTTAATCGCTTCTAGATATCCAAATCCCTTTAATCGCCTCTAGATATCCAAATACCTTTAATCGCCTCTAGACAACCAAATCCCTTTAATCGCCTCTAGATATCCAAATCCCTTTAATCGCCTCTAGATATCCAAAACCCTTTAATCGCCTCTAGATATCCAAATCCCTTTAATCGCCTCTAGATATCCAAATCCTTTAATGCTTAAATTAAGAGTCCTGAGTATTATTGTTATTTTTAACTTGACAGTGCAAAATAAATAAAAACTACGATATTAGGATTTTAACTTTTTTAAAAGAAGCTCCCCCCCCCCCCTGCTATTGTTGAAAGGTTTGTGAAGAGAAATCGGACTTATTAATATCTGTCACTGTATCTCCAGCTGGGGCCGCAACTTGTGGTTTCAAAAGAAAGAAGTAACAGGGGGAATATATCTACCCCCCTCCCTTCCCACATTCCACATTGCGGCTCAAAACAGGGGGGAATATATCTACCCCCCCCTTCCCACATTCCATATTGCGGCTCAAAACAAAAGGATGTTGAGTATAGACAATTATTTCGCAATTCTTTCCAATTTTGATATTTTTGCGAAGTCACGTAAATTTTGCACAAGTTGTTAAGTTTTTGCATGCTTCCGTATTTTAATTAACCCTATCTCTGTAGGGAACTTCAACCCCCCCCCCCTCAACAAACAATAAAATTCAAAATAAAAATGTTCCAATGTTAACGATTATAAACATGTACCTCAAAACAATCAATTTCATAATTTCATGTTAACTTAATTTTCATAACAAAAATTTGGCAAGTATTTTGAAAATTAGAGAAATATTTAAATTTTCAGAATTTTCAAAAGTCGTGATGTGGAAATGTTTCAATCAGTAAACAGGGTTAAAAGAAAATGTATGAAGTTATAACTAGTAATATTAAAAAGGAAGTAATCAAATATTGTAGTTTAAAAACTAAGTTTTATTGAACTGCAGGTTTGGATTTAACAAGGAATAAATCTAAAATCTTGCTTAGCAAACAAATTACTGGGAAGTGTGAAGTTTAGAACAAAGATTAAAAAAATGGGCCTGGATGCATCATTTTCAAATCTGAACATTTTAAACACATTAAAATGAAGAAAAAAAATACTCCTTTAATTGTTGAACTTAATACAAATGTGCAGAGTTTATAATGGACTAAGGGAGGAGGAATTTGCGCCTAATATGCCCTTTACTGATTAATTAAACCTTAAATTTTTAACAAATTATTTGATAATCTGTTGAAAAAATTATAAAAAAAGAAAATTTTAATCTAAAAAGTTAGTATCCCCCCCTCTGTTCTAGCATTCCTTTGAATATAATTATAATGTTGTTTTATATTGGGAACCATTTTTAAAAAATAAGAAAACATTTTCGATTTTAATTTCTCATGAATTAATGTAAGTTTGCATAATTCCAACATCAAAGATTTTTTCAATCGTTCTGCTGACAGACAAATTTATTCTTATACTCTCTTGTTTAATTGCATCATTTTAGTAATATTTATCTTAGACATTGTAGGTGTTTATTCAATTTAAATAAATTCTTTAATTTTATTAATTTAAATCCAATATCTTTATAGAAAAAGTTACAAAATTCAAAATTTGTCATAAAAATCTATAAGATATAAAAACGCCGATTTTTTTTCAGTTTTCAAATACCATCTTTCAAACACAATACACATGTTTTGGAAACACTATTCTAAAGAGAACGGATCAAGCTGTTTTACTCTGACCAAAAAAGGTCTGTAAAATTGTTAAAGATTTAAAGGCTAAAAATCGGCAGGGTATTATTTCCTCAACTTGTAACTAGAGCGACTGGCTGATTTCTCGAAAAAAGGAAAAAATCGCAAATCTTTAGTGAATATCGCTTATAAAAATATAAAGAAGATTCTAAAAACTTTAATTAGCTGTGTTGTGGGAAGGATTGAAGTATTTCTCTGAATTAATGAAACAGACACATAATTAGTAATCTTGGCTTCTATTTCCTGTAATGCACACATTGTGCATTCATCTGTCTGTATATCTAGTGATTCTGTTTGTTTGAAGTTGTATCTGTCTCTCAAGTAGATCTGTTTGTCTGTCTAGTAGATCTGTTTGTACGTCTGTATTGTACATATGTTTTTCTGTCCAGTACACCTGTTTTCTTTTGTCATAGCATCTGTCTGTATAGTTCATCTGCATGTCTGTCATTGCATCTGTCTGTAAAGTACATCTGTTTGTCTTTCATTTCATCTGTCTGTCTAATGCATCTGTTTATTTTTCATTGTATCTGTCTATCTAGTACATATGTTTGTCTGTCTAGTACGTCTACATCTATTTTTCTGTCATAGCATCTGTCTGTCTGGAACATCTGTTTGTCTGTCATTTCAACTTTCTGGCTGTCTAATGCTTTTGTCTTTCTGTCAATTGATTGTGAGTCCGTATGTCTAAGGGTAAATAAGTCTGTCTTAGTGTCCATACATTTGCCTTTTTTTTTAAAGTAAATTGGTTTGTCTGTCTATTTATTGCTATAATCTATTTGTCTCTCTATCTAATGGATCTGTCTATCAGTTAGTTTGTCTATGCATAATAAGTTTGTCTGTTTGTTTACCTCCTGTCTGTTTGTCTGTTTGTTAACCTCCTGTCAAGTTATTTTTTCATATCTTAATTTGTGTCACATATTAAATTATTTGTTAATAAGGTAAAATGTAATAATTTCAAACTATAATTGGACTATGTTCTAACTACAATAAATTTACTGATAAAATTAAATTTTTTAAAAATCCATCAGAAATGGTTACAATTTCTTTTTTTGGCTGTTCTTATTTTTTTCAAATTTTTAATTAGTTCTTGATAATATCCGAGTAAATTAGCTTTAGCCTGTATTATCCAATATTTCAGTTTCAATTTATTAAATAATTGCGGATGTACGGTAAGTTTGGATTTTCGAATCTTTGAGAATTGGAAATTGGACTTGTTTCCTTTCTTCTTGATAATTTTGTTTCTTTTTATCATCAGCCAAATTTTGCGATTCAAACTCGCATAATTTGGAAGTCTTTTAAAAAAATATAAAACCCATAAATAAGGATAGATTTAATTTTATTTATTTATCTATAAAAGTTTTTTTTTAAACTTATTTACCTGACAAAACTGAGCTGGGGTCTGCTAAACCGTCTTGTATCGTAATCATCATCTACTCAATTATTCATTCATTTATTCATCCCTCTACCTATGCCATATTCACAACTGTACCCTTTCAACCTATATCTGATCACGTGGAAGATATTGTAGGTTTTATAACTAACGTATTTTATTAACAATTTATCCAAAGTTTCTCTTGCGCAAAGGAATTGAGTTTTTGCCACAAACTCTGATTTTCTAAATTCAATATCGTTGCAACCCAATGTCGTAGACCTTTAATATTTCAAACTATGAATGCTATTAGATCAAGTAATGTAAGTTTGAAATATTTAAGGTTTACATCATAAGGTTGCAGAAATACAGGTTTTACAAAAACTGAATTTGTGGCAAAGAATCAATTCCTTTGCAGGTAACTTTTAAAAGTACGTTTGAAAAAATGTTTTTAAAGTTAAAAACGTGGATATCTTGATCATACAATGCATTTAAGGGTACCATTGTGAATAGGACATGTCACTCTTTCATGTGGACATCTATAGTCCTTTTAATTGGTTAATCTCCAGATTAATTAAGTCGTTTAATGAATCATTAATTCAGAATCTGGAACTTCTGGACACGTTGTTATCGCTTAAAGGGATTCTCAACCTTTATAAAAGATCTCTTTTTTTTAAGGTTTCCATGAACGATTTACAACTGTTATATAACGATTAATAGCTATTTTTTCCTACACAATATAGCGATTGTAGATATTTGTCCTATTCGATATTGATAAAACGATTTCCAAATCCGATCGTCTTTTGAAATACGTTCAAATCATAAAAACGCCAGTCTTCATTGAAGAACATTATAAATAATGTTAACGCTCCCTTTAATAGTGTTTGTTTGAATGCAAATCAAAACGTGAAGCTATTTTATTGGTCTGTGTACGTCTGTTTGTTTGTTTTGAAGTGTTTTGAAGGAATAAGAAAAGAAAAGAATTAAAGAATGAAGACTCATTGAGTTAAATGTACTCATAGCCTGGAACAATATAGATTTATATTTACGGTTAAACTGCTTCATTCAGACATAGGAGACAGTTATTCATAATAGTAACTATATGTATGTTTTGTTTGCCTAGACAGTTATTCATAATAGTAACTATATGTATGTTTTGTTTGCCTGTCTTGTAAGTATTCAAAAAACAACAACTCGGCTAAACGGCCCAATTTTTTGTGGCAACTCACATAACCCAACGCAAGAGGTTTATGACCAGTAAAAATTAAACATTTAGAAATCGAAATATGCAATGTATACAGGAAAATAATCTTTTAAAGAAAAATTACTATTTTGTACACTTTTTACTTACTTCCTTCCTTTATAATTTATGAACTGTAGAAACCGCAAATTCCTCTCCTGCGCACAGTGCAAAAAATTAGCAAAATTACCGCAATTGTATTGTATACATTACTCAGTACATATCAGAATGGAAGTAAACAAAAGGTATAATTTATCAATATTTACCTTGCTTCAAAGAAATTGTTGAAAAATATTTATTATGCATATCAGAATTGCATGAAAATGTTTAAACCATAACAGAAAAAGAAATATTATTGAGTGACTTGAACGCGCGAATAATAAGAAAAGTTTGATCCTCGACAGATGAATGATATTTAGAAGGTAAAAGCAGAATGAAATAGCAAGGTATATAGATAAATGATTGATGGATACTGGAGTATAGAAGGGTAGATAGATAGATAGATAATAGATAATTCTCACAGTAGATGATGTATTGGCTGATGTTAAATTCAACTGTGAACAGATCAACAATTCCATTCACACATAGATAGGTAGATAGATAGATAGATATATAGATAGATAGATAGATAGGTAGATAGATAGCTGGGTAAGTAAGTAGGTACTAGGTGGTTAAGAAGAAGGGTAGGTAGATAGATAGATAAATATAGGTAGATGGGTAGGTCAGTATAGTACTAGGTGATTAAGAAGAAAGGTAGATAGATAGATAGATAGAAAGATAAATATAGGTAGCTGAGTAGGTAAGTAGGTTCTAGGTGAATAAGAAGAAGGGTAGATAGATAGATAGATTAATATAGGTAGCTGGGTAGGTAAGTAGGTACTAGGTGATTAAGAAGAAGGGTAGTTAGATAGATAGATAAATATAGATAGCTGGGTAGGTAAGTAGGTACTAGGTAATTAAGAAGAAAGGTAGATAGGTTGGTAGATAGATAAATAAATTTAGGTAGCTGGGTAGGTAAGTAGGTAATAGGTGATTAAGAAGAAGGGTAGGAAGATAGATAGATAAATATAGGTAGCTGGGTAGGTAAGTAGGTACTAGGTGATAAAGAAGAAGGGTATGTAGATAGATAGATAAATATAGATAGCTGGGTAGGTAAGTAGGTACTAGGTGATAAAGAAGAAGGGTTGGTAGATAGGTAGATAGGTAGATAGATAGATAGATAAATATAGATAGCTGGGTAGGGAAGTAGGTACTAGGTGATCAAGAAGAAGATAAAAGGATAGGTGAATACATGAATGAATGAATGAAAGGATGATAGTCCCTGTATATATATAATGGATGGAGCAAACGGGTTTTGGAATAGGTGGGTGAATGAATGAATGAATGAATGAATGAATGTCCCTGTATCTATATCTATCCACTCGTCAGATCTATCAGAAACTTGACTTCCTCTTTCCAGTATAGAACTTCGTGCTGATCCTGATAATATAATAATATGATGATAATAATAATAATAATAATAATGATAATATTAATAAAAGAAGAAGAAGAAGAAGAAGAATTGCACACATATAATGACCAAATTTGATCTCTTACTCCCCAAGAAAGTTAGATGACGCGTGACTTGATATATAAATTACACTGATGATTTGGACAATCTCATTCTAACACTTTTTTTATTATCATTTAATCGTGGGATGAAATCCAAATAGACATAAAGATAGATAAATAGATGGATAGATGGATAGATGTATAGATGGATAGATAGATATCTTACCGTTTCCAAATCCACACTTTTCTCCTCGACTGCTTGCTGTCATACTGCAATGAGATAAAGTTTATAGACAACCTTGCACTCCAATACAGATTATAAAACTAGATGCACGAAATGACCTCATGATAGCTCTTCTGAGAATTATATCAGAAAATCATGGTTCGTAATAAAAGTTTGCTTTAAAAGATCAAACAGCATTTGGATTCAATTGTGAATATTCTAATATTGCACCGTTGGTTTACAAATGTTGTGAATTATTTCCATTCAGGTCATTTCGGAAAATATAGATCTCCATGCATAGCATCAGTAAGGCTGAAAAGGAACGGATTATTTGACTCAAACTCTAATTTTCTGTTCCCGATATCTTTGCAACTTTATGGTGTAAGCCTTTGATATTTTAGAATGTTCAATGAATCAGAATTAACTAAACGTTTGAAATATCATTTGTGTAAATAGGTAGTTAAATCCAAGGGACAAGTTCCTTTGTCTATTAAGCATTAAATAAATACCATTTCAAAAATTAAATATATTTAATGAAGTTTTAAAAGTGTTCATTTAAAGATCCTCAGTTAACCAATGGTTAACCAATATTGGCCAGTTATATGGATATTGGCAGTTTATAATATATTGGTTAGAAGGGAAACCTGGCATTTTCTCGTAGATTTTAGCCCGCAGACCCATACCAAACCAAACTCTCCATTTGGAAATGTTTTGCGGCATTTGGTGATTTAGCGATAATCTGTCAATTTTATTACTTTAACTTAATGAGAGGTCTGATCTTTTGTGTTGAGGACGCTTGATTTTGTAATCCAATTTGGACCCTTTTAACTTTTACCATTAAAAGTCTAAAGAAAAAAAAAACAAAAAAACTAAAATAAAGTTTTTGGCAAAAGGAGCCAATATTATTTCAATTTAACGACTTGAAACAGAAAGCTGGAATTCCAACTGAATATTCTTAAAACGCAGAAACTGTTATAATTATTTACAACTACTTTACAGGAAAGGGAATTTTACTTTATCAAGGGTTCCTAAGACCAAATTTACCTACAAACATTCAGAGCGCAGCAAGGGATGTTTTGCAGGCAAAACTGGTCGAAGGAACCCGTGGTTAAGTAAAATTGTTAATTTTCTCGAAAAAGTGGTTGTACACAATTTTATCGTCTTTTGAGATGAAAATGCGCAAATTTTTGAACAAAAACTTCGCAGAGCGGTTCGTTACTTTACTCAATTGTCCAAAGGGAGGTAAAGTAACTTAACCTCCCTCTGTTGGGGGGTATCATAGGTCGGTAATGTTGGTGAAAAGGTAGTAAAAACTAAAAACTATACCTATAGTCAGAGTATACGTCACTTCCTTCCTCTGCGTATCTTAAAATAAAATTAATCTTCAGGACCATTTGATTTTTTTAGATGTCTAATCATGATTTGAAAAATTATGATTGTGATATCGTGAATTAAAATGCCTCGCAACATTAATAGAAGAAATATTCGGTTGCCTTCCACAATCCAACAATCCAAATAGAAAGAAATTGGTTCTTTGCCACAAACCCAAATTTTCTCATCCCTATATGTATGCAACCTGAAGGTGTAAACCTTTGATATTTTAAACTTAGATTATTTTATCTAACATAATTCATAGTTTGAAATATCAAAGGTCTACGATATTTGGTTTCTAAGATAAAAGGATTAGAAAATCAGAGTTTGTGACAAAGACTCAATTCTTTTATCGATTTTTAAAATATTTTTATTTCTTTTTTAAAAGCAGCTAATACTGTTTGAAGCCTTAAATATATGTATGGTTCTACATAGAAACACACAACCATAACTTGAATTTAGAAAAAGTATTTTTTTGTTTTAAAAAAAAGGTTTACCTTGAATTGGGTGGGGAAGAAATTTCATGTCCTTGATGTGAGATTGGTTCATATTCTTCTTCACATAAACTAGACAAATCAAAATTGAAGAATAATTGAAATAAACTTTTTCAAAAAGTTGTTGGTTTCATTAAATAAATATTTGATATCCAACAATTTGAAGTGATGCTACAAGAGCAGAACTGTAAAGCGTGTAAGCGTGTAAAGACAAACCTGTAAAGGGATATATACATATTAACTCTTAAGGATGGTCCCTGTAAAGGGATATATACATATTAACTCTTAAGGATGGTCCCTGTAAAGGGATATATACATATTAACTCTTAAGGATGGTCCCTGTAAAGGGACATATACATATTAACTCTTAAGGATAATCACTGTAAAGGGATTTACAGAGTGTGTAAAAAAAAACAGGGATTATCGATGTTTTTGACATCATTTTCAAAATTATTATTTTGTACTGATTTAAGGCATAAAATAAATAAATAAAATTCAAAACTATTTTTGGAACATTAAAAAAAAAAATACGCGAAACCAATATTTTTTTGAAAAAATTAAACTTTTAAAAAAATTGTGGGGAAAATTTTTATTCTATTGTTTTCCAAAATATCATAAAATTTCATCAAAAATTGAATGAGACATAGCAAAAAATGTAAACCAATCATATGCATTTTTGAAGTCATATAGCGTAAAGAATGGAATAGTATACTGTGTGAAGGGAACATGTAACTCTAAAGGATGGAACAGATATAGTGTAAAGGGAACATGTAACTCTAAAGAATAGAACATTACAGTGTAAAGGGAAACCTGTAAGCTATGAAGGATTGAAGGATGAATTGTTGAATATATTAAACTACAGCTGTTTAGTTATTGATGGCTCAATTCATTTACATTTTGCAAACCAGTGACAGGTTAGGATAGATCAGCTTGTCATCTGGGAGGGGAGGGGATGTGGGGGGGGGTAAAGGGATTGTTTAGTAATCAGGGAAATTGGAAAATTGGTTTGTAGACTTTGTCTTCGTTGTTTCGAAGTATATCGGATAGATAAGAATAAGATCGATGTAAATATGCTAAATGTAGATATTCATTCAGCATTCTTACAACCGTGCAACATGGACGTACTTTAAACCTTATTCTCAAAAAATAATCTATATAATGGATACAGCTGATTTCCATATTTATAATGGATCCAGCTGATGTCCATCTATATAATGTATACAGCAGATTTCCATCTATATAATGGATACAGCTGATTTCCATCTATATAATGGATACAGCTGATTTCCATCTATATAATGGATAGAGCTGATTTCCATCTATATACTGGATACAGCTGATTTTCATCTATAAAATGGATACAACTGATTTCCATCTATATTATGGATAGCTGAATTCCATCTTTATAATTGATACAGCTAAATTCCATCTTTATAATGGATATAGCAGATTTCCATCTATATAATGGATATAGCTGATTTCCATCTATATAATGGATAAAGCTGATTTCCATCTACATAATGGAAACAGCCGATTTCCATCTATATAATGTATACAGCTTATTTCATTCTATATAATGGATACAGCTGATTTCTATCTATATAACGGATACAGCTGATTTCTATCTATATAATGGATACAGCTTATTTCTATCTATATAATGGATATAGCTGATTTCCATCTATATAATGGATATAGCTGATTTCTATCAATATAATGGATACAGCAGATTTCCATCTATATAATGGATACAGCTAATTTCATTCTATATAATGGATACAGCTGATTTCTATCTATCTAATGGATATAGCTGATTTCCATCTATAAAATGGATATAGCGATTTCTATCTATATAACGGATACAGCTGATTTCCATCTATATAATGGATATAGCTGATTTCTATCTATATAATGGATACAGTTGATTTCCATCACATCACATCGCAGTTTGCAAACATGTTTATTTTTTAATTTAGGTAAATAAACTGTCGTCTAAAGCTAAGGTTTGCTTGTGTATGAAATAAACGCACGGAAGCCATTGAGACTTTTTCTTAAATTTTTCAACTTCATACATATTAACTTCATAAAGACAAATAATAATGATTTAGGACAGTCAACGATTAAACATTTGTAAAATGTGCAAAACAGAAAATACCTTTTTTTCAAAACTGTACTAGTCTTTGTCTCATCTATATATAAATTTGGCTTGTCTGTCTGTTTGTCTGTTTGTCTGTCTGTTTGTATTCAATAAACGTCAAAACGGCTGAACCGATCGGGCCCAAATTTTTGTGGGAACAGGGAAGGTTTATGAATGATATAAATAAAAAATAAATGTATTTTAAAGGTTTTTAATTTTGTTAAAAAATTTAAATTCTTGAAAATCCGCGAATTGTTTTTGAAATCCGCAAAATTTTTTTCTTTTTTGTTTTAAAATGTAAACAAAAAGAACATGTTCACAATTTAAATAGAAGATGGGGGCGAAGCGCCCTAAAAGCCTAGAAAGAAGGGCGAGAAGCGCCTTGAATTTCTAGTATTGTATATTTGTACAAAAAAAGATATGCAAGAAATTCGCCAAGCCATGAATAAATACAAAAAGAAAAACGAAGCTATCGATTCTGAACGTTCACTATGTAGCCGTAGAGTCGTTGATAATGAAGAAAACAATCCCTGTATTTCAGAAACTACAGGGTGTCCAACGAAACATGACAGTTGGTGAATAGTTCTTCTATAATTTGTTAAGTTCTTTCATACCAAAGAGAATAATAAAAAATATTACATGGCAGTCATAGTAAAATTGATTTCAATGCAATATATATTTTTAAGTAAAAGATTTTTTAAACGAAATAAACTGCAAAAAGTCTTTAATAACTAATACAGTATGTAAAGAAGACATTCAAAACTTCTCACCAACTGTCATGTTATGTGGGACACCCTTCAGATGAGAATCTTATTTACCTTGTAGAATCGAGATCTTCAAGTATAAGAGCAGGAACTGCTTTAACCAACTCAGAATAGTTGTTAATCGCCTCACTAATCATTTAGTTTAGTTTTCATCTTAAGCTTTGTTTTTAAATTTTTTAACAGTGCTTGTGACCATTTTCAAGATTTGATGCTTGAACCTTATCAACCTGCCAGTATCTTAAACTTAGGTTCTTTTTTATCCTATACGTTTTCATTTTTATCATTTTTTGCTCAAACTAAAGTTCAATTATTCAGTTTCATATTCATGTTCATGTCCAAATATTCAGTTTCATATTCATGTTTATGTCCAAAAATTCAGTTTCATATTCATGTTATGTCCAAAGGAATTGAGTTTTTGCCACTAACTTAAATCTTCTGATCCCAATATCTGTGCAATCTGATGGTGCAAACCTTTGATATTTCAAACTTGGATTATTTTATCTATAAGTATTAATAGTTTGAAATATCTAAAGTCTACGACATTGGGTTACAAAGATATAGAGATTAGAAAATCAGAGTTTGTGGCAAAAACTCAATTCCTTTGTCGATATTAATTATTTGATGTTTGTTTGCATTCGTGTTTATGGCCATTTGCATATGAAGAAAGATTTCTAATGCACTGTACATTTTCATGTTCGTGCTCTGTCTAATGTTTATGTCTATGTACAAACATATTTCCCAAAATATGTCTAAATTTTATGTCTATGTACATGCATATCTCCAAAAATATGTCTAACGTTTATGTCTATGTACATACATAAATCCAAAAATATGTTTAATGTTCATGTCTATGTATACATACGTATATCCAATAATATGTCTAATGTTTATGTCTATGTACATACATATATCCAAAAATATGTCAAATGTTTATGTCTATGTACATACATATGTCCAAAATTATGTCTAATGTTTATGTCTATGTACATACGTATATCCAAAAATATGTTTAAGGTTCATGAATTACAGAAACTAATGTTTATCTAATTGTGCGTGAAGTTGTGTGCATGAGAGTATGAATGAAGAATATGAACATGTAAAAATAAATCGGTTGATTAGGCCCACAACAACAACACTAGGCCACGATGTGTTGTTAAACCATAGAACATTCAGAAATAGAGCAGTCGCGTACCGCAAAGTTTACATTCCTCCCACAGAAAATTAAAAATACTGGATTGGACCATCTGTCTCCTCCTACCATTTGCAGTACACTGTACAATTTTATGATTACAAATCTTTGTCGATATTTTTCAAGATTTTGTGATTTTTCCCAAGTTGAATATTTGAGGACGGCGCACAATGGGGTATCAGGGCCCACTATAGTTTCAGTAGAAGTAAACATTTCCATTTAGAGATAGCGCCGATTGAAGGATTCATAACTCTAATTGGATAATGAGATAGATAGAAAGATAGATGTTACCGCCATACTATTTCTATTGGTTCAGAGTAGACATCAAACACATTACTGAACCCTGATTGGATCAGGCGCTAATGGAATCGGCATACAGGTGTGAGGGGGTCCGGAATATTGAGTTTACACCATACAGCTCTTATTATAATCAAGGAAAGCTCGGTAGTTTGAGTATATTTTTTGAGAGAAGTCTTTGAGTCATAGTAATGTTGTGTTGAAATTTTGAAATCCAACGGAAAACTAGTAACTTCCGTGAAAACTCTGGCGGGCTGTCAGCGCCACCACATCTTTTAATAGAAGTTGTTAGAATATATTTATCCCAACTTCTTTTAACGATGGTTGTTAGAATCTATTTATATATCTGGATTATACTAAATTTAAATTAATTATGACCCCCTAAAATACCCCACCGTGCGGCGCCTGTCTATTTATCTACGTTCTTTGGCACAATACTAATTGACTAAATAGTTTTTATTCTAGTTTCTAAACTGTTTTGAGAGAGTTTACAGAGCGTGAGCGGTATTTATTTACCAGCACGCGATCTCAGGTTTAGAATATATACTACAGCAGGGGCGCTTAATTTAGTCTTTTAAAACTGTTTTTAGGGTTTAAAATAGGTTTCTCAAAAATAAAATAAAATAAAAGGTTTGGTCTTTTATTCAAAGCAAAATGTTTGCTCTGACAGACGAAATAGATCAGAACAATTATTTGCTATTTTTTTGCTTTTTGTCTTGTATTCTTTGAATAAGTAAAATAAAGCTAAGGACAGACGAAATAGATCAGAACAATTGTTTGCTATTTTTTTGCTTTTTGTCTTGTATTCTTTGAATAGGTAAAATAAAGCTAAGGAACGAAGTTTTCATCACAAACACAATTTTTCTAATTCCTATATTTTTGTAAACCTTTCATATTTTAAACTTAAAATTATAGTTCGTGATAAAAACTCATTTTGTAGTCCTTTTATAAGCCAAACAATATAAATATATATATATATCAGGGTTTCCACTAAAATGTAAAAATATGATTAAGATAAATTTCTTTTCAGTTTCTTTAAGGCTTTTATGATTCTTGTTTGGTAGATAATATAAAACTAAATATTCCCTGATCGTATTTGATTCATCTATATCTCCTATATCTATGTAGTCAGGGTCCAGTAGGCTATCTGAAAAAAATACCAGGGTTTTTTAAACTTTTGTGCATAAAAATGTATTTTTCAAAAGTTTCTCAGAAATCAAATTTTAAACATCTTTCAATAAAAATTTCAAACTTATATTAAAAAAAATTTCAAATTTCTTTTCTTTATAAAATTCATATCATACAGAGTTTTACTAGTTTTTAACTTTTTATGCAGACAATTAAATCAAAATTAATTTTTAACCTTTTGAGTAATGGAGTTTTCTGCAGTTCCAATATTCAGATTCCTGTTTTCAAAAAATATTATTCATTTGTTTTTTTAGTATTATTTTATTAATTTGATGGCATGAATTTATTGTGGAATTGATTTAAATGTAAAATTTAAACAATGTTTTTATTTTTCCTTTTCTTGTTGATGTAGAGCAGACTCAGTGTGTGAGGAGGATACAAAATGTCCGCGCGTTTTCTCATTTTCGTGGATTTGTGAACTTCTAGTTTTCGTCTCAGCAGGAGGGTTCTTAGAACTAGGACCAGCTGTCACAGCTGTCACAGATACAGTTTCACTTCTTCCACTCGTATTCCGCAAAACTGCAGTGTTAGGAGAACCATGGTTTGCCCTCTGACCCTGTAGGACCTCACGGACCTCCTAGAAATAGATAACTCTTTGTTGTACAAATCATAAACTTTCATGCATTTTTTACAACCTCAGACTGAGCAATAAAAAGTTTAATGTCTATGAAACTTTGCACCTTCTTGAATATATCTGATGCAAAGATGAAGATTTTATTATACCTTTACAGAATCTGATTTAGGAATTGTCTTTTGGTTCCTTGTTGTCTTGTTCCCTGTTCCCTCTGCTGTCTTGGGTTCCTCTGTCGTGTTCCTCGTTCCTTCTGATACCTTAGAATTGTTCCTAGTTTCTTCTAAAACCCTGGGTTCTTCGGACTTGGTTCTTGGTCCTTGTTCCTATTCGCAGAATATAATCTATCTCACTTGACTTCCATCATTTAAAACACTTTTTAGATAGATATTTTCAAACTTGGCATTCTTAGTTTTAGTTTAGAAAAAGCTAATTGAGTCAAATATTGAATATCTGCACTCTCTTAAAATTTTAGTAATATCTCAATTTAAGTCTGGAAAATCTTAAATTAGAAAAGTATTAGATTAAAAGCAAGCAAACATGTAATTTTTCAAACCAATTTAGTATTCTATCCAGGCAAAAAAAAATGTTAAACCATTTTTAAGGTTTTTTAGTTTTACAGAAGGAAGTTGGGCTGAGATCTGATTCTTGAATACACACTAGATACTAGATAATGGACAAGATGGGACTAAACATGAGAATGTGACAAATTTTTCAACTTGAATATTTTCAGAATATTTTAACAATTTTTAAGATATTTTTTAGATAGATTCTACATTCCTTTTTATTCACTTGGTGGGTAGTTGTAAATCTGATGTCTGAAATACAAGGAAGTTGAGATAAAGGTAGGTAGGTAGGTAGGTAGGTAGGTAGGTAGGTAGGTAGATAGGTAGGTAGGTAGGTAGGTAGGTAGGTAGGTACCACTCCTTCTAAAACTAAAATGTTTCACCCATTCATTCCATAGAGTTACCGATTCCACCATTTCCGAACCTTATGCTCAGTGTACAAAGCTTATCTGTGCAAGAAAAGTAATCTTAAATCTACTTTCACGCTTCTAATTGCTAGAAATACACTATAAAACTATCAATTGCTCCCTTAGAGCTCATTAATTAATTAATTAATTAATTATAATTACTAATCTCATCTCAATTTAGGAATTAGACCGGTAAATTTGCAAACGGGGCACCGCATGGGGATGTTTTGGGCACAATGATATAATGGATAGATATGAGTATATATTCTGCAACTCCTTCTTTCTTTATGGATCCAATGTTCCCCAGAAATTTAGAATTTGAGATGCATCAATATCTCTTAAGAAATCGAGATCAATTTTTTGTTCCACGATGTAAAAGTTTATTTGTAAACAGATTTCCTTTGTATTCTTTCACAACCTATTGGAATGAACTTGACCCAGCTGTGTCTTGTATTGCTATCAAAAATGAATTTAAATGTAAACTTAAACTACATTTTCTGGATAGATTATCGAACTTTGAATGCAACCGGCTATTTTCCTATACTTGTTCAACTCTAGTTTCATAGTTTAGGCTGGGGACTTCAAGGTCTTAAATATGATCTGTTCATATTTTTTAATACTTTTTAAAGACATATATCGAATATCATATATATGTATCCTAGACTGAAGAAATATTTAGCTTACTTTTGATCTTTTATCCTGATCAAAATAACATGTATTAAAAATGTTTCTTTATCAAGAACCGTCTAAAAAATTATTGAGCCCTTAACTTTTTTATTTCTGACATGTTTCTTGATCAAGACACATTTTATGCATTATCGAGCCCAAACTTTTATGTATGTTTAAACTTGTGGCTTAACAAATGATTGGATTTGATTTGATTAGTTGGCGAGGGGGGGGGGGGTATCTGTCCGAGTACCTTTATGGGAAATTTTATGGTTTGCAAAAATATTGAGGATGCAAAAAATGCTGAAGAGCAAAGATTCTGTTTTCGCAAAGATGCACACTGCACAGTGCACACATGCGCAAGAACATTAGAATAATAGTCTTTAAGAGAGTTTTGAAAAGAAATGATAAATGGAAATAAAAAAATATCAAGAAACTCAAATGTTTCAAGAACGTTATAGAAAAAGAGATTAAATACTATTGTTATGAGATGAATGCAGACTATGTATGATTTGAAAGGGAGAAGGTTACAAGTTTTGCAGAGACTTGTGCAAAAAAATTACCCTAAACTGAAAGATTTGCATGCAATATTCATAATGGTAGCCTTTAAATCTTTTTAAACGATACGATTTTGTCGTTTATTTCTCTGTTAATTGTCCCTGCTGCATACATCTTAATGTCACTATTATGGAGAAACCGCAATTGAATTTTAGTTTTCAGTTAGAAAAACGAAGAAACTTCCATCTTTTTGTCCAGAAGCTAAGGGTTAAATGCTATCCTTGTGAAATTGTTCCCCGAAGGATCACTTGAAATTACAGCAACATTCCCTTTAATATTTATAATTTTATATCTTCTTACCATTGTTATTGATTCCTCCTGTTTTCTGCAAGAGTAGAAGTTGTCTCTCACGAACACTATGGTTTCCTGTTTCACTTTTATAAAGACGACTTGTCAATTCACTTTTAGCTTCACTCTTGTCTAATTCAACATAGGAATTTTTAGATAAATCTTTTTTCACCTTGTTCCCGTTCTTAGAGTCATTCAACAAAACAGATTCAGTATTCTGAAAAAAAAGAATGTTTAGAAAAATGGATATTTTTTCATTGTTTTTTGTTTGTTAAACATAATAACTTTCGAATGTCACTATATTAACAACTCAGTGAATGACAGAGCCAGGTATTTTTTGTTTTTGTTTATGAAAAAAAAGTAAAACAGTTACTATTAGGTAAAACTATGAGTTATGAATTTTCTCATTCTCTGTATAATGAATTCTAACCTTCAAAACTTGTGAACTCGGTCGAACTTCAGGAAAACTTTTATTTGTGGATTTTGTTTCCAGGTTTAGAGGATTAGAAGTTTTATCGGAGCTATTTCCAGACTTCGAGGTTACAGTCCTGTAATTGAATGGAAAAACTTATTAAGTTGTGTAATGATCCTTGTAATATCGTATGTTCTCTGAGTAAGATTTGCTCCCCCGGGGTTTCTGGAGAATACGCCCTAAACAAATATTTTCTAAACAAAAGGAAATCTTAAGATTATTTTATTAATTCAGCTTTTAATCAATTATCAGAGTTATGTTGCATTTAAAAAAATTGTAAGTAGTTCAAATCATTAATTACCAAGCTGCACGCTATGCTTACAATATTTACAGATTGTAAATTAATCTTTACGTACATGACTTTGCGATATAATAATCCCTCTTGTTTTTATTTTAAACCAACTTCTTAAAACTTTTCTGAAGTCAAAACTTTTGTTTTGTGAATCTCGGGTTTAAGATTGCTCTCTACCTTATTGAGCCAGATTAATTTAATTCCTCTTCAATATCCCTTGGTGGTCAAACCATCCATATTCTTATAAACATAAAATTGCCCACATTGAATATCGAGATCAAGCTTTCAAGATTAACGTATCCTCCGTACAAAAGTTGCGACCTATAAGGATTTCTAAAATTGTCCTTACAAAAAGCTCTTCAGAAGAAAAGAGTTAAGTTTGAAAAGAAGATTTAAATCTAAAATTAAAATTACTAATTAGTTTCATGTGTGACTAGTGAGTTTAATGTGTGAGAACGATGATTGTAAAAACTGATTAAAAACGTTCACGTAGGGTGGAACAGACGTGTCCTTTGGTTAAACCCGACTGAACTTGAATTAATGGGAAATAAGATAATTTCGACGCAAAACACGTCGTTACAATTTCCTTCGTTCTATTGACGCATTCTCAGTGTACGCAAGCCGAGAGGATACAGTGTTAAGGTTAACTTTACAGGAAAGATTAATAATAGGAAGGTTAATGAGACAGGATAAAAGAATAGGATGAGGGGTTAAAACTTTAAAAGTTTGTGTAGGAAAACAGTACACGTTTAAAGATACAAGGTTACCCACAAAGACTGATCGAGACTGTAAAGACGACCTGTCATTACTTAAATATGACGCGTCCAAGTTTATATTCAGTATACTGCTGTGAATACAGTCTTTTAATGGCCTTTTTAATACTTGGGGAAACAAAGAAACAAAGTTAAGGTTGCAGGGAATCTAAAATATAAGGGAACAGACAGGGTTAGTTTCGTACAATTGTCTCTGAATTCTCAGACGCTTTGTGGATAACCCTGAAGTAAAGTGTATTTTTTACATTTAAAGGATGCGAGAGGTGGCTCATTATCCGGTTTAATGATTTTTAATTAAAAGTTGAAATAAAATTCACCTTATTTTGTCCTAAAGAATCGAATTTTGATGCTAAGGTTGCCACAGTCTGTGGTCTCACAGCCATAGAAAGCCTGCAAGTGAGATTAAATAAATTTTTCTAAAGATAGATTTTAAAGATTTTTTGTTCATTTATTAGTTCATACCTATTGGCAGGAACCCCCCTTGAACTTCTGTTGGTTCTGTAGCTTCGGACGAACGGTTCAGGATTCAGTTTCGTGGATTTCTCAACATCAAAGTTGCCAGATTTTCCAGTCTCTACGGAAACCTGGTTTCTAGACTCTACGCGGGAATGGTTTGTGGTATCTTCACACCGGTCATTGCCCTGCAAAACATTGCGCATTTATTACATTTATTTCACAGTATTTGCTCTTTTATTGTCACCGTTAGGTGGATTGCTTTTACAGATTACAGGCTGTAGACCCTTATTTGATCGTGTTCAGATCAAAGGGTGAAAGATGTTTAATGGGTTTTATAAAGTTTAATTTCAACAGGTTTAATTTAAAACTTTACTTTGTTCCGCCATGTTTTCCCAAGTCTGAACTCATGGTAAAGATTTTGCAACAAAGGATGATGCACTTGTGGCCTAAGTTTAAAGGGATTGTTCGCAAAAAATTAAAAAGAGATACCTTATCAAGTTTATAGTCTTACCAAATATTCATTATGTTATTAAAAAAATAAAATATGATGCTTTTTAAGAATATAAAAATTGGAAAAAAAGGAAAAATCTAGTTCTTAATATGGTTGAAACCTCCGCGCATTCTCTCTGAAGTTTTGTTTAAGATGCACGATCTTATGACAGATAAACTTTACAAATCTCAAACATTGTTTAAAAACTATTTACAAATAGCCAGGAGCAAAACATCAAGATTAGGACAGAAAAAGTCATTGTAACGCACGCGAACCATCTAGTGGACAGTTGGTTAAAGAAACCAAGGAAACCATATGGTTTAATAAACTAGAAAATGTAAATATTGTTGTCCGAAGGATTTCTAATGATTTATAATTGCAGTTTAGATTTAAACATTAGCGTAAATACTTTCACTTCATTTCCTTATTTCACGGATTATAGACGAATTATTGAAACAGAGGGGGGGGGGGTAATTGAGAGGGTGGGGAAATGTTGCATACCTTTTTGTTTGTCATAACATGTTCTGCGTCTATATTGACTTTTCTTAATTTCTCTTTTGGCTTTTCATTCCGGGATTCATCTTTATCAAAATGATCTTCATTTTCATCTTCCATTTTCTCCTCTTCTTTATCTCCTTGATCTTCTTCTTCCTCAACTTCTATTTCTTCTTCTTCTTCTTCTTCTTCACTTGATTCTGTTAGAACATCAGGAACTGGTTTGACCAAAGGAGAAATCTAAACAGAATATTAATTTATCAGAAATAAAAAAATTTAAAATTATTTTAGATCTAGGGATGCGTATGTGATAAAAGATTAGAAAATGGTTAGTTGACAAATATATCGACAAGAAAAGATTTTTTTTAAATGTTTGAGAGACAGGCGCGCGTCGGTGCAAACGGAAAACATATAAAATGTAGAACTTAAGTAATATGTAAGATCCACTTAAAAAGGGTGGAGTGTACGAATCACACCGGGTTTGTCTGATCAGAGCCCGTGATTTAAAAACTTAAACCCGACTTTAAGACCCAATCTTCGACCCAACTCTGACGACGGCTTGTGTAACGTGATGGACAGCTGCAAGATCTTCGGCTCGAGTTAAGGCCGGAGTTAGGCCTAATGAAAATAAAACCGACCTTGGTTGGTTTTAGTGGAGAATAAGGCTCAATGTTGAGTCTTGTTCTTATAAAAACCCGGAATCCGCCAATTTCTACCATGAAAATTCGCTTAAAAGAATATTAAAGCGGTTTTTTAAACTCAACTCATTGGACAATAAGATGCAGCTTGAATTCGAAAGCTCAAGCCGTAAATAAGGCCCAACGGCAGCTTAGACCCGAGCCGTATTTTCCCGAATTTTTTAAATCGCAGGCTCTGGAATGTATAAGATATCCGTGATTGTTCTCATTGAAAATGTATTTTTTATGAACTCTCTATAAACGGATTTCTGTCTGGAAAAGCAATGTAGGAATTTGTCAAAACTAATAACGTTAAGCTAGAAAACCGAAGATATCTTCCACATTATTGATCAGATTTCATAGATACCGTTAATTGAATAGGACATGCCCTTCTTTTGATGAATGGTCACTTAAGATTACAACAACAAAGGATTTATAAAAGAGATCATTAAAAAAAGTTACTCGGTCAATGTGAAATGAACAGGTGTTTGATAATTCTAGAACATTAATGTTTTTTTTGTGATAAAAAGTTTTCTAGATAAATATGTAACTATGCAGAAATAGATTCAGTTACTAAGCGCTTTTTAGACAAATACCGAGCAGTTTTTCAACCTCCTTTATGCTTCGTTAAAAATAATATATTACTTGGTATATTAAATCCATTGTTAAAACAAGAGTTTGCAAGTTTAGATCTACTTTAAACTACAATAGGGTGTATTTTAGTTAAACCACCCTTTAAACAGTTCAATCCATGTTTTTAGTTAAACCACCCTTTAAACAGTTCAATCCATGTTTTTAGTTAAACCACCCTTTAAATAGTTCAATCCATGTTTTTAGTTAAACCACCATTTAAATAGTTCAATCCATGTTTTTAGTTAAACCACCCTTTAAATAGTTCAATCCATGTTTTTAGACAGCCCTCTATTGTGTACTTTAAGAAATGGATGGAACCCATTTAAGAAAATAATTTTTTACTTTCCTGATTTAATAACCCCCCCCCCTCCTCCTCCCCTGCCAGGTGTTGTAGGCTGAAACCTACAGGTTTAAAGCCTAGTAGTATAGTTCTTCAATTACCCGCCGGCGATTATAATTTCCTTCTAGCACGGTGGAAACTCTCTCAGGGGGACTGTCAAATCGCCGACGGGAAGGGAAAGGGATGTAAAATAAAAATAAAATCGAAATTGATTTTTTAATGATAGATTACCATATATTAATATTATTCACACTTCTACACTAAAATTTGGTCATTCTATTGCTGCTATGAGTTGATATCTTTAATAGCTACACAGCTATAATTTGATGCATTGATCTCGTTTTCAGAAAAGGTTTTTAAAGGGTATCCTTGTGAATAGTGCATAATTTGTTGAAAATCCCTACACTTGAATCAAATCAAAAGTTAAAATAAAACAAGATTGTAATTACCGCTATCAAATAAGAAAAAAACAGCGCTTAACAAATGAACGGAAAGTATAATTTGTAATTAAATATATCATAAATAAATACAACGCAAATAATCTTGAGTAAAATAGAAAAAAGGGATCTGCAAGGATCAATATATGATTTAACAAATGAATTAAAAGTAAAATTAATGAGTAGGTAAATGAATGCATGAGGGGCTAGGGAAAGGACGAATACAAGGATGATTTAATAGGTGAATGAAAAGATTAATGAAAGAATGAATGGTAGGATGAAGATGAATGTATAAATGAATGAATGAATGATGAATATACCTGTTTTACTGGTGGATTAACCGCAAATCTTCGTTTAGCATGAGGGCTTCCTTTCCCCTGGTTTCTAGGTGAGGAAAGAAGAACGAGGGAGGGAGGGAGGGCGAGGGGTGAGGTGGGCAGGGCAGACCCTGAACCGAGGGCTGAAGCCGCTACTCTTCCTAGAAGAGGGCTAGGAGCCAGAGGAGGACATTTTGTTGGTACATAGCTCGGACCCTAAAGGATTAAAAACTTAGATTTAAAACAAAGAATATATTTTTATACTTTCAAGATATAATACAATGTATACAAAAATAATTTTAAGTATTAATCTCTGTTTGTTTGCTTGATTGTATATCCTTTTCAGAGTTGTAAAAAGAGTTTAAAAAAACTCTGGAAACTGCTTGATTAAAATCATTTTGCAAATTGCAAAAAGCAAGCAGTCTACTCTCGTCTGTAAAACCCCGCAGTTCTGCAGAATTAATATTTTGAATAAAGAATTTCTGTTGCAACATTGCAACAGCACAATGAGTTCAAAGACAAAAAATGGGATTGGTTGAGGGTTTCGTTTGGTTAAAGGTTTAGTTTGGTTTGGTTAAAAGTTTGGTTTGTTTTGAATTAAGATTTGGGTTGTTTCGGATAAAGGTTTAGGTTTGGTTTGTTTTGGTTACAGGTTTGGTATGGTTTGGTTAAAGGTTTGGTATGGTTTGGTTAAAGGTTTGGTTTGTTTTGGTTATAGGTTTGGTATGGTTTGGTTAAAGGTTTGGTATGGTCTCGTCTAGCAAAGTTCGTTGCAAGGCAAATATATATGGAATATATATGGAAGACGAAATTCAAAACTATTTACCAACTGTCATGTTTCGTGAGACACCCTGTATGTTTGTTTTTAGTTAAATTTGGTTTGGTTTACTTTGGTTTGGTTTGCTTTGGTTAGATTTGGTTTGTTTAGGTTAAGTTTGCTTTGGTTTGGTTTGATTTACTTTATATTAGTTTGGTTTAAGTTTGGAATGGTTTGGTTTGGTAAGGTACGTTAGTAATTTAGATTGGCATGAGTTAGTACAATTGGTTGAAGACTATGAGTACTCTAGATTTGATAAAAACCTGAAGCAAAAAGAAAACATATTTCGAACACTGTTATAATTTACATTTAACAAGAAGAAAGGGTTTTTCTAGATCGTTTAATCATGAAAATATTCTTTTTGTTTCAAGTGCTAAGATAGAAGAAAAATGTAAAAGCCTAGGGGCGCAAATTTTATGATTTTAGTTTGAAAATGTGAAGATGGTAATGTAGAAGATACAAAAAAGGAAGGGGAAAATGAAGAATAAGAGTAATGAATAAGAAAATTCGAAAAAATTTAATAAGAAAATAATTTGGAAACCAAATCAACATAGTTTAGAATTTTCTAAGAATACACATCAATGTTGAATCCAAGTTTCTTTTCCATACAAACTTATTCTGAAAGTAATATGGACGGCTAATTTTTAAAAAAAAATCTGCACAATAAATCTGTTAGCACTTTAAATTTGTTTGTAAGAAAAAGTACAGGTAAACAATAATATCTGAAAATATACTAGATAACAATTTGCCTGAAAAGTCTAAATTGATAAAAGTTAAACTTTTTCAAGAACGCAAACGTTGATCTTTTTAAAAATGTTGACGTACCTGGAAAGAAAGAAAACATAGAAAAGATAGAATAAGAAATATGACGATGGTAAAAGTTAAATTAACGTTAACCGTTTTTGTTTTTCTCCCATTATTGTACTTCTTAGCATTCTTACTTTAAAACAGTGAGAAAAGNTCGTGGAAAAGGGTGAAAAACGAACGAAATGGATCGTTCAGAGAAAGAAAAAAACTATCGCCTTTTTTTGAAAATTAACGAAAAAATCGAAAGATTTAAAATCGTTCGAACGAATTTGGAAAAAACGTTCTAATTTTTACTGAAAGAACGAATTTTTTAAAAAAATTACTGAAAACGAGATTTGTTGGTACCAAATTTTTTTTAACGAACGTTTTTGCTAAATGATCGAACAAAATTTTGAAAAAAAACGATAGTTGTTACGGTACGAACGATTTTAATGAACGATCGTTAAGTGAGAAAACGAGCGAAAATATAGAAAATTAACGATAATTTTGAGAAAGAACGAAATAATTTTTTTAACGATTGAAAAAAAAGAACAAAATTGGTCGTTTATGAACGATAAACAAATGAAACAAAAATGCGAGCGTGCCCATCGGGAGGAGGTTTTTGAAAGGTTATATCTTTAGTCATACTTCATACTCTAGTAAAAAGGAGAGTATTTGCAGTTTAGAATAGAAAAATAGAAGAGATAAGGCAGTAAATGATATCTTTACTCCTCCGGGAGCTTTTGTACATCATAACCTCTTGTCCATGTATAAAATTATTGTATACTGGCATGGAGTTATAAGGTTTTAATCTTTTGCCAAAAATCTGCAAATGGGAGGTCCCTTATAAATATAATTGCGTTTACAGATCAGTTAATTTTCTTCACCCTATTTGAAACCCACTGTGCATGCAATGACCAGTGTCTAATCTTAAATCTGTATAGTGTCTGCTATATCACTTCCCTTGATGATTATGATTATATAAAACCAGGCGAATATTCAAGTCATCTTGCATAAGTGTGTATACATTGCACTTCAGGTCTGGCACAAAGATATAATCGGAATTTAAATATTCTTATGGGGATCAGGTTGGGATGAACGGACATCTTAAAATTTTATGATGTGTAAAATGTTTTACATTGAAATACTTAAGAAGGGATTTTGCCAAGGCATTGTACTGAATCAGCTTAAAAAGAGATTCATTCAAAGTATGGATGCACTGCACTATTAAAAAAATTAATGTCAGTAATTTTTGTGTTGTTTTCGTCGGAGAGGTCAAATAAAATGGGTTGATCGTCAGGGCACTTTTCATATTAGCAATTTTAGCTAGTGAATTTAGCTGTTGCTCTTGAATTTGTTGGTAGATTTTTCCATTCGAATAAGCGCATTTAAAAAAATTGTCGACATTTTTTCCCGGGATTTTTTTTTCAGCTTTGATGTTCCATACCCCTTTCCTGCGAGGTTCCATATAAAATTAACCAGCCGTTTGGACTTTTATTGCATGAGAAACAGACAGACAAACACCCCAACAGACAGACAAACAGACAAACAAAGAAAAATGGAAAGAACTTAATTTAAATAAAGATTGTCTTCTTTATTAACAGTAAAAATGGTTATTTTGAGATCTTGTAAAACTATAAAATAGTAGACTCAACAAAGTGTTTTAAAAAGGGCATTGAAGAGCATAGTGTAAACTATTATTAAATATTATTATTGAAAAAAAGAAACGAAAGCAAAAAACCTGAAAAACATTAAAATCTAGAAAAGACTTTCTACCAGCGTAACGCTTTTAAAACCAATTTAGCTAAAAGAGAAAGCCTGGGATGTTATGAATAAATATTTAGAATGAACAAAACGTGAAAATAAAAGAGTTTAAAAACGTATGCCCACCTACCGGTTGAAATGATATTCAAACTAAAAATCCAATTTTATTTTAAATGATTTATGCATTCAATTTTCTTAATTTGAATAATTCAAAATATTTTTAATAGCACCCCTTTTGTTGTCATATTTGCTGTGTATATTTGGAGCATTGACTAGGTCTAAATATGTATGTATGCAATTAAATGCAAAAATGGTATTTGCAACGGTAGAAGGCTTGAGCATTACTTTTGAAGGGTAATCTAACCACACCCATTATAATTGTAGGCAGCAGGGACCATCTCAAAAAAATCTAAGGAACTTTTTTTCATATTTACAAAAAAAAATTTTGTGTGCTTCTAAATCCACCCATTTTCTCGCCCACGAAAAAAAAGAAACAAAATTTTTATAACGACCCTTTGAATATAATCATCAAATTGAATATTCATCCCACAATTACAGAAAGAATAGATTGAAGGATGAAAGGATGGCTATGGATAGATAGATAGACAGATGGATAGATAGATAGATGGATAGATAGGTTGATAGATAGATGGATAGATAGATGGATATTCAGATGGATAGATAGATTGATATATACGTATATAGATGTATAGATATATAAAGAACTGATAGAAAGCTAAATCGATGAATTAATAGATGAGTAGATGAATATATTGAATAGATAGATGAATATATAGGTAAATACTTAGATGAATAGATAGATGAATAGATAGATGAATATATAGATGAATATATAGATAAATATGTAGGTGAATCGATAGATGAATAGATAGATGAATAGATAGATGAACAGATAGATGAACAGATAGATGAATAGATAGATGAATAGATAGATGAATAGATAGATGAACAGATAGATGAATAGATAAATTAATAGATAGATGAATAGATAGATGAATATATAGATGAACAGCTAGATGAATAGATAAATAAATAGATAGATGAATAGATGGATAAATCCATGGATGAATATCTAGATGTATAGATGGATGCTAAAGATAGATGAATAGATAGATCAATAGATAGATGAATAGGTAGATCAATAGATAGATAAACAGATAGATGAATAAATAGATGAATAGACAGAAGATACCGCTGAGTATAGGCTAGCTCGTCTTGTAAAGTAATCTTAATATTTGGATGACAGAAACATTGATGTTTTGACTTTTAGAGATGTACAATAAGCAGTCATCAAATATATATTTATTAAATATATACCTATCTAAAATATATCTCTTTTAGAGATGTACAATAAGCAGTCATCAAATATATATTTATTAAATATATACCTATCTAAAATATATCTCACTGAACCCGAATTTCAAACACAAATCCATGTCATTTTTAGTTGAAATTTTACAGTTAAGCCATCAACTTTTTTATATTATTATATCTTATATCTGTAAATTTACTGCAGACAAACCTATCAATCATTCAATACTCTTTTTTATTATAAATATTACCTTATTTTTTCGCGCAGTTTTAGGTGTTGTAAATTTAACAGTTTTCCCGGGCTTTTTAACGCTTATCGTCAAACTTGCTCTGAAATAAAAGTATGTAATGCTTAATAACATGAGATATCAAACCAAATTGTATTTAATGCTTAATATGAGATATCAGACCAAATTGTTTTTAATGCTTTATATGAGATATCAGACCAAATTGTTTTTAAAGCTTAATAACATGAGATATCAGACCAAATTGTTTTTAAAGCTTAATATGAGATATCAGACCAAATTGTTTTTAATGCTTAATAACATGAGATATCAGACCAAATTGTTTTTAAAGCTTAATAACATGAGATATCAGACCAAATTGTTTTTAATGCTTAATATGAGATATCAGACCAAATTGTTTTTAAAGCTTAATAACATGAGATATCAGACCAAATTGTTTTTAAAGCTTAATAACATAAGATATCAGACCAAATCGTGTTTAAAGCTTAATAACATGAGATATCAGACCAAATTGTTTTTAAAGCTTAATAACATGAGATATCAGACCAAATTGTATTTAAAGCTTAATAACATGAGATATCAGACCAAATCGTGTTTAAAGCTTAATAACATGAGATATCAGACCAAATTGTATTTAAAGCTTAATAACATGAGATTTCAGACCAAATCGTGTTTAAAGCTTAATAACATGAGATATCAGACCAAATTGTATTTAAAGCTTAATAACATGAGATATCAGACCAAATCGTGTTTAAAGCTTAATAACATGAGATATCAGACCAAATCGATATTATCATTTTTCTGGAAAACAATGAATGAAATTGATGAAAATTAGCTCGACGACTTTATAATTTTTTTTACAACCGACTTCTTGTCATTCTACGTATTTTTTTATTAGATCTTTTTTCTTATAATTTATGTGTATTAGATTTTGACAAACATTAAAATTGTGTATGTTTACGAAAGAGTGAATATCTAAACTGTATTTGAAATGTTTTAGATTAAACTTCAATGTCAATATTACAGAAAGATAAGGACAGTATCAACCCGGCCGTGTATTTTTAATTAGAAAAAATAATTAAAATAAGTTTATATCAGTTCTATAATTCTTTTTCTCTTTCGTTCTGTCCTTTCTTTTTTGAAATCGTTTGATCAGAAATTAAATTTTGTCCAACCGAAGGACCCAAGAAATATTAAGGCGGCTTGGGTAAAAAATATAATGTCTTTATTTGTGCAAATAAAACATTATTTCCGACGCAGCTTTTCCTCCCAAAATAAGGTGCAACAAAATTGGCATAGTTTAAAAGTTTGGTAACAGCCGCTTATCTATTTATTCCTTTTTTGAGCTTCTTTTACGCAGATTCCTGGCTCGTTATTTTTCTGCGGCCTAATTTTTTTCCAATATTTTTTCCTTTTCATTCCGAATTCCTACTCTGCCTACCTCCCTTAATCTCTAATGCAGGCCTGTATACTCCTCCACCCACTATACATCTTAACTGCATCCGCTTTCTTTAACATTTTTCTCCTAAACCACATTAGTACAGAAGNTTATTAGATAAAATCGACAGCTCAGAACAATGTTATTAGATAAAATCGACAGCTCAGAACAATGTTATTAGATAAAATCGACAGCTCAGAACAATGTTATTAGATAAAATCGACAGCTCAGAACAATGTTATTAGATAAAATCGACAGCTCAGAACAATGTTATTAGATAAAATCGACAGCTCAGAACAATGTTATTAGATAAAATCGACAGCTCAGAACAATGTTATTAGATAAAATCGACAGCTCAGAACAATGTTATTAGATAAAATCGACAGCTCAGAACAATGTTATTAGATAAAATCGACAGCTCAGAACAATGTTATTAGATAAAATCGACAGCTCAGAACAATGTTATTAGATAAAATCGACAGCTCAGAACAATGTTATTAGATAAAATCGACAGCTCAGAACAATGTTATTAGATAAAATCGACAGCTCAGAACAATGTTATTAGATAAAATCGACAGCTCAGAACAATGTTATTAGATAAAATCGACAGCTCAGAACAATGTTATTAGATAAAATCGACAGCTCAGAACAATGTTATTAGATAAAATCGACAGCTCAGAACAATGTTATTAGATAAAATCGACAGCTCAGAACAATGTTATTAGATAAAATCGACAGCTCAGAACAATGTTATTAGATAAAATCGACAGCTCAGAACAATGTTATTAGATAAAATCGACAGCTCAGAACAATGTTATTAGATAAAATCGACAGCTCAGAACAATGTTATTAGATAAAATCGACAGCTCAGAACAATGTTATTAGATAAAATCGACAGCTCAGAACAATGTTATTAGATAAAATCGACAGCTCAGAACAATGTTATTAGATAAAATCGACAGCTCAGAACAATGTTATTAGATAAAATTGACAGCTCAGAACAATGTTATTAGATAAAATCGACAGCTCAGAACAATTTTATTAGATAAAATCGACAGCTCAGAACAAATGTTAGAATTACGAGTCTGTCCATTCGTGCCTAGGGTTTAGATTTCAATAATAAGCATGAAATTAACTTTTAAACCATAAATATCGATATAAACAAAATCTAATATTTCAAGAAAAATATATTTTGTGGGTATTGGTTTCTCTCCCTCCCTCCCTTCCTGAAATATTACCTAAGTTTCCCGAATTGTGCTTACCTAAGATTTGAGTTGCGTTGTAGAGCGGTATTTGTAGAAACCAGAATACTACTCAACTCTTTCAATTCCTTTACAGTGATCTCACCGCCAGCAAGCCCCTCAAGGGTCACCTAGACAGGTCAGGGTCAATGTCATCATTGAATAAAAGGGATTGTTCAGAAATTGAGAGCTGGAAATTATCCATCAAGATTTTAATAAATAGCAATATCTTTGAACGAATCATATTTTTACCACCCAGTTTTAACTAATTGTCCGACCTGTGAAACTGTTTTTGTCGTCTTCTCTTCAGGTTTCTTCTTTTTGGTGGATTTATTGACCGCCGAGTAGAGCGGTATCGGTGGGGAGACACAGTCCCGGGTACGCACTAAAAACACGAAATATTACGCATGCATGTCTGGACACTGGACAGGGACAAGAAGTTTGTTTAGTACACATTAAATGTGCGTAAACAACACATTCTTGGCTTCCAAACATTCCTCAACATTTTCTTTAAAAAGAACTTTTCGATTAGTTTCTTAAAAAACCACAAAACATTAAACTTTCTTTAAACCCATCTCTAAACCTATCTTTTATCCCAATCTTTAAACCTTCCTCCCTACCTTCCAGTTAAACCTTCTGCTGTTAACCTTTCTACAAAATCCATCCTTTCAGGGATTATAAACGAAACTTCAACTGACCCTCCATTTTTAGAGTGGCATGTCTAATTCAAAACGGTACCCTTAAACGCTTTGTCTGATCTAGTATGAATTGGATATCCATGTTTTTGTTACTGCGAAACTAGTCATTTTCATTTTTGGGGTTCTCTACAAAAGTGACTTGCGCATTTCTTGGTTCAGAAACAATTGATAATTTTCGTCAGAATTAAACACCCTTTTAGTATCAGATAAATGTTTCAATGGTATGCCCCCCAGGGACTGTAAAGAAAATGAAAGGGGGATATAGGCTGAAACCTAAACATTTTAGGAGTTGATCGAGACCTAAGTTTTTCAGGCTCCTCTGGGATATCGTTGTTTTCAGATTGGTTGCGTATTTGCTGAATATGATCTGTTTAAACCTACGATTTTTATACAAAATTTTATAAATATAATTTTCGCATAAATTTGACACAGTTTTATATCAATTTCTCGAGACAGGAACATCAGATAGATCATAAAACTCTCATGAGTCTCGATCAACTCCTAAAGTGCTTAGGTTTCAGCCTAAACCCCCCTTTCATTTTACCTTAACAGTCCCTTTTAATCAATCTTTATGCGTATTTTACAAGAATAATAAATCCTAATTTTAAAACTATACTTCTACCTATCTTTCATACACCCACAAATAGTACATATCTTGTAAACTAATATAGTATATGAATAAAAATCAATAACGCAATGCACTGAGTTTCTCAAATATTCCACGAGTCGGTTTTTCTTACAATATATTTATATACAAAAGATACAAACTTTAAATCGAACGATACTAATACAAACTAAATATTATGAATCTAATCAGTTCTATCAAACAGGAGACATTTTACATTTTCATTTTCATCGTCTCACTTATACAAATTAAATATTGTTAATCAAATCAGTTTCATCAAATAGGGGAATTCTTCAAGGGAACCTTAATTCAAGGGAGCTGAATCACAACTGCCTGTCCCCCTTCGATTTTGCTCCATCCTAGGATCGCATTTAACCCTAGCTACCCCGGGGTTGTTCCGCCCCCTCCCCAACGCTTGGGTCTTCAAGATAACGGAAAATTCGGCGTCGCTTGGGTTATTTATAGAATCCAAATGCAAACTCAAATAAATCCGTTAGGATTCAAAATAGGACTCTAAAGTCCAACCGTAGGGTTAAAGATGGGGGGGGAAAGGGGGCATGATTCCCCTTGGTAGCTATGATCTCAGCGATCCAAAAAATCCTTGAATTGCTGATCGTAAAAGATCAACAAAACTCGCCCACTGTTACACTAAATCTGTGAACTTGTAAAAATCAATTGCTGAATCAAAAAAAATGACATAAAGTAATTTTTCTTGAAGTGTCAAATTATTTACCTGAGGTTAGTTCTACACAATCCACTAGATTCTCTTTACTCCTAGTCAAGGAACCTACAATACAGAGAACACATCTAGAAAGATCAGAAGACACTAAAAACAAATGAAAATAAAGATCCAAGATCTTTGCACCTTTTTTTCTTGTAACAATATTGCTTTAAAATGTTGTTTTACAGCCAAATTTTTTTTTGTTCATAGCAAAACTTCTTATTTATTGTAGAGTTAGTATTTAACAAAAATATGAGATATATAATTAGAGAACATATACTATAGTCAGGCTTTTCACTCTGCCCAATTATAGCCATGCACATTTCATGGATTGGAAGATTGAGTGGGCTCATAGCAAAACTAAAAATTCCTGTTTTCTGATTTTTTATGGATTTACCGAAAAAATCTTTTAAATCGACGTTTTTTCTGGGCAAAACTCTTCAATGTTGATCAGCCATAAACCTTCCTGTGATCATGTATAGTAGATACCACTGGTCGGTACAGCCGGTTTAGAAACAAGAAAACTAGATACCACTAGTCGGTACAGACGGTTTAGAAACAAGAAAACTAGATANCGAACCAAAAAAACAAGCCACATGGAAAGAAGACGGATTAAGTAAGGAAATGAAGAAACTTAAAGTAAAAGTGTGAAAACTATCGAGAATAAAAATTTTGTAAAAAATCAACATGATCAGATTAAAGTTAGAATGTTACCTGTGATATTTAGATCTCTTTTCCAAACTGCTGAATCAAGACCGTCAGCGTAGGTATTGTGCAGAAACGATCTAAATAGATATTAAAAACAAAACCTAAACGAGTTTAAAAGATCGAATTTAATGTAGTAAATTGATTGAAAATATATAAATCGGTTTCTTTTGAAATTATAACTAATTAATTATAATTTATATATTTATTTAGAAACTAATTATAATTTATATATTGATGTATATAAATATAGGACAGTATAGGACAGGATAGGAAAGGATAGGACAGGATAGGATAAACTTACTTGCGTTTGTTAGTTCCAGCTTTATCTTCTGAACCAAACTGATGCAAAATTCATCCATTCAAAAATATGGAAAGATAGATGGATAGATAGATAGATAGATGAATAGAAAGATAAATACAGAGAAGAATAGTTAGATGGTTAGAGAGATATTGTAAAAATAAGAAGATAGATAGATAGATGTTCAAAGCTCATAAAAAGTTTTTTAATCTAAAAATAAAAGAAATATTCATCCCTGATCTTAATTCGCGGGATCTTTGGAAGCGCTAATAATCTTAATTACGGCAAAATATGGTTTTTTCTAAAAACTAAAAATTTTACATTTTTAAAGCAATTTCCGGATTTAAACTCAGGAATAAAAAGTTTTATTTGAAATATTTTAATCCCTGTTAATCTGTAGGTGACAGATCCCCGTTAGTTAAAAATCCTCAAAATTTGCTAATTTGATTGCATGATGAGTAGGTTTGGGGAGGGGGGGGGGGCAGAGATGGGGACGGGTATGACAAACAATTTACAATATCTTGAAATGATGATTAAATCACAAAATCATAAAATATGATGAATTTCTCCGTGTGTCGGCTAGGGCCCGAGCTCAAGTTTTGACTGTTTTCAAATTTTCAAACATTTATAAAATTTCTCCAGTAAAATTACAGACAACAAACTAACATTAAATTATGATTATAACGTACAAGCGATTTCAAACTGAGAGGAAAATAGGGAGGGGGGGGGGTCATAAAATGTAGGTATGTTTTTTATCCTAAATTTTTTACGTCATCCTGACTTAATTTATGCTTTTCTTGAAGAAAATTTGCAATTTTGTTTTGTTTTAAACGTTCTGAGAAGACAAGGCCAAAATATTTGGTATACAGTATCTATATATATATATATTTATCTATATTAGCGTATATATATACAATTTTAACCTTTTCTTTAAAAAATATTAATATAATGTATTATTTTGCGGCCCAATAACCCTTTTCCACGTCAACTTAAAGTGCAATTTAACTTCTCTTTTTGATATTGAAAACAAAACCGTTTTGAATTTTTAAAATCCAACCAAATAAAGGAATTAAGCCTTTACCACAAACTCAAATTTTCTAATCCCTGTATCTTTCCAACCTGATCGTACAAACCTTAGATTATTTTATCTAACAGAATTCATAGTTTGAAATATCAATCAGGTCTACGACGTTGGGTTGAAAGTATATAGGGATTAGAAAATAATAGGAGATTGTGGCAAAGACTCAATTCCTTTATTTTGTTCATACTACAGATAAAGATAACAACTAAAGGAGCTACCTTGTCACAATGTCGTACCAGTAATTTGTCAAGACATTTTCTTTGGATTGTGTTCCTGTTTCCCTTTTGGAGCAAGGATAGGTTAAGGAATGGAGAGGGGGGGACTCTCCACTAAAACCCTCTAGTTACTTGGTCAATGTACTGCAGATCGCTGCACAACGCACCGAAAACTTAGTTTATGGGGGGGGGGGGAGAAAAAGTTAAAGAATATAGGGGGGGGGGGGAGGGGAGGGAATATAAACATATAGGATTATGACAGAATGTATGAAGTGCCTTGATTTCGGCATAATCTCGAGATTTGGCGGCTTCTGAACCACCATCACCTAAACAGTATTAGAGAGTTTAAATTTATAAACATTATATAATTCATTTTGGGTTTTTTTTTCTTGCAAACTTTAATAATAGCCAACAAATAATACGGATTTTAAAATCAGAGCTTGAGGTAAGTAATCAGTTACGTTCAAGTTCGCTACTACTGTCTTTTTTACTTTATTTTCTGTATACATCAATACTAGATTACATTTAGTGCACTTAAAGGGTTACCCACAAAGGATGAGACGACCAAATACTTAAAAAAATATGACGATTTGAAGCTTGGTTTTTTATTTCTGCATTGAATTAAGTATTTTATTGGTTAACTAAATGATCAAGCACAGAAATAAAAATACAATTGTATTCCAGAACACGTACAACTCAAATTCCGTACAATCGTCTCTGAAGACACCTTCTTTGTGGGTAACCCTGTACAATCAAGACGTTTAAAGTTTTGTTGTCGTCTTCTAGGGTTTATCCTCTTTGGATAACCCCGTATTCATATGCGTGTAACAAATATGTATCCAATTTGTAGATTTAAATGGAGTCCAATTATGGATATAATTGAACAGGAATAATATCAGAATATTTGAACCCCTTCACATTATATATATATTTAATTTCATTCATTTCCACTTTTGGAGATTTAATTCTGTACTAAAATCTCATCCATATAGGTAAATAGATAGATAGATAGATAGATAAACAGATATATATATATATAGATAGGTTGATAGATAAACAGATATATATATATATAGATAGGTTGATAGATAAACAGATATATATATATATAGATAGGTTGATAGATAGACAGATATATATATAGAGATAGGTTGATGGATAGACAGATATATATAGATAGGTTGATAGATAGACATATATAAAAATAGGTTGATAGATATACATATATATATAGATAGGTTGATAGATAAACAGATATATATATATATAGATAGGTTGATAGATAAACAGATATATATATATATAGATAGGTTGATAGATAGACAGATATATTTATAGATATATTAATAGATTGACAGATAAAATAAATATTGAACATGAGAAGTCGAAATGTTAAAGTGCGAAATGGGCTCTAAAGAGAAGTATCACTGAAATAAAATACTGGACATCGAAATCATCGTGTCTATTTATATCCAGTTTCTACCATATTGCGAAGAAAAAACAGGTTGTAAATTATCTCAGTGCAGTTGCAAAAAAACGGATATTTAAAGAGCGAAAAAAGAGAAAAATGGTAAAAATAAAGTTATCATAAAAATATGCAGTTCCGAGACCCCCCCCCCCCCACAAAATATCCAAGTTGCAGTAGAATACTTGAATATAATGCAGTAAATTGTTGTAATCTAACTATAAAGAATTTATAATCAGAAAGAAAGTTATGATGCATATAAGCAGAATAATGCAGTATGAACGCTGGAAAAATCACATCAGATATTTGTTCTCTTTTATACATCTCTCTTAAACTAAATGAACTACTTGTAGTATCACAAACAAGGAGTGGAAAATAAACTCTTTATGGGATATAAGGTTTGATTCAAAGCCGTTTATACATTTTTTTATGAGAAATTGTCTGATTTATGATGTAAGACCATTTCAGGGGAAGAAAGTTCCAACCCATGATTTGGCCTAGACCTGATACTGAATGTCAAGTTTGGGCCAAATGTGCAATGTTATCTTTTTTAGCTGTTTATATTTTTCATTTTAAGTCAATATGTAAAAAACACAAGCACGGTTTGGAACTTTCTTCCCCTGCATTTAAAGCAACCCATCTTCTACAATCTTGATTTGTAAAGTTCATGCCAATGAAGCTGGTCCAATGCCTTGTATAGTTTTGATTTGTAAATAATCATACTCGATTTGCAATTCAATACTTTTAATTGAAAAAAGTTATTCACAAGAGGTTTTCAACGTCTAAGGTTGAGCCGTCGAGGAGCAAATGAATTGTCTACGCACTGAATTGTTAAGGTTCAAAAGTTTTACCCTCAGTTTGGTTAAAACTACTGGGGGGGGGGGGGGATTAGCCCATCCCATTCATGATATAGTTTCCTGAGTCTGAACTAATGAATCTGTATGTTCGAGCTGCAATGTTTTATTATTAAACAAGGAAGCCGGGGTTTGCCTGCATAACATAATGAATATGTGGGAACAGATTTAACAATCGTTTTTTACAATTGCTCAAGCATCATTAGTAGATAAAAGGGATCGTTATTGAAGTTGAACTAAATTGGAGGTATTCGGAAATTAAATAAAGGGTTACTTTCCTTATTATGTTTTAGTACAACATAATTAATAAAAGATATAATTTTTTTTGCAGTTTTGCGTTATTTGGGTATCATTTTATTACTTTGCGAAAAGATTAACTTTGGTTCATATATCTAATATAATAGGAGATCTGAAATAGAGATATAAAGTAGAGATCTAAACTAGAGATCTGTACTAGAGATTTGAACTAGAGATCTAAACTAGAGATCCGAACTAGAGGTCTGAACTAGAGATCTGAATAAGAGATCTGAACTACCATTCTGAATTAGAGATCTGAACTAGTGATCTGAACTAGAGATCTAAACTAGAGATCTGAACTACCATTCTAAACTAGAGATCTGAACTAGAGATCTGAACTAGAGATCTAAACTAGAGATCTGAACTAGGGATTTGAACTAGAGATCTGCACTAAAGATCTGAACCAGACATCTAAACTAGAGATCTGAACTAGAGATCTGAACTAGGGATTTGAACTAGAGATCTGAACTAAAGATCTTAACTAGAGATCTAAACTAGAGATATGAACTACAGATCGGAACTAGAGATATGAACTAGGAATATGAACTACAGATCTGAACTGGAGATATGAACTAGAGATCTGAACTAAAGATCTATACTGGAGATCTAAATCGGTGATCTGAACTAGAGATCTGAACTCTGCATGGAGCAGTGTCTGATTCTAAAGATTAAACTAACAAAGCAAGTTTACAGCTGGGTTTAAGCGTACACCTAATTAAACATGATTGACTCAGGATCGTGAAAACTCTTCCAGACTTTTATCTGCATTACTCAGTAAAAACCTAAAGGGAACTGGGTAAAGGGAAACAAGAAAAAAGAGAAAACTATAACAATTTGTAAACTACAAAACCTTAAGCGTACTGCAAAACTGCGAAACTTGTAAGTGCACTGTGAACATATAAGTGCACTGCACATCTGCATGTGTACTGCAAATCTGTATGTGTGCTGCAAAACTGTAATACCTTAAGAGTAATTACATTGTAATTGTACTTCAGACATATAAGTACTGCAAACCTTTAAGTGCAAAACTATAAGTGTATTACAAACATGTAAGTCTACTGCAAGCCTGTAAGTGTACTCCAAACCTGTAAGTGTACTGCAAACCTGTAAGTGTACTGTAAACCTGTAAGTGTACTGCAAACCTGTAAGTCTACTTCAAACCTGTAAGTGTACTGCAAACCTATAAGTGTACTTCAAACCTGTAAGTGTACTGCAAACCTATAAGTGTACTGCACTACCCTACCTGTTGGTGAACAGATACTGTCAATTCCTGAATCATCTGTAGAATTTCCATCTGTCAAGTTCAGAAACATTGCTCTGTTCTCATAGATACATCCATCCCCTGTACAGTGTACAGTGTTATGTTTATGTACAATGGAAATAGATACTTAAATGCATAAAAGTTCAGCTATAGGAATGTTTTGATATGGCTTGAAATTTATTTAAATTTATTTATCTGTTCTTATAATGTATTTTCAGGAACCATTAACAAAGATTGTAAAATGTCTGGGCAGGGCAGGGACTAGGAAAGCCCTTTTTATCATACATTGTTTATAAACGAACCATTTTCCTAAGCTTAGATCTACTCTTATTATTATTTTAAAGAAATTATTACCTGAATCCTTTCTCAGGGCTCCGTCCTCGCCACCACTAGAATACTCTTCCCCATACACCTAGATAGATAGATAGATACTCCCCTATTATCATGTATTTGTCCCTCAAAACATCAAGAGAAATTAATCAAAATCAAGGTTAACTTGTTTTTGAAGAAAAAGACCAGATAAGATCAGATAATAAAGAATTTGTGGGTTTTGATAGCAACCTTAATTCTTTCAGGTATAATACAAAATACACAAATATTTAACATTAGAAATATCATATATCTAAAAATATTTAGGTCACTGTTACTCAAACAGTTCAGGTGAAAATACAAAATCATTTCATAATTAATTAAAATAAGGTGAATTTCCTTTTTATCGAAAGGCATTCATTTCAAACAAAGATTAAAATAAGCTGATAGATAGATAGATATTTAACCCCCATGGCCTGAAGGCTACCCATCTTTTATCAAATATGCCCTTTAAAGTTTAGTTAAATCAATTACGATTAACCTTTCATGAACCCTTTAGAGATTATCTAACCACTACACCCGCATTATATACCCTCATCAAATATTATAATAATATAATCAAATTATCTTTATGTAATCAAATTCAAGCTTATTAGAAATGTCTAATCAATAATCTTAAGGTAACGAACGCTAAGTAATTAAGCTTTAGTTAATCTTGGTTAATCAATCCAACCCAATATTTTACCAATATTCATCCCTTCTCCTTTTTCAATCTTCAGTTTAAAAATGTATTCAAATACTTTTTAGTTTATTTTTGTTTTCAGTTTTGTTCACCCATTTTTACATGTATGTTAACTATGTTAACAAAAGTGTTGTTTTTCTTATTTTTCATGTCTGTTTGCGATAAAATCAGAGGCCCCATAGTAAATCTAGATAAATTACGTTGTGCATTGTCTATATAGCTAAATGTGCTCATTAGTAAATATGTAAATCATGTATTGTGATTAATACCCAATCTAGATACAAAGATATATATAAATTCGTTAAGCCCATGTTGTGATTGCTTAAAGGGAGTGTTCGCAAAAAATGAAAGGGGGTATATGCTTACGGCGAAAAATAAGCGCTTTTAATCGCTAATAATCTTACTTTATCTGTTGCGTCTATAAGGAGAAAATTGTTAAAAACGACTGATACCGAAGAACGTAGCGTCCATACAAATTCAGAAAGTTACAACATTCAATTCGTATCGTAAAATCAATCAATTTAATTCCAAACAAATCATTCCGATATTACATTCGTATATAGTTGATATTTCATAATATTTTTTTATTTTTTATAATCTGATTTTACTTTTGAAAACATTTCGAGGATTTTTGATAATGAAAACATTATTTTCATATTTTCCAGGAATGTTTGAAAATCCAGCGCCAGCAAAATATTATTTAAAAAAAAGTCAAAAATATTATTAAATATTAACTATATACGAATGCGTCGAAAAATAATCGATGACTATTAGTTGTAATATCTGAATGATTTGTTTGGAATTAAATCGATAATTTTGCAATCCGAGTTGAATGTTGCAACTTTCTGAATATGTATGGACACTACATTCTTTAACATTAGTCGTTTTTGACAATTTTCTCCTTATAGACGCAACAGATAAAAGTAAGATTAGTTGAGATCAAAAGCGCTTATTTTTCGCCGTACGCCTATACCGGTCATTTTTTGCAAACACTACCTTTAATTACGTTTTATATAACAGGGCATAACTTGTAATTTTGCTGTTGAAACCTAACTGTGATCTAACATCTAGAAATATACTCAGTTTGTATAGAGACTTCCCTTTGATTACTGCAAGAGAGTAATCTTGTTCTAAAGGAATGAGTTGAAGATCGTGCCCATTGGTTTGGCGTTGATAGTTACGTGCTTGTGTTTGTGTAAGACATTGATAGCTGATCATGCCCATTGGTTTGGCGTTGATAGTTACGTGCTTGTGTTTGTGTAGACATTGATAGCTGATCATGCCCATTGGTTTGGCATTGATAGTTACGTGCTTGTGTTTGTGTAGACATTGATAGCTGATTGTGCCCATTGGTTTGGCATAGATAGATTAAGAGCTAGCGTCCAAGTTGACATTGATAGCTAATCTAGTGTCCGTATTGACATCGATAGCTGACGAGATTGTATTCGGGTTGAACCATTGATGGCTATGTGAAACTGAACTGTACCTGGATAGATACGGGTTCTAGAAACCGTTATGGAGTATGGTATTTACTACATGTTTACGTTTATGTAACTATTTTTGTTTAAATTTGTGCTTACCACTTTTGCGCAAGGTTCGGCTACGTGTTTATTTATAACATTATCTTTAGGTTAAAACATATATGGAAAAGTTTTCCTTGGTTTTCCCCCCACCCCACTTGTAATAAGTATAATATCTACCTATGAATAGACGGTATAGGATATATCTAGATGCCAAACTGATAAGATGAATGAATATGAATATGTAAAATATATCCATGTTTAGTGTATAGGACCAGAGCAATGGGTAGAATTCCATTTGATGAGAATAGAATAGAAAATTTGAATAAAATTCTTGGGTAATGAAACAGAGTTAAAAAAAAGGAAAAGGTAAAGAAAATGGACAAGAAATGATCTGAGAAAGTTCTAGTGGACATAGCCAAGAAGACATTGATGTACAAGGACAATAAAACGGAATAGGACAAGGAAGGACAAGGAAGGGAAAGAACAAGAAGGGGAAAGGACAAGGAAGGGAAAGGTTAAGGAAGGTAAAAAGAAAGGAAAGGAGTGGACAAGAAAGGTAAAGGACAAGGAAGGGAAAGGGCACGGAAGGGAAAAGACAAGGAAGGAAAAGGACAAGAAAGGAAAGGACAAGGAAGGGAAAGGACAAGAAAGGAAAGGACAAGGAAGGGAAAGAACAAGAAAGGAAAGGACATGGAAAGGAAACGGACAAGGAAGGGAAAGGACAAGGAAGGGAAAGGACAATGATAAGACGGAAGATGACCAGAGTGTCCAGTGGCCGTTGTATCCTTGACATCTAACGAATTTTAATTTAAATTAGAATTTGTCTTTTATTCATATTCAGAAATTTTATTCAAGGTTAACACCACACTGTGGCGAGAGAGGGGGAGGAGAGTAGCGGCAACAGAATTTAAATTGGGAAAAAATCTTTAGATGATTTTTATCGTAAAAAGAACGTGAACATATATTTATGAACCCCTAGGCTAACTCGTGTTGAATGCTTTCTTCATGACATATATAAACTGAAAAACAAAAAACAGAAGAAGAAAATCTGCATTGTTCAAACAATATTAGAAGGAGACTAAGCTGAAAACTTTTAACTGACGGATTGAGCTAAACTCATTTTCAGGAAGATTATCCGATTTCAAACTATGTATCGGGGAATTATCAACAATTTTTAAATTGTTTTAACCGATTCATATTTCAAATCTTCAAAGTTTGATCAAATAAAAGATCGGTTAATCTCCTCTCGAAGAGAGCATGGAATTAACTAATCCCAGCCTATTTAAAAGTTTCCATCTGAGAAAAGGTAAATCTAAAGTGTCCTGGGAAACAGCTGTAGACAGATAGATAGATATAAATTCAATAATAAATAACCCATTAGAAATATAATAATATAAGAATGTAGCAGACTTTAAGTGTTTGGGAGGTGATTGCGATGACATCAGTGCGAGCAGGCCTGAGCAGGCCACAATTGTTGGTGGTGTGTTAATATTTATATAAGCTTCATCAATACATAACTCATCATCATATTATCAAGATACATACAAACACATCTTGGTTTACAAATCCAGAAAATAAAGTAAACAATCCCTTTAAATCCAGAAAATGAGATGAATAATCCCTTTAAATCCAGAAAACAAGATGAAAAATCTCTATAAATCAAGAAAATGAGGTGAATAATCCCTTTAAGTCCAGAAAATAAGGTGACTAACCAATTAAATCCAGAAAATGACACAAACAATCCTTTTAAGTCCAGAAATTGAGATAAACAATCCCCTTAACTCAAGAAAATGATATGAACAATCCATTTAAACTCAGAAAATAAGATGAATAATCCCTTTAAATCCAGAAAATAAGATGAATAATCCCTTTAAATCCAGAAAATAAGATGAATAATCCCTTTAGATCCAGAAAATAAGATGAATAATCCCTTTAAATCCAGAAAATAAGATGAATAATCCCTTTAAATCCAGAAAATAAGATAAATAATCCCTGTAAATTCAGAAAATGAGGTGAATAATCCCTTTAAATCCAGAAAATAAGATAAATAATCCCTATAAATCCAGAAAATGAGGCGAATAATCCCTTTAAATCTAGAAAATAAGGTGAATAATCACTTTAGNAGATAGATAGATAGATAGATAGATAGATAGATAGATAGATAGATAGATAGATAGATAGATAGATAGATAGATAGATAGATAGATAGATAGATAGATAGATAGATAGATAGATAGATAGATAGATAGATAGATAGATAGATAGATAGATAGATAGATAGATAGATAGATAGATAGATAGATAGATAGATAGATAGATAGATAGATAGATAGATAGATAGATAGATAGATAGATAGATAGATAGATAGATAGATAGATAGATAGATAGATAGATAGATAGATAGATAGATAGATAGATAGATAGATAGATAGATAGATAGATAGATAGATAGATAGAT